AATGCAAACGCAGATCTGAATTGTGAGATTTTGTCAAAGGTTTAATAGACACAGGCGAATCGTTGTCATTTTGGAATGAGATTGCGTGGGTGTTTTAATCGAGATCGCGATCTTTTAACGATTAATCGAAGATTTGATCAATGCTACCAGCAAGATCAGATACAGTATGGTGTTCAGATGAGCACATCTGACATAGAGGTCACCAAACTTGACCTTTGTGAAGTCATTAAGAGGTTGATGTTGATGGCAGGTCACTCTGAAACGAGTCCAGTAGATGATGATGTGGCAAGCTATAAATAAATCTGAGTGCTGTGGAGATGTACACAAGATACTCGGCTCATTCATACGACTCGCCTGCAGTCGCCGGATCACACAGAAAACAATGAGATCTTCTGTAAGCGAGGTCTGAGCCAGCTCATGCTACACATTAAAGAAGATAATCCTATTTTTGAGAATCATGATTTTTCTTTTTACATTATAGCAGTATTATTCCCATGACAATTAAACATTTTCCCCTAAAATGATCATTACTGTCATGTGAAAAGACATTTTACTTATTTTTAATTCTCAAAATTTGGTTTAATAATCATTCCTACAAAAAATAAAAGGCAGTGCAACAAACCCCACAATGCATTAATGCTTTAATAATTAAATAATGCATCATGTGTCATGAGACATCACTGAAATAGAATGAATAAAGAAGAAAAGAATAAAAAAGTATTTATTTTAAGCAAAATATATATATTCTTTATTCTGCTGTGAAATATGAACAATAAACTTTTTTGTGAGATTGACACATTAATGTCCTTCACACACGCAGAATGCAATAAAATTGTGCATGTGCAAGTCAAAATCCTGTTGAGACAAACTTTAGCGTGACAGTAACGGTAAGATCCATGCATAAACACGTGCATATGAAAAGCACACTAAACCGGCTGTTTCTTCAACTAAGACACTGACGACCCCTGAAAAAACTTTCACTAATTTGTCAACTAGCAATGTCCAACAGCGGACAAATATGAATCACATTCTGTATTTTTTAGACAATATATTGTGATAATAATGACAAAATGACCTTTTAATCATTTTTGGAATAAAAAGACTCCTGCAGCTTAATTTCACAATAAATAACATTTTCATTCCATTAGCATAACTTGGCGAAATAACATCTTGATTGGAAATGCAATATAATATTCTGCAAATCTTCCTTGACTTCTTTGGCTCTGCGATAAGAGTAAAGCAATACAATCAACAGACAAAGGGCATCTGAAAGGTAGCAAGCATTTCTGATATACACTGAAAAAAATGGTTTAGGATTTACTTTGAAACTATTTTCACTAAGATATTGCTAGAATTTTTTTACAAATAATTACAAAGAAATTAGTACATTTTTGAAAACGAACGCCTGAAATATTTTCTTGTACAACATACTTCAAATATCTGTTTTATTTACAACTAACAAATATTTTTTTTACAGTGTAGTTTGAATAAACAAAAGTCCCGTTCGTTTAAAAGAAACACCCACATGCATCCAGCGCTGCCTCAAAGGGCCACAATCAGAGAGACCAGCAGGGGTTTATGGAAAAACTGTCAGTTATACATGAAGACACATCCAACAGACTCACGCGCACACACACACAGACAGAGAGAGAGAGAGAGAGAGAGAGAGAGAGAGAGAGAGAGAGAGAGAATCAGGACATTTCTAGGGAGGTCAAATACTTTCTGCTTTCTCAGACACACACTTCATGCTCAACAGGAAACCGTCCCTTTCCTTCTGAGATTCTTTACATGTTTCCCCAGCGGCGGCAACCATTTATAGCCAACGGACCGAACCAGTTCCCATGAAGAGAACGCTTTGAATGCTACAAATCTTATCATTTCAACAAACTGCACGGAGACATCATTTTCATGGACAAACAAGCTCAAAATAATCACCATTAATGGATATTGCCAAGATACGATTCCAAGAAATACTGCAGCATTTTGCAGAGAAAAAAAATATTTTTACTTCTTAAATAAATAAATAAATGTGTGTGTGTGTGTGTGTGTGTGTGTGTGTTTGTTTAATTTTAAATTAATATATAATAAGTAGAATTTATTATATTATTATATATTATATATTTTTATTTGTTACATATTATATAAATAAATAAGCTTCAAATGTCATAAATAGAAGAAAATAACATTTGCTACATTTGATATTTTCTAAAGACATTGCTTGTCTATGCAAAACTTGCTGCCACTATGCATATTTGATCTTTCTAAGCATAAGTTCCTATTGTGCATGATTCTTTATGTTTTCCAAAGAAAAACAAGACTTCTTTTGCATAATCTTTCTTTAAAATGTTTATAAATGACTTGCTCCGCCTTTTTCTGCTGACATCATCAGTCCCTCTAAACACCCGCTTTTCAAGTCCAATCAAACCCTGATGGATAAAATCCATCCCATCCTACTTCAGTCTCACTGAAGATCCCGTTTCATGTCAGGTTTCAGAAGTAGAATGGGTTGTGAAGGTCAAGAGGGCTTTTTGTTCAAGTATGAGCAACAGTAACGGCCTTAGCGAACATGACTAATGAATATTTTGAAATAGTAAAAGTAAAAACTCCTCACTCTATGTCACTCACTCATTAGTTTCAGAGACTCCAGGCATTAAACATGCAGCACAACGAGGCCTCGTTTAGCTGACGGAGCGTCCCGTAACATGACACGTAGGAAAAAAGCCCAACTAGACATCTGCAAACTGTTGAATTTTACATTTATTCAGTCAAGGTTGTTGTTTAGCATCCGCTGTATTTTTTATGCATGCGTAAAGCATGTTGTTAAATGGATACGGGGTTGTAAAGAGAGAGCCTGTCGATGAGAAAGTGAAGGGCTTCCTGTGGGTCTCTAGGGAGGAACGCAGAAACACACACACACGCTCATCCAGGCCTAACCAGATGTGACGGCTGACCACGGCAGTGAAAAGACAAGAGATGCAGCGATCCAAGACACCCGAGCACCAGCGCTCAGGGTTATATAAAGATCTCACATGCTCCAGTTCAAGATCAAGTTTGTCATTTATTGATGTACAGATAGTTTCTGGAGTTTAAAGTCACCATGAAATCAAAATTGACGATTCTTAGTTTTTATGGAATATTGCTAGCCTGGCAAGCCAGACCTACATCAAGATGTGTGGTCTGGGAACTCACAATTGGCATACCTCAATCCGAGGGGCGGGATAAACGGTTGTCTTTCAACATCCCTCGGCACGCATAGGATAGCGCTACAACCAACCAGAGCAACGAACGGCTGTGGCTGAGTGAGTCCCATGCGTTTTTCCACCAGTGAACCAGCTAGTTGGTATATTAAACTTTTGCCGTATCCGGTCGTCAAAACTCTGAACACATCTTCCTTTTTTAGGAATGACTTAAGTGACGTTCTCTTAACTCCAAGTCCTCCAGAGTCGCGGGCAAAGCCGATTCGAAAGACCGCTGTTCGCCAGCAGTATCTTCTTTGTTTTCAAGCAGAGGGAAATCACCTATGGAAATCACGCGGAACCGTCATAACTCTGCCGTCATTATGTTAAGCCCGCCCACCAACTCTACACGATCTGATTGGCCGGACCAGTTTTTGGTTTTTCCAGCTCAAAAGTCTATGGAGAGTTGCTAGACCACACTTTGCTGCAAAATAATTTTTGCTGCCGCTAGGGTGCGTTTAGATTTCTAGGCTAGAATATTGCTGCATTTATTATACATGATTTATCAGTGCACATCATTGTTTTTTAATTGATGTGCCTCGTAATCTTGAGTCAAAATAACTTCCCCTCCCTCTTGCAGCTCATCTCTTCTCTAATGATGTGTTGACTGGCACGAGGGCGGGGCAACCTGTCACTCACATGAGATCCACCAATAGCAAACCACAACCATTCAAGCCCCGCCCATTTTTTCAAGCTCGAGAAGCCATTTCACTTGGATATACGTCGCAATAGGAAAAAAAAGACGATCACAACTTCCGTTTCATGACGACTTTAATGTTCAGAGAGAGTCATCGGTACTTTGACTTCCTGAAGAGTGAAACGGTGATTGTTTACATGCCCATCAAATTCCATTTAACGGCCATATTCGGGCTGAAGTATTAGCTAAAACGCTCAGCAATGACCGTTTGGTGGAAATGATGGTGTCTCTGTTTGGAACCAATGTGACATGCTTGCTTCTGGTGTGTGTCAAATTACATTTACATACAGTTTATCCAAAGCGTCTTACATTGCATCCAAGGTTTACATTTTATCAGTGCATTTCCTAGGAATCAAACCACCACAAACCACTCAAACTACTGTTTGAGCCACAGAAATACAGATTGCAAATTAACTTGAAGAATACAAAAAAACATGAAAATAATCAACAAACAAACAACTTATGTATTGATGGGACATGTAGCACTAAAACAAAGCTTCGATGACTGCCTGAATACAAAATGGTTAAATTTGGTTTTAAAGTTCGTCTTTTCAGAATATAGAAAACCTACATAATCGTATGTCAATGTCTTTAAAATAATACTCTGGAAAACATGGTTCTAGAAAAATCACCAATAAACACAATCAGTAATGGCTGTAACAGTGAAAAAGGGCCTCAAATGTATTAAAATAATATTTGATGTTCCTGTTCAACGTTCCCTCCAATATCACTCGAGGGCCTGTTTCCAAAGCCAATGGCATAATGTAGGGACGGGTCGGTGCCTCGGCGCAATGAAGAAATGGAGAACAATGAAGCATCTCTCAAATGATCACAACTGACACTTCAACCCCAGAGACCTACACCATCGCCTCAAATAGCAACATCCAAACAGCACATCCCAGCATGCACTACTCCAATGACAGTCAAAACGCAGTGAAATCCATTAAGCTACAGACAGCACACAACTACACCAAACACGTCATATAACATCTCACGACAGTTACATTAACTGTGTCTTCCAACACTCCCAAGGGTTATGAAAGTCAAACGGTTGTATTTTCGCTTACCTCGTCAAAGCCGCTGTCTTCTTTCTTGAAGGCTTGAGGGGGAGAGAAAGAAAAGTAATATCAGACTTTCATTTTACTGACTATTGGACAGTGAATAAAAGAATTAAATAATCAAAAAGTGGCTCTTTAATGCATTCTGCACATGAACATGAAAAACCAATAAGAAAGGCTGTAATTGGCTGAAATAGTTTTCCAGCCACAGCCGTAGGTCATTAAGAGGAAAGGGTGAAGAGCAAGTCCACATTACATTTAATCCCAAAATCAAGTGAAAGAAATTAGAAAATATATTTTCCATAAAGAAAATGAAGCCTTGTTTTACTATAAACTATAGTATAAACTTTATAAAAGTTTATACATTATTACAATATATATATATATGCTTCATTTCATAAAAATATATATAATTTCTTTTGATTTGGGGGTGAAATGTGTCCTGTTTTGTGAGATTCACCCACACGTGTGAGATAAACCACATCAGCATCTGGCTGCTAACAACTCCAATAAAGCCTGGAAACCACAGAGAAATGGTTTTATCTATTGAAGGATGAACATTTAAACCGATACGCTCATAGCAAACATCGACTTTTTATAACATCATTCAATGAAGGAAACAGAAACTGGAGACCATTTGGGATGAAATGGCCACTGGGAGCAGAGAATGGATTCTTGGTAATAAAGCTTTCCTCTCAGATCTAATGAGAATATAAATACTGGATGACAGTTGTTTTATCTTTTTAACTGTTGTGGTAAAGATCTCTGTTGTGTCTAGCACATGGGGAGAATTGATCAATAAACCAATTTATGATCAAACAAACTACATATTATACCCATACTGAGATGTAAAAGTGTTTTGAGATACTGTTGATAACCACATAAAGAACTCTACAGTCTATGACGCAAAACACTGCACTGCAATAAACATTAAAAAAACATTTTTTTAGAACAGGTTTTCATGCTTGAATGTTCAATAAACACATTATTTTTCACATATTCTCTATTGTTGCAGCTCCTCGCTTCCCAGTCTGTCAGTAACGCTCTGTTTAGTTCCTGTCTCTATGAAGCCCCTCCTTCTGAAAAGCACACTGTGCTCTGATTGGTCGGCTGGACCAGTGTGTAGTGATTGGTCAAGAGCTTTGAGCGAGCGTATATGTGAAATGACCCGCCCCTTACCATAACCACGAGGCTCAACACCGGCCCCGCCCCTTTATTTTACACATTAATATAATTTTATCATTTAAATAAGGAATATTGTGACGTGTTTGTTCCCGGAAGAAAACTTAAGACTACAATGGAGGCGTTTCAGGGAGTTCAGAAACAGTGACACTGATATAGAGAATAACTCCTGCTGGAGTGGACTTGTAACTTTGCAGACCTTTTTCATGCTCAAACAGCAACATTTAATACACACTAAAGAATGCTGAAAAAGTCTAAATGCTTTGCAGCACAGACTTAAGTTTAGTCTCTTTTTAAACAAGACACTTGGCAGATTTGTGAAAAAAGTGAACTTAGAATTTATTGAATTTTAAGTTTATTGTTAGGAAAAAAATCACAAATTAAATAAATATTTCCCAAAACAAGTTTTACTCTACTACTGCAAGAAAAATCAAAGCCATAAATCTAAACAAGTTGTGTTCCAAATTTGAGATTGATATCTAAAAAAAAGAAGAGCTTTTAGTAAGATTTTATTTTATAGATGAAATTTGTTTCCCATTATTTTCTAATGAGGTCATTTTTGATAGTGAGGAGCACAAGTGTGACTATTTTTCAGGACCATTTAACCATTTGAAATCATGTCCATGATATTTTGTGTGTGTGTGTGTGTACACAGCAAGAGCTAAAACCTTTACCAAGTTTCGTACCATTCCAATGAATAAAAAAAATTATAAAAAATTTAATAAATTATAAATAAAAAAAATTCCATTCAAAAATAAAAGAAGTATTTTAACCATTTTAAAAATACCAGCATCGCATGTCTGCTTTTTATAACCATACAAAAATATATTGTGGTAATCAACATTATGCGCATCAACAAAACATTCTTTTAAAATATAAAAGAATGCGTTCAGATCTGTGCTCATGACATCACGCAGATAATAGACACAGATCTCCTTCATGTGGCTGCTTAATAAACCCTCCCACAGTTAGATTATTTGACTGAAGCACAGTCACGCACACAGTATCACTGTTAAATGAGCCGAGCGACTCTCTTGCATGTCCCTCCCAAAATTATTTATTCATGTCACTGTTGTTGTTTCAAGGCGACGAGCCGTTAAATTGCACCATTCTCAGAGGAAAACTGAGACTGAAACTGCAGAACTATTACAGATTTCACTTCAGGGGGAAAAACAACAAGGAAAAACATAAGTAATAGGCTAGGTTATGATTTAATTATATGCCACCTGTGTGACTGTGACATTCCTGCACGATCAGCATGAAAGCAGCTTCACTGTCTTGGTAAGCAGATTAACTTCAATGAAGAAAAAAAAAATATACATTCAGAGTCTCAAAATATCCGTCCCACACATTCAAAAGAAAAAAGAAAAAAACTTTCTAAAGGCTTCAGATGGAACAGGGTGTCTAAAAACAGTCGACTGGCAGCCTGATGAAAAGATAATAATGCAAAATGAGCGATGGGCCGGATGAGACATCCCAACTTCAAACATACAAAGACACTCACATAGACGCCAAGAACATCCGCACTGAGCTAAATGAGGAGACAACACGGCAAAAATGAGTAGTTGTAAAAAATACAAAGATTATTGAAGTACGTTTAACAAGAAAATACTTTTAAAATTCATGTTTAATTCAATGTCACTTGCCGTTCATTATTTATGAAATTTAGCAATTGCTGAGTGAAAATTGTTTCTACAAGGAATGTTTATTTTCAGTGTATAAGACAGCATTATAAGCGAGTGTTTTGGAACGCTCTACATACGCTACGACTCCATGAGACTCAACTCACAACTGATTTAAATATGTTGATTAATGACATGATACTCACATGCATAAAAATAAAATAGTCAACTACTTTTATTGCTACCTTACGGTACAGAACTAAATAAGTACCTATATATATATATATATATATATACACACACACACATGCATGCTATATTATGTATATATATATATATATGTGTGTGTGTGTGTGTGTCACGTGTGTGTATATATATATATATATATATAACACTCTACTTATTGTGTATATATAAATGTTTTATATATAAATCATTTATTAATTCATTCATTTAAAAAGTGAATGATTAAATGAATGAGTCATAGATTATTTAAACTAATATCTAATATACACGCTGCTTATTGTATATAAAAATCTTTGATAAAAACATTTAAATAAATATTGATTAATGAATTAATTTTTATTTTAAAAGTGAATGATTCATTGAATGACTCATAGTTAAAATGTAAAGTATAAGGCTTAACTTTATGAGAAAACATCATTTCTTTTCATTTTGAGGTGCAATGCGACATGACTTCAACCTTTGCCTTCTTTGTGAATGTAGCAAAAGAAGTTGTCTCCGCAGGCAGCATGATTAACTCGATTTTGGAACGGGGCCCATATGAATTACTCCTGTGCAAAGACACAATCATCAGCCCATCACTTCCGCTCTTACTGTCCTTTAACAGAACAGATGAACGTAGCACAACCATGATGAGACACACGACTGGTGAAGTCAGCGTCTCTAGGATACAAAAGCCCCTAGGCAGCATCTTTAACCGCCACTGCAACAGAACAGCCTTTATGACACTGACAGGAGACAATCAGAATCTCAAATCAAACCGCAAAGGGACCAGCTTAGTGCCCTAAAGAGTGCTCATCGTAACTGGTGACATACAATAAGCCATAAAAGTAGCTTTGATTGCTCAAGTCTCTATTTGAGGTCATATTGAAATCAATGTGACATAAGGTGAAACATCTGATGATCAAAAGACTGAACCTTCATGTTCTGTTGTCTAAGAGAGACCAAAGATCAAATATCTATAAAAAAATAAATAAAATAAAAACCTGAGGTTGATGCATCATAGCTTTTCCACATTCTTATGAGAATTGACACATTTTAGTTTAGGATTTTCAAACAGAAGCAACATTATAATATCAAATAACAGTAAATGCCTGCTTTATTATAAACCAAAAGCTTCAATAATATCTGTCAACAACGTTTTGATGAAATCAGGGAATAAAAAACTAATAGATAACAGGACATTGGTGTTAAGCAAAAGTCTCCATTTGATCTGCTCAAATAATGAGATCTTGTGATTCTTATGCACAATCTAAAATCAAAGACCTTTACAGATGAAGGTCTCTGCGAGTTTATCAGACACTGACAATGAATCACAATGCAGGACAGCAATGAAAAGAGTTTATGAGATCACACTGATCGATCACACACATTGATCACATGTGAACCTCTGACGGAAGATCACAAACAATCAGATACTGGTGCATCTGCAGATTAAGCAGATGTCTATTCTGCAGCCCTTTAACGCTCATATTCTATTCAATTCTATTCTGCTGGTTTGTGAAGAGCTCAGCCGCATCATGAACAACATCTGCACAAGCACAGTTCAGTTGTTTCGTTTGCGTTTCTTTTACCGTACAAAAGCGTCGCTTGAAGCATAAAAACGGTCATTTACAGTGAAAACAAACTTTCCAAGGACTGTCCTGCAGAAATGATGAGCTCGTGTACAATAAAAGCGATGGATGATGGACACTCACCGATGCGACTGAAGCTCTCCGACAAAGTTCTTCTTAATTTCTTCATTTTGCCGATTTTTTCGGCAGGTTGAGCCGCTGGCATTAAATCACACATGAGTTTGAAATCAGGGAGTAAATTAGACGCGTAGATAACAATTGTGTGCAAACACTATATCCTTCTGTATTAAATATGCATTTCCAAAGTCTAATGACTACATATCTGGAGACAATGTAATCCGCAATAATGTGACGAGGCGAGGGAAACTTCAGGACAACGTCTCTAAACGCCGCGGTTTTCCTCTGGAAATGTGGATGTCATTTTTTGGGATTCTCTCCTTTCGTTTGGCGAGAGTGCGGATAAAACCCTGAGTTAGCCCCGCCCCCGCGAGACAGCTATTGGCCGTCGAACGGACGTCTCGCTTTTAACTGGCTGCATTAACTGTCAATCATATGTAGAGCTCCGCCTTGCCTTATAATAAGAGCCAGGCGTCTTCAGGACATTTAGACATTTACATTTGTATAGTTCGTAAATTGCTTTTAATGACCCAAATATTCCGTACATTCTATAATTCATTATTCAGCGAGGAAAAGATAAAAATGATTAAATGCACTCATTTGTTTTTGATTATGCGTTTTATAATCAAGTTCTCTTTAATGTTGTTTTAATATTGCCATTTAATACTATTACATACAGTACCCGTCAAAAGGTTAAAAACATTACTATTTTTAATGTTTTGGAAAGTCTGTTATGCTTATTAAGCTTGCATTTATTCAATAAAAAATACAGGAAAAAACACTAATATTTAGAAATATTACTATATTAATAGTATAATATATATTAAAATAGACAATATTGTATTAACTGTTTTAATATATTTTAAAATATAATTTACTTCTGTGGTGCAAAGCTGAATTTTCAGCATCATTACTCCAGTCTTCAGTGTCACATGATCCTTCAGAAATCTTTCTAATATGCTGATTTATTATCAATGTTGGAAACAGTTGTGGTGCTTCATATTTTTTGGAACCTGTGATAGTTTTTTCAAGATTGATAAATAAAAAGTTAAAAAAAGAACAGCATTTATTCAAAATATAAATCTTTTCTAACAATATAAATCTGTACTATCACTTTTTTTAAAACAATTTAACACATCCTTGCTGAATAAAATGTTTTTTTTAAAGAAAGAAAAAAATTACTGACCCCAAACATTTGGACGTTAGTGTATATTGTTACAAAAGATTTTGAATAAATGCTGTTGTTTTTTTAAACTTTAAAAATGAATATTAAGCAGCACAACTGTTTCCAACATTGATAATAAATCAGTAGTTAGAATGATTTCTAAAGGATCATGTGACACTGAAGACTGGAGTAATGATGCTGAAAATTCAGCTTTGTTCACAGAAATAAATTATATTTTAAAGTAAAATAGAAAACCATTATTTCAAATTGTAATAATATTTCAGAATATCAGTTTTATTCTGTATTTTTGAACCAAATAAACGCAGGCTTGATGAGCATAAGAGACTTCCAAAAACTGTATACCTCTCTTCTTTTTTTTTTTTTACCTGGTAAAATAAAGAGAGAAAAAAAGAAAAAATAGAGACTTCCAAACTTTTGACCGGTACTGTAGATCAAAAGCTGTAGATCTCTCTTTTTTTTTACCTGGTAAAATAAAGAAGAAAAAAAAGAAAAGAAAAAAGAGACTTCCAAACTTTTGACCGGTACTGTATATAAAAAAAAATCCTTACCATTTGATATACCAAAGTATCACCGTATGACATACCTGTACTAGTCACATTGTTTTATAAGTGGAGTATTACATTTTAAAAAAAAATAACAACACTTTACATGTTACTTTACACATTTAAACACAATTTTACACAGTAATAATAAAAAATTGTCATGATACTATCACAAAGCAAAAAAGCTTCAATTTCTTAATTCCAAATAAAACTTGATTTTGAAGTGAAATATGACCAGTACATGGTTTCATATACCCACGAATGTGTCATTGATTGTGTCAGTCATAACCATAGGTTTAGAGAACGTCTCTCTCTGAGCCGAATGGAAATACAGTGAGAATGTGGGAGGTTGAGATTCTACAGGACAGTCGAGTCTAATATAAACATTCCTTCATCAAGTTCACAGTCAGTGCAATCACACGCCTTGCTCTCCTGATTTCTGCTGCACAACTCATCACAAACCTGTTAGTCAAACACAGTTCTCAACCCTTTTTACCTCCATAATCTGACGTATCTGCGAGCAAAACGAGCCTTCATCCATTGTGTAAAGTGTCTCTATTTCACAGGTGGTTGAAAATGTCAGCATCCTCCTGCATCATTGGGATAGCAATGATGAATTATTCAGGAACGTTATAAGACAGTAAATAGGGTCAGTGTTGATTTCATGTTGACTTAAATCTTTCATGCAACTGCTGTGCTCGACTCGTTCTGCTCAGCGTCTTTAAAATGCAGCCGATGAGCGAGATCTACACAGCAAATTCCCATGGATGAGCTTTGCAGAGTCTGCCCAAACATTTGCATTTCCCTGCTGGATTTTGTTCCTGTGCAGTCTAATGAATGTAGCGGGCACACGTTTCGCTGTTTTTCTAATTACAGCACAGAATGAACCGCATAACTAATGTGCTTGTCGATTGTTAAACGCAGCACTGTAGAACAGGTGGCATGAAATAAGAGAGAAGAACGATTTTCTGCTCAGCGCTTAAATGAATTGAGTTATTAAAAGTAGTGCGAAAGAATCATCATCATATACGGCTGTGTTGCAGCTCGTGGTTTAGTATGGAGATCAGGAGCCTTTGTGACTGATGGAACGACTAGGACATGAAACTACTTCCTCCAGGCAGCGAAAGGGATGTGATGCGAATTTCACTTAACTCGTCTGTCCTACTAACTAATCGTCAGTTTCCGTGATTTAGAGATTTAAACCAAACAAGCACTAGTATTTCTTTAAAAGCAGAAGCTTGTTTTTTATTAGAACATGTTTTAATAAGAACACACAGTATAAATATAAGTCATTCACAGAGTGATTTAAAAAGACGCTTCCTGATTGATCACAACTGAATCAGGAAGTGGAAATAATTAAGTGAAAAATGAAAACTGTCATTATTTAAATCACCCTCGTATCGTTTCAAACCCATATGGTGTTATTTTTGTATCTGGAATTTTTCACAATAGTTCATAGTGACAAAAAGAAAGCATCATAACAGTTGTTCATATGATGCATGCACTATACTGCAAGTCTTCTGAATTCATTTGATGCTTTGTGAATTTTCATTGAATAAAACTCACAGCAAGTATCATATGACTCCAGAAGACTTCAGAACCGCATACTAGTATACCAGTCGTACTATGTTGACCATATCTTTCTATGGCAGAAATAGTAAGAGTAGTATAATAGTATGCGCTTTGAATTCATCAGCAATATAAAAATAGCATACGCATCATTTGGACTGCCTTCATGGCATATTTATTGTCCTTCTTATCATTTTGAAAGTTATAGTCAGTATGAACTGTTGTTCTTGCAGAAAAGAGTTGCATGAAGATTCTTGTAAATTGTGCATCAATGAAATACAGGTTTGAATGACGCGGGGGGACGGGAGTAAATAATGACAGACTTTCCATTTTTGGTGAACTAGTACTTAAACTCACTATAAGAAAAAAAAAAATAAGAAAAAAATTCACTCTATTTTGGCCATTTTCATCAGTTGCTTCTAAAGCAATTTAAATGTGATTCTGTTGTGTTTAGAGCAAAAAAAAAAAAGTAAATAGAAATATAGTGGAACCGCATACTAGTATACTACTCTTACTATTTCTGCCACAAAGATATGGTAAAAGTAGTACGAGTAGTATACTAGTATGCGGTTCTGAATTCAGCAAGTGTCAAATCAGAGCAGAGAGAGATAAATAACCAATGGAAGGGCTGACAAGGTTAATCTCAGTTTCGGCTGCTATCCAGCTTCATCTAACCTAAAGTGATATGACGTGTCTCAAAAGAGCAAAGCAAAGCATCTGGTGAAGCGTTTCCTGGACGTCCAATCCCTCGGTTTTACTCGTTCTCGAACTTGCTGTAAGGGTGGTCGGAGTCTGGGATGAGACCTAGAAAGAAGGACGAGAGATATTATTATTTACATTAAGCAGATGCTTTTACCAAACTCGACTCACAACAACAGGGCCATATGCAATTAGTCACTAAAACAATCACATGTGGGGATCTACAACTGGTTCTTAATCATAACACAGCACATTTTCAGTCAGTGACGCTTCCTTTAACCGCCTGTTGCTCCAGGGCACTGAAGCTTACGGTGATTTTGTGTAGAAGTAGCAGAAATAAATTTCACAGAGATCTATTCTACTCACACACGTTGCTCTGAGTTTGTTTGCACAAGGGCAGATGGGAGAGGAAAAGCCTCTCAACTTTCACCTCCCTGATGGTTAGGAGGTGCAGCAGGTTTTCGGAGGACGTGACGCGTTTTAAGCAGACGACCGCAGCTCATCCGTAACCTTGGGTCGATTCGGGCGTGTGCACGTCTGAGAGCCGCGGGTCCGACACCTCTGATGGACACGTGACATACAGGGTCCAAAACGGGCAGATATGTTTCTTACCAGCTACAAAACTATTTAATATTTTTATTTAAAAAAAAAAAAAAGGATACGGTTTGCATGCATTTGATTAAATCGCTTAAGTCACTTTCATCTTAAAATTTGTTTTCAGAGAAGACACTACTTGTGTAACTAACAAATATCACCATACTTTTCTCAGTCAATTAATCACAGTACATCAAGACAATTGGTTTGTAATGAAATGTTGTGTTTATATATGCAAATAATGCATTATCTAACTGAATATGTAGTTATTTGCATACATTTCTAGAACAGAAATTTGGAATAAAGCCAGATTCAAAAGTTTCAAATCGCTGACATATTAGAGTTAGAGGGATTTTGGATATCTCCTTTTATCATTCAATAAATCAGAAAATACTTTAATCTTTTTTAGAACGTTTGGTGCATGTAAAGCTGCAAAAGTGGAGATTTCTGACTCAATGCAGGAGAAAAAACTGCACTGGCATTGAAATCTACAAATGTAAATAGATAAAGTGCAATAAAATACACTTAAATGTCTATTTAGGGTGTTTTCACTATAGTCTTAAAGAAGACATGTAATAGAAGCAAAATAGCCTAAAATCTCAAAACGGACCAGTGTAAGAAAAAACAGTGGTTTCACCTGTACTGTCTTTGCCTTACACAAACAAAAAATAAGGTTACAAGCTAATTGGCCAAAGTCAACTACCAGCGAGTGTTTGTTTTGGACTCTGTTCCTGTGCAATTGTATTAAGAGTGTGATACACGGCAGAATCTCACACCGAACGTCCTTTCGAGGGCAGACGCTAGTGTGTGTGTCCATGTGTGAGAGCAGCAGGGTCGGAGACACCCGTTCCCTGACGTCCAGACTGCTGAGAGCAGGAGAAACACAAAGGAGGCCTCCATCCATCATGCTGTCATGTCGTCCATACACAAACACACACACACACACGGTGCACCACAGGACACAGCAGAGCCAATGAGGACACGGCCCAGAAACCATCAGTCATAATAGAGCAGCATCACCACACACTCAGACAATGACATCAATGACTTCTATTTTGAACTGAATAAGCAAAGTTTCCAAAAATGATTTTTAGTTTGCACTGCAGCAGGTTGTGGAAACAGTTACAGTTTCTGAGATCATAGTCTCTATTACCTAAAGCAGGCAATCTTCAATTTCTGCAAAAACTGTAAATTCAAAATAAAACAAATTTTATTCGTTGGGTGAATCTCACAAAAACAGCAAAGCACCCCAACAAAAATATAAAATTACATTATGCATGAGCATTATTTGAGATGAAATGTAACCTGGACACAAACTCTAATGTTCAGAAAACTATTCATTTTTAAAGCATTAAAAATTAATTATTTATTGCTCTAGTTAAATGTCAATTTAAACATTTACTAACACATTTTTTAAATTAAAAAGTGTATTTGTAAACAGTAGATAATGGACTATTAACTAACATGAACAATTGAAAATGGATTATTAAATGTAATATTAAAAATATATTACTCACTGTTAGATACTAATGTTAACAAATGAAACCTTATTGTAAAGTGTTAACAAAACCGCAGCACAGTTGTAGGATATGAAACCTTGAATAAAATCATAAGACATAAATCTTCTACAAACTGCTTCATAAAATCCATGACTGGAACGTCTGAAAGCCCAACACTGGACATGAGGGTCACATCTAACTGCTCAGGATCTGTTCATCAGCAGTTATTCAGCACATTACCGACCGCAGAGGAGGAGCCTGTCGTGCAGCGAGAACACGATGATCTCCAGTTGGAGTGGGAATGAGGAGACGGTCTTGTCATGGTGTGAGCGTGCTCTCACAGCCTTTGATCTTCTCTTCACTTTGAACACATCTTCACCGCCTCCCAGAGAATGTCAAACAGTGGCACTGCAGTCACATGAACGCATCTGCAGGCTGTTTGTCGCCATTTGGACCTAGCTTTTAAAGTGCCCCATTATGCTATTTTAAAGGTAACTAATTTAGTTTTGGAGTCTCCTACAATAGGTTTACATTCTTCCGAGGTCAAAAAACACTTTAATTTTTTCATAATATACATTGCAGCATAACAGTTTCTCTCAAAGTATCTGAAACGGTTTGATAAAGCATACAGTCTTTCTAAATCCCTCCTTTCCGCGAGCCTGCTCTGCTCTGATTGGTCAGATGGCCCAGTCTGCTGTGATTAGTGTACTCCGCTCTGATTGGTCAGATGGCTCAGTCTGCTGTGATTGGTGTACTCCGCTGTGATTGGTCAGATGGCCCGATTGGTTTACTCCGCTCTGATTGGTCAGATGGCCTAGTCTACTCTGTTGTGATTGGTCTACTCTACTCATGGTCAGATGGCCCAGTCTGTTGTGATTGGTCTACTCCGCTCTGATTGGTCAGATGGCCCAGTCTGTTGTGATTGGTCTACTCCGCTCTGATTGGTCAGATGGCCCAGTCTGCTGTGATTGGTGTACTCCGCTCTGATTGGTCAGATGGCCCAGTTTGTTTGTGATTGGTTTACTCCGCTCTGATTGGTCAGATGGCCTAGTCTGTTTTGATTGGTCTACTCCGCTGATTGGTTAGATGGCCTAGTATGTTGTGATTGGTCTACTCCGCTCTGATTGGTCAGATGGCTCAGTCTGTTGTGATTGCTCTACTCCGCTCTGATTGGTCAGATGGCTCAGTCTGTTGTGATTGGTCTACTCCGCTCTGATTGGTCAGATGGCCCAGTCTGTTGTGATTGGTCCACTCTGCTCTGATTGGTCAGATGGCCTAGTCTGTTGTGATTGGTCTACTCCGCTCTGATTGGTCAGATGGCCTAGTCTGTTGTGATTGGTCTACCGCTTACTGCATGTGTCGGAAATGAAACAGCCATTACTATATATGGATTTCAGTTTCGGATCTTCCTCAGCACTTGATGGTGTCGGTTTTACTGCATCAATCTCATTCTTTTGAAGTGCAAGTAAGGTGCATTTGCTTCAGTAGCGTCTTCTCGACACTAATAACACAAACAAAACTCTTCCAGGGCTCAGCTACAACTACAGTGTTTGATGTTGTTTTTGGGTTGCCAATTAAGACCATAGGCGAGCATTATGCATATTTGTTATAAACCTATGTAGGTTTGAGCAGGAAGTAAGACTAGAATTACTGACGACTCAGATCTTGCCTATTAGTTCAGAATCGGTTCTTTCTTTTTTTGAGACATGTAGCACACGGCGGGTAGCACTCGTCTCAGTTACTAGGTCGCTATAAAAGCAAAACTATGGACCAGAATCAGAAGATTTGGATCGACTCACCGAAGCAAAAATTTGCAAAGATGATAGAAAGAAAGAATAAAAACAATTAACCACTCAGACCACTGGAATGCACAAGACCACAATTGAAAGATTGAACGAAAAACGAAAGAAAAACAAATAGATAACAGTAACACACAGTATTTCAAATAAATGATAAACGCAGTAAATTTCCCAACATCAATTTCCGGAAATAAACCTCAGATTCTCAATTTCAAGTTCAATGTCTTGTTTTTTTAAATTCCAAAAAAAATTACCGAGTGGGAATGTTCATCAAAAATGAACACAGTTCAGTCCATGAAGAGAAAAAGGGGGAAAAATTAATTTAGTCTTCAGGGAAATCCAGGAAAACTTGAAAAACGCAATGTATGCAGTTCTGCCCTACCCAATCAGAAAACTCTTTTTCTCACAACTCTTTTTACTCTGTTTCCAGGTACGAAACGATGAGGGGCTTGCCAGTCCAAACCAGGGATAAGAATCCACAGCCAGGACAGGATTCAGGATCACAGCAGCAATTTTCCAGACACTCACAAAAGAGAAAAAATAAAACACAAGAAACAAAAAAGAAAAAACCCGGCCAAGGAGAAATATAAATCAGAGACTATCAAAAGTAGCTTCTCAAAGGAAAATATTTTGATCTCGTCAGTGTCTTTTCTTCTTGTCGCGTTCAGATTCACAACACACTCTTCTCAAAGCATGAGCTTTTTAAAGAATTAATATTTCATAAATCTACTTCTCAACTTGCTAATAATCTAATGCTGGATTATTAAACAGTTTGTTCTCACTCAAATCACTCAATCGCATCTGGTCTCACTCTCGTGTAGTTCGCAATCTCTCTTGTCACTCATACATTTCTGCTTGTACACGATCTTCTGGAAACTTTCCAACAGGGGGGCGGAGCTAACCTTTCACCTCACCAATCAGGAATCAGTTCAGGAACTTTTTCTAGCTTTTGGAATTATTTATAATAAAATAAATAAATTGTACTTCATGTTCTTTTCTTGCTATTAGTTTTATAGCGATATAAATAAAAAAACCTGGGTTACAGACAATAACTCGAGCTTTGAAACTAGCAGATCTTTTACATTTACAAACGAGAGAGCAAAACTGGGGCATTTGATATAATAAAATAGAAGTTTGTTTCCATGTAGCTTTACATTATTTCTTCTGAAAGAAATGCTCTCTGCTGTTTCCTCTTATTCAGGTCATTTTCATCGTTCTTCTTCAGTGGCATGAACCCACACGTCCAGCTTCCTTCAGCTTCTCTCAAGGTCACGTGTATTTCCGCAGGTTCGTCCTCCTGCCCTCCGTCTCGCTCTGAACGCAGTGGCTCTGGTGACTGACCCTGGTTCTCGCTTTCTCTCGCTTTCACGCACTGCAGGAGCTGTGATCTGAGGCGCCAAATACATTTACATTTCACCTTATTCCTCTGCAGCGCTGGGACAGGACCCGGGGCTTTGCCACCACATAAATTACGGCTCTTCTCGGCTCTCCACTAGTGCTAATTAGCACAGAGTTAATCAAGCGTGAGTCAACCAGCCAGCCAGGTTTATATTAGGAACCAAAGAGGTGTAAAACAAAAGAAGAAGATCTGGAGAATTGAATCTCTCTCCTCAAACCCTCTTTTTTGCATCTGCGCTTTTAAACTTTATAAGGCAAGACACTATAGGTGAATAGGCTGGACAAAAAAAAAAAGACCAGAAATGATTAAACATTGAATAAAGCCAGGTTCAAAATTATTGTTTGATTTTGTTCGACATGATAGAGTTAAAGGTTTTTGCAAAGGGGATTTTGGATATATCTTTTTATCACTTCATAAATCAGAAAATACTGTCCACAGCCAGAAAACAAATCATTTTTATCATGTTTTAGAAACTGGAAGAACAGGTTGGTGTCTATGTCCATCTGGTAAAAGCTAATCAGGCCATAATTCATAAGTAATGGGTAAAATAATTATGAGTAATTAGTACCACTATCCTAGAAAGGCAATCAGTAACTTTTAGCATTTGTATTACTATCACTTCTACAAAACATTTATAATCTCTACTCTTCCTCTGCTGAGGCAACACATTACGTTCAGCCACATAAGCATTGATCACAAATCAATCGTTTGAAAAACGGCATATGCTGAATCAAGCATTACTGAGACCTACACAAGGAACCAGATCAATATAGACAACCAGAGCTGACATGATGACCTGTATGAAAACAACTCCATATAATGTCCTGTAATCAGAACACAACACTACAACTGAAGACGCATTAGCTACGTTGACCCAATAATGAAACTAAGAAGTTGTTGCAGAATTGAGCGTCAGTGCAGCAGTTCGATCTGAATCTCACCCACAATTATTGGTGCAATTATCTCCGGCAAATTCCTCCACAGCGGCCTGAATACATTAGCTAGTGAACAAACACACGGGCCACGACCTCTGCTGACCGTCTGCTCACGCTCAGTAAAGTGTGCGACGTCTGTGCGACTATTAGTTAGGACAAACTGACTGAATTTGTTCCTCATGATCATAAAAACCTTCTGCACTAAAAGCTTCTGCTTGATAAATATGAACTGTGCATATGTATACAATACCGTTCAAAAGTTTGGGGTCAAAACAGTAAAGATATGTCACAAAAGATTTATATTTTTAAAAAATGCTGTTCTTTTGAACTTTCAATTCATCGAAGAATCCTGAAAGAAACAATGCACCATGGTTTCTGCAAAAATATGAAGCAGCACGACTGTTTTCAACATTGATGATAATAAGGAATGTTTCTTGAGCAGCAAATCAGCATATTAGAATGATTTCTGAAGGATCATGTGACACTGAAGACTAATGATGTAATGATGCTGAAAATTCAGTTTTGCGTCACAGGAATGACATTCTAAAGTATATGAATATAGAAAACAGTTATTTCAGCTTATCATATTTTACAATATTACTGTAATTTTGATCAAATAATAGTGAGCATAAGAGACTTAAAAAATCTTAATGACCCCAAACGTTTCAACAGAAGTGTATGAATTTCTTGTAAAACAAAATTGTATTTCTAGTTTGTATGTTTTGAAGCATACAGTGCAGTAAAAGCAGGCATACATGTATTCCCATAGTTTTATTTGTGTTATTTCGTAGAAAAGAGTAAGTAGAATGACATTAACGACAGAAGATCAGGACTGATGTGACTCACCATACTTCTTGCGGATTTCATCATGCTTCGTCTTCCTCTCCACCTTCCTGCAATAGACAGTAACCAGAGATTAGTAACTGGTTTTGACAGACTGGTCTAGGTTATGCATATTTTTCCAACTTCTACTGAGTTAAACACTGAATTTCTGCGAACCAACAAAACTAATAGTCAGTCCTTCCAGAAAAACGCTGAGTTTTTTGTGATTGTTGCGGGCAAAAATCCTTTATTATGCGGCCTGTTTTCTTAAAAAATCCGATGGAATATGCAGGATATTTATGCAATTTTATGCGATGAAATTGCGGCAACTTGCAAAAACTGCGTTTTGATGAAACAGAAAAAAAAAGTGATTCCCCCAACACCCTGTTCTCACTACTACCTTAATGTGAAGAGTCATTTCTTATTACTTCCTATGATAAGCAAGCATATACATCACAGAAAGTGCTGGGAATATTTCAGTTCTCATCTTGTTCTATTTCAGACCTTAATAAACACATCAAACTTACAAAACATTGATGAGTCAAACAAGTTCTGTAGCTTTACAAAAGGAATATGCTACAACTTCTGTAAAAATGAATAAATAAAATATAAGTGTGCAGCTTTTCGATGATGTTCACGTCGCGTAATTACGTCACTTCATAATGTTCCCATGACAACAGGGGGAAATGGCATTTTTCAACTTTCTGCTAAGATATATGTGACTTTTGTGCAACGAAAATGCAAATGAGGATTATGAAATCATGCAAGCCCCGCATATTTTGCACGGAAATCGGCAATTTATGCGACGAAAGTGCGGCGTATTTGAAAAAATGCGGCCCCTGCATAAATATGCGGACTTTGGCTGATTATGCACTAAATCATGCGATCGCATAATCCCGTTTTTCTGGAGGGACTGAATAGTCATTGGCCTCATTTGACTTGTTTTGAGCTGTATTTTGTTGCAAAATCATCTATGACTGGGTAGAAAGTCAGCATGAAACGGAAGTTGCGATTGACTTTTCCTGCCTATTGTGACATACTGTATATCTGAGAGAAACGGCTTCTCAAACAAGAAAAAATGTAGGGCGGGACTTTTTTGTGCATGGGGAATTGATTGGATGGTTGTGGTTTGCTATTGGTGGATCTCATGTGAGTGACAGGTTGTCCCGCCAGTAAACATCATCAGAGAAGAGATGTTGCTGCAAGAGGTAGGGGAAGTTATTTTGATTAAACATTACAAGGTGCATGAATAAATAAATAAGATGATGTGCACTGATAAATCATTTATAATAAACACTGCAATTTTCGATAAATTGACACTTTGATTTCATGATTCAAGAGCATGAAATCTTGATATTTAGGAGATAATCCAAAATTGAAATGTTCATATTTCTTATCCAGACTATGAAATGTAGTTGTGCATGTATTGCTATTTATTTTTAATACTGTGTTGGTCACCACTGTCCAATATAATAACCTGAAATAGTTTGCACAAGAAAAACCATTCAAACTCATAACCTGGATTCAATTTCAGCTGCAAAAACTGCAGAACTGAAAACGTGAAAACACGGCAAGTCCTAAAGAGCAGCACATGGGATGCAGAAGGTGATTCATGCCGAGTTCATGTCTTTGTTTAAGCCCATCCATTCCTTCACAGGCCCGCGGTGGGGCGTCGTAAATACGAGCAGCAGTGTGTTTTATGGGTGTGTGACACACTGAACGACACCACTCGCTCCCCGTACATCATTCATTCTCTCAACACTCCATAAAGAAGATGGGCCGAGCCGGAGCCTGGTCTCCATACGAACCCGCGGTCGCTTCATATCTGCACAAAAGTGCCGTATAAATCAGCCGGACCTTTATGAGCAGCTGATCTGAGAACAATCACCGGAGTTGTTAGCCATCTGTTGCTGCAAACACAATCCTGCACAAAGCACCACAAGAATGACTCCACCGGTTGCTGTTTAACATGTGTGTGTGTGTATCTACTGAGAGAACCCAATCAGATCAGATTTCCACATTAAACTGGAGTGCCAAATGCTTAGACCAACAGCGATTAAAAACTAAAAGGGTCTTAATCAAAAGAAAATGGTACTCTACCAAAAGTTTGGGGTCGGTAAGATTTTTAAATGTTTTTGAAAGAAGTCTCACCAAGGCTGCATTTATTTGATCAAAAATACAATAAAATTGTGAAATATCATTGCAATGTTAAAGCTGCAGTCCGTATCTTTTCCTCTTTGTCGCCATCTCCCTGTTCGAAATCTGTAACTGCAGTGATTCGCGGAATTATTATCTTTACGTGGGTTGTAAATCGGCATGAAACAGCGCGGATGAACACAGTGCTTTGAGGCGAGTGCTGCTGTCAGTCACCGCGCTGTGTGGATACTGGCATACAGAATCACAGATTCACTTTTTGAAAGTTTGACCAACATAAGAATTTTCATAAGAAAATGCCTTCTGAACAAGTAAGTAAAATCCATTTTTTTTCTGACCAACTAAGGGGAAAAAGCATTCGACATGATAAGCTTCGTTAGATTTAATCAACGCGATTTACAGCAACCGTGCAAATTATAGCCTACTTTGTTCTCAAATTGTTCATGTTAACAACATCAGCATTGCGTGACTAATGTTAAATTTAATGTGTTTTATGGTTACCTGTGTAGTTCAGAATTCATATTCTCCATAATAGCAAAACGAGAAAGGCACAACAAAGGAAACTCCATAACTGTGTGAATTAAGAAAACGTACTGTTACACGATTGAACTATTGAAATGTCTTACTTGTTCAGCAGAAAAAAGCCGTCTCTTCTTCCGTTTTGAACCCCTTCAAAACACGGAGTTCACGCACTTTTCAAAAGCCCCGCCGATGTTTAAATCCTTGTGTTCGCATGAGACGGTTTCTTTCTCTTTCTCTAGCCACCTTAAATACGAAGTACCAAGTCTTTTGGGTTTTATAACTGCTGAATCTCCAGTTGACACTGATGATTGTTGTTTGGATCTTTCTGGATGCCATAAGTTTAATCATGTAAAGTGCTGCGAGAAAAGCCTATACATCTAAACATCTCGTCACGCGCAGTATAGCCGGCTAGCCGAAACTCCTTCTTTATGTGTACGGGTGTGACGTAATGACGCAAAGACATGCTCGAATTTCCCGCGGAAACCCACCAGTACCACTGGAATTAAAATCATTATTACAAGCTAACCGTTTTGAATCTAGCTATGGCAAGCAGATAGTTTTGACCACTGGCAGAATAAGTTTTTTTTAATATAATTATTTTGGATTATTTTTAACTTAAAAAAGTTACGGACTGGAGCTTTAAGTAACTATTTTTATTGTAATATATTTTAAAATGTAATTTATTCCTGTGATGCAAAGTTGAATTTATTATTATTACTATCATTACTATTATTATTATTATCAGCATTATTACTTTAGTCTTCAGTGTCACATGATCCTTCAGAAATAATTCTTACATGCTGATTTGTAGCTCAAGAAAAAAAATCTTATTTTAATCATTGAAAATCATGATTTTTGATCAATTAAATAAAATCTTACTGACCCTAAACATCTCAATTTAAAATGTATTTATTCAAATTAAACTTGAAACACCAGTCGCAACTAATTCTACTTACACAATGTGATATTTTTGTGCGAAGAATATTCAAAGAGAAAAATACTTTTATGGTACGTTTACGGCAGACAACATAGTGAATAAACATTTAAAATATGCAACAACAACAACAAAAAGAGACAAATATTAATTAACCTAACGATTGCTAATCAAACGTTTTTCCTTTTTTTTTAAAAAGACAAAAATAACCGATTTACTCCAAATACATATATGTTCAATCGTCAAGCCGTAAAAATCTATAAGACTCCCAGAATGCACTGTGCTACTGTTTGCAATAATCATTCTAAACGATAAGTACTAAAGAAACACTGTTGTGACAGACAAAAAAATACTGAACAAAAGCACATTTGTACATCAGATGCATCACACACAATCCGTCAAGACCCTGCAGAGATATCTGATCTTGGTTAATCTGAGCTCTCGAGTTCAAAAGGAGATTTCTGTTCCCCCTCGAGTGCCTGACACAGAAATGACCTTGTTAGTGCAGCACAGCTGCTGAAAGACCCTACAGACATATTTACACACAACACACGTAATGAACCGATTGAGCCACACACACACATTATGTGAACGAATCCACTATAACAGGTGCCTGCCTGATCTGAGGTCTGAGATTTACTTACCGCTCATCTGCTCGCTGTCTGATCTCTTCTCTTCGACGGGCAAACTGCTCATCATCACGGTCAAAACTGAAAATAAACCAACATATAAATCACAATCACCACACTAATTTAATATAAGAGAGATTAGCATTAAATATGCAAAAATAATAATTCAATATCATGAAAATAATGTTGCAATGCAAACTAATCGTAATGTTTCTATAAATAAGCTTATTTTTTATGCTAAATAAATTCTTATCTCTTTAATTTGAGGTTGGGGTGAAATTTAACCTGGGCATGTTGTTGTTGACCAATGAAGCTTATTTTAATCATATTTATTAACCAGTAACAAAAGAGAATTCATAGCTCAAATTCACCTCCAGTCCTTGTCGACAGTTTTACAGTGACAACGAGATCAGCTTGAACAGATGTTAACATATTTTATGAAATGGATTGTAATTGTGATTGGATGAGCATTTAAATATTACTTACAAAGCACCAAATGGTTTAGCTCCTCAGTACTTAAGTGAGCTCTCAACGCGTTATAGTCCTTCACGTCTATTGTAATCTCAAAATTCTGCCCAGTTGATAATACCCATCAAAATCGACTGCAGGCGGTAGATCCTTCTCATATTTAGCACCCGAACACACACTCTGTCAGTTTAAAGGGGTCCTATTATGCTTTTTCACTTTTTCAACTTTAGTTAGTGTGTAATGTTGCTGTTTGAGCATAAAAAAGATCTGCAAGGTTACAAAGCTCAGTCCACTCCAAAGGGAGACATTTTATTATACAGAATCCACTTTTCAAGAACTACAACGAACGACTCGTTTGGACTACAACGAGTTTATTCCGGATCTTATGAAGTCACAATGGGATAATTTCAATAATTTCCGCCCACGGAATACCCAAAAAAGGGACGAGGCCTGGCTGAACTGCATTAGAGAACAGTGTTGTCGCTGTCAAAGAGACGCTGTTTTGTACACCCCGTTTCCAAAACTCATTTGTTTGACCTTCCTAAGGCTGACAAACTTAGAGTGGTTAAAACCTATTTTAAACACTGTTCCTGAACATTAAAACCTCAACGTTTATCTGTGCGCTGTACATTTTATGGAGAACAGCTTGTTTTCTGTAGATTTTGTAAGCTCTCGCTTTTGTAAGACAAAATTACAAAAAACATACCACTCTGAAATGTCCTTGCAAAGTCTTGCAAAGCCTCTTGTTCGTTAACATTGTCAGGGTCTGAATCGGCTCGAATTGGTTTGAAATTGAAGCCATTATTATTTACACTAGAGAAGAACTCGCAGTTCTGAAGGGACAGGACCAAACACAACACACTGGGCCAGCTAACCAATCACTAGGGCTGGTCCGAATACCATTTTTTTGAGCTTCGAAGCTTCGGTAGTAATGAACATCGAATATTCGAAGCTTCGGAATCTCTATATATCTGTCTGTCCATTTGCATTTTGATTATTTCGAGAACCGTTCATCCAAACGACTTCACAAGGGAGTGCAGTGTCGTATTTGGTGCAATATAGATAGACAGGCGACACGTTCAGAATTAATAAACTTTTAATAAACTACAGAACAGCGCGAGCGCCTCACGCGAGCAGAGCTTATATGCTCCGAGAATGGACACTGCACTAGTGATATAAAACACACACAGGTCTGTTAACTTAAGCAATATTTTTAATAAGGTAGTCTAATATTTTTCTCACTAACAAATTACTGACAAAGTAGGGTAGATTTAAATAAATAAAGAAGCGGCGCGCCTCACGCAAGCAGGGCTTATATGCTCCGAGAACGGACACTGCGCTAGTGATATAAAACACACACACGTCTTTTAACGTAAGCAATATTTTTAATAAGGTAGTCTTTTTTCTCACTGACAAAGTAGGGTAGATTTAAAAAAAAAAAAAAAAAAACGAAATTTAAATAAAGAAAAACGAAATTTAAATAAAGAAAAACGAAAAATAAATGTGACATCCTGGTAAAATCTCAAAGTCTCCTATATTTAGCTGTAGATTAATTTAGATTGATAAGGGTAAAAAGGATAATACATTTTGTTTCTATTATTCTATGTTCCAGAATGTCCAAGCAACGCAGCTTAACCCAAAATACAAGCTCAGGCATGCACTTCTGTCCATACAAACTCCACTGTTCTGCGCTCTAGTCAGAGAATACTCCCGTTGCAGGAACACGTTTAGTAGTCCAAGAAGAAGCAAATATATTTATTAAGTAGATATAACGAAGTTATATGTTAAGTATTATATTTCACCAGATTTTATAGTGTAAAACATATTCAAGCGCGAATGAGAACCGTTTCGAGGGGGATGCCAGGTGTGCAAAAAAAAAAAGAATATTCGAATGTCACATTTTCAAATCGAATAACACACCAAACGAATATTCGAATATCCGGGTCCAGCCCTAACAATCACAGATCATTTCATATTTCGGAAGGAGGGGCTTCATGGGAAACGGCGTGTTTGAGCCAGACTGGGGAGAGAGGTGCTGCAAAAATGTAAAATATGTGAAAAACATATTCTATTACACCCGAAAAACAAAATCAAGACTTCGTAAAAGGGCATAATAGGACCCCTTTAAAATAGACTAAAAACACATCTCTTTTACCTGGCAAACACATAACACATTAACACATTTCTATAATTCAAATCCTTTAAAAGGTTTGTTAGGCTGCATAAATTAGATCAACCGGAGGGAAAACTTCCCATAACACCCGGTGTACTTGCTACATCGAAAGAAGAATGGCCTCAACGCTAATATTAGTCTGTCTGTCTCATCCTTATCCCGAGGATACCGTAGTCAGCCACATCCGGGTCGTATCAGATCAGACGGTGGACCTGCACTTGGACACAACCTCAACAAAGCCCTGAATGTCAGCAGAGACCGTGTCTACTAGAACAATCCCCTGCGAAGGACTCGGCACAGATCCTCAGCAGAGAACGCAAGAACCAGACAAGTCCTGACCTCTCCACAGACCTATGACCAGTTTCGGCTCCATACCAGCGTGATCAGGATCTTCAAGCAGAAGGAACTGGATGAAATATTTTGAATTGCCGATCTACAATCTGATTCTGACTTGTGATCCAGCCTAAATGACACCGTGTTCGTTCATTCACCAGAGGAGAACTTACTTAACCCGCACACTTAGAGAAGAGGCTTACTTAGTTGGGGACACACTTAATCTTCAGCAATATTACTGATTTGACTGCACTGACTCTATTGGATGAGAACTCAATTTAGCTGGATGATGACATCACTGTTTTCTGCAGAGCTGCTTTATAGCTGAATTGATCTCATTTCATAATTGATGTACTTTACACAGTTATTGAACTGAAATGAATCATCACGGAACTGATTTCAATTGAATAATGACTGTTTACTATTGTCTTTTTAGAGCTGCTTTACAACAGAGTTGAATTCTGTTTGCATCACTGAATCATTATTTTCCTGTTTATCATTGTAAAGCTGCTTTAAAACAATCTGAATGTTATGAAGCGCATTATAAATAAAGGTGACTTTACTTGACTTAAAGGTGCTGTAAAATGCAAATATTTGATAATAATTCAACTAGTCGTGATGTTGCTTGACATTGACAAGCATAAGAGCTGAAGTTACACTTATAAACAAAATTATATGGCAGACGAATGATTAATTGTAATTACTATTATAAATAAATGTATCAATTATTAAAAAGGTGTCTTGTTTCATTCTGCTGGTGTTTTAAACGCAATAAGCCAGTCAAGGGCCGCGTGTAAAAGTGATCTTACCACGGTAAAGGATTTTTATGCACCCCAAATTTTCATTCATTTAAATAAATATTAGATTAAAAAACAAAATAAACAAAAATAAAAATGTTGCCTTGGCAACTAACTGAAATAAAAAAAACTTTAGGTTGACATACTAACATTCTTAAAAATAAAATCAAATAACTAAACAGAAACATTAAAAAAAGCAAAACAAAATTAAAAGCAAACTAGAAAACCAAAAAAGATATTTAAAATGAATAAAAATGACAAAAATCCATGATAAAATTACTAAAATGTCAACTTAAATTAAAAGCAAACCGGAAAACATAAAAATACAAGATAATTTAAAGCATTATTAAATACTACAATAGTATATTAACAAGTACCCAGACTTCACAAGACATCAAAATGGCAACTATATTTATCTGAGAGAATATAGAGGTGAATTCATGTTGTGATAGTATTTTACTGTCATCAACAACAAAACTGCACATGGATTCATTTAGCCTGTATGATGGCCGGTCGGAAGTAGAGATGTTAAAGCCATGTCAAAAGCTGACACTTTTCCTGAGATCTTGTTAAACACGTCTTTAAGAGACTTGCTTTAAAAGCAGTTTCGGCTGTATGAACATCGCCACTGCAAATAATCATTCCTCAGACCAAGAACATGAACAACTAGTACTAGAATCTGACATTTACAGTAATTCTGCGGAGAATCAGCAGCTTCAGGACAATCGCCTTTAGGTCATCACTGAAACTGAAATACAGAAACTCCAGGCACAGGAATTCCCCCTTGGATGATCAACCACAACTAAACATCCTTTACTCAGAAAGAGAACAAAAAATGTAACTGATCTGTAGTCTTTCTGTGAGTCTCAATACCACAAAGCATTACTACATTCATGCCAAGCTCACATGAGCGAATGGAGCTGAATGTGTGTTAATAAGAGGTAGAGGAAGTACTCGCTGCTTCTTTGAGTAATACACGTCTGTTTTCATCACATGAGATGTGTGATTGACACGAGGCCGGTAAGCAGATGGACGGCTTGCCAAATGAAATCATCTCTGATTGACTGACTGACACGTCACACACACACACAGTCATGCCCTATACAACCCGTCAAATACAAATACTGGCTTCTTTAAAAATCATCTCTGTGGGGACAACATCCATTCTTAAATAAATATATCTAATAGAAAATGTAATTCATTAACCCTATAAAGCTACTGTATCCTATTTGATACACAAGTTTCTCTAAATGATCAACATGATCAAAACTTTGCTAAAAAAAACTGTTTTACGCAATCTACAAAATGCTTTTTGCCGTCTGACTGATGCTTTATACTTTTTTAGCAGGTAAAAGGCCTTTTAGTATCATTGTTAAAAAACATCCACCTTCAGGTCAAGCTTCATGTGTCTTTTCCTTGTGAAATCTTTACTGATTTTTATAAAGTGTAAGAATAACTTTAATATTGTTGGTAATACTTCAAGACGAACACTTACTGAAGCACTTAATTATTCATACATAAATCATGTTAAAATGTAAGTATCTATTAAGATCCATCAGGGTTTTAAGGAACGTTTCTTTGTTCATTTCTCAATCATCATTATATTGCATTGCATTATATGTTTTGATCACAGTATAAAATACAGAGCATTTAAATATCATATTACCAAAACATATCTGATTGATTTACATTACAAGACAGAATTTTATCTTTCTGGCCATATGAATATCAGCATCTGCACTAAATTGCATATTTTTGAGAAGTTTGGGCACCTCTTTTGTCTGAAGGTTCAATAAACCTTTTTTTTATTTATTTTTTATAGATATGGCAGGCTTTACAGGGTTAATATTTTAACACAGAACGCATCAAAGCTCTGAGTTGGATGTGAAACCTGGTAGTGTGAATGTGACTATTTAAAGAAAAGAGGCACTGATGCTCGTATGAAGGACTGTATAAGGCGTCTTCTGTTAACTCATGAGTGTTTAACGTGTGAGTGAAGTCTGTCACCTTGATGAGCGTCTGCGTTTACAGCAGCAGCAGCAGCAGCACACAGCGATCGCCAGCAGCAGCGTTCCCAACACCACGGCCATCGCGATGATCAGAGCCTCGAAGTTCACTGGCACAACACAAAACAACAGCAAATCACAACACTGAACTTCATCCACACTGGCTCAAACAGATCTACTGAAGCACTGTGTGTGTGTGTGTGTGTGTGTGTGTGTGTGTGTGTGTGTGTGTGTGTGTGTGTGTGTGTGTGTGTGTGTGTGTGTGTGTGTGTGTGTGTGTGTGTGTGTGTGTGTGTGTGTGTGTGTGTGTGTGTGTGTCACTACTGACATCTGCTGGACATTTCCCCACAGTGCAAAAGACAGGAGCGTTCTCATGATTGACGAGATGCGCAATTGTTTTTATTGTTATCATGTGAGCATGAGCAATGTGATTCATCATAGAAAACTTAAAGCAAGAGGTTACGCAACAATGACATAATTTACGCAACTTATTTACGACCTGGACATTCTGATCTCATCTGATATGATTTAAATTCAACATCATCAGTGTCATTTTAGGTAATTCACCGTATCTTCTCTTGTGTTTTGTTCGATTTCTGTGTACACCCCTTATGGACCGGGTCAAATTCACCCTAATTGGACTCAATACAATTCCTCAAAAATCACACTATGAAAAACAACAAAGATTTAGATACAAACTGTAAACTTTTAATATCAACATTTGTCAAACATTACAAAAACATTATATCTGAAAATATGATTTATGAAAATGTTTTTAAAACATTTTTTAAAACAGTTTTGTTTTGACAAAATTGGAAAATAAACAGTATACTGATTTTTTTTTTTGCATATATTTTTTTTTTACTTTTTTTTTTTTTTTTTTTTTTACATTTTATGCTTTGAACATCGTAAATGAACAAAAAAAATTGCTGTATAATGAAAATTTTTCATTTTCCTAAGTTAACTTTACCTAGTTTCCTAGTTTCATTATTCACTCACTGGGAAGTGAGAAACCAAACATAACAAAAACATACATCAAATAAATGTTTTTTATTTATTTTTGGCTCTGTGAAGCTGCCTTTGAAAATCCTACATAAAAGTTTTGGTTAAAAACTAGGTATTTTAGATATTTTGAATATTGAAATGAGAGCTTATTTTACTATCTGTGTCTGACAAAGATTTTCATCTGTAATTTGCAAATAATTCTGAACACTGTAATTTTAGCTTTTTCAAGTGTGTTTGGTTAGGGTTAGAGCACTTTTAGATACACTTGCACGTTATAACTGGAGTTGAAGTGCCCTGACATACAGAAAATAAATGTTTTTATTTTGTATCTGTACAGTTGCTTTTGAATGGCTGTCTATGAGGGTCAAATTGACCCGCGAACATCACGAACATAACAGTAATTTTGTTTGTATATGTCAAAACACATCAGCATGTTGAAACTTTGCATGCATGTTCATCATGATAAATGAGAAAAAGTCACAAAATATCAAGAAAAAAAACAAAGGTTAACCAGTATTTCCAACAACTTGAAAATCGAAACGGGTCAAATTGACCCGCAACATAACACAAGGGTTAAGATAAGTGATAAGTGGTTTTGTAACCCTGAAACTGACTTGAAACTGAGCTGCTTCATGACACTCAAGAGAAATATTTGAGACTTTCAGTGTAGATGTGAGACACTAAGTAAGGGAGAATATAAAGCCATGCCTTTCATCATCGAGAAATAAAACTCAACATCATTTTTAGTTTGTGATGACAGTCTGAACGTACATTTTCACACGCATTACATTGACTATTTACCAAAAAAATAAATAAAAGAACAGGTAAATATTGATTTGAGTTTCAATTATTTATGATCTATACTTGTAGAGACTACAGAGATACAAAACTACTAAAACCCCTAAAGGGACATAATGAAGGAAAAAAATACGAGATGGCGGAACAATTATTTGTAAATGCTTTTGCGTTCCCCAAGAAACTTTGCGTCCGCTCGCAAAGAACACAAAAGTTCGAATGCAAGTTCGAGCGAATGCAAAAGATTTGTGAGGGAAGCAAAGGTTTTGTGAGCGAACACAACGTTTTTCAGGAGAACACTAACTTTTGCGAGCAAAAACATTGAAATATATTTTTATTCATCACCATGTCCCTTTGGGGGCTCAGTAAAAATCAACATTTCTGTTAAAGTTTGTAATGTCTTTGTGGTGTTTTTAATATGCTATCATACAAACCATGTGCAAATTCATAAGTCAACAGCATTGCTGAGTATTTTCTCCTTAAAACTGCAGTGAACCAAAGACAGTCGCAAAAACACGGTTTGAAATCGCAGGTGTTTCTGACGTCACAAACTACCTTGTAACCAATCACGTAACGAGGGGGGCGGGCTTTAGCATATCATTAACTGCCGTGAAGCAAGGGAGTCTCGAGAGAAGCCAGGTTATCCCTGTGCATTTTTCTGTTGATATGAAAAATCGTGTACATTTAGCAATATAGCGGGAGTATGATGTATATTACGATGTTAAGATTAGGGTTTCTCCACTGACGTTCTGAGTTGTTTAAAGCGTTTCTAAGATGCTGATTGTTAGAAGGCAGCTGTCTGACTCTGAGATGGCGAATGGGAACATGGTTTGCGTAAACATTAGCAACAGATTATAAGCTGTTTGATAACATAGTCAAGCAAAAGGCTAATCATATTAATTACCGTTATGTGTCCGACGTTGTAGAGAGCGATACATAAAACTCATCACCATTCTGATACATCGACTTGTAGACGAGCCTGAATAATTCACTCTTCCACTTCTTCTTCTGAATCAGTTTCTGGTTTAAACGTATACGGCTGAATTAAAGCAGATTTTCCAACTTGCCATTGTGTGGTGTTTACTACAGTAAACTCCCGGGGCCTATACCATGAAGCCGGTTTAGGTGGCTACTAGGTATGTTTCAGTTTAGTTTGCGCCAACCCTGGGGTTTTAGGCACCATGAAAGTGGTTTGGCTTTTAGCGGTGTTCATCGCCAGAGTAACTTACGCTACACGGCTACCCTGGTCCGGGGCAGGTTATGTTCCAGGTAAGAGGTTGCAAACCGAACTTGGACCAATCAGCTGTGAGCAAAGTGACACATGTCTGACGCAATAAAGTCACTCCACCTGTTTCTACTCCAAATTAAAGGTCACTACATAGCAAATCATTTTTAAAGACAAAATCATCGGGCTTTTAGTAATGCTTATTTAGAATAATAAAGTTGTATGATTTAGAAATTATTTATGTAATTATTATACCCTTAATCGATCACACATGTACAATTTTAGTTCATCAAATATTATTACGCAGATTTTGAAATGAATAAATATATAAAGGTAATACGCTTTAGAATCAATAGATGAAGCTATAAAATGACTACATGTGAGATTAAATGTTCAATTATCTCTATACCTTTATCAACTGTACAAACTAACTTCACAACTTTTACTTGCACTGATATACAGTAGCGAGACTTTTTCTTTTAGTTGTCCTCTTTCATAGACAGCTATTTTCTTCTTGCTGTGTAAATTTGTTTAAATTCTTAATATTTTAATACTTTTATTTAATAAGTGAATTGCGCTGCTTCTCTCGCGAGAAATGAATTTCAGTGAGTTTTGAATGAGTATCACTCTTTCTCATTTATTTATAAATGAATTTCACTGTATATAGTCTGAAGTATGAAAGAAATGTATGTAGATTTTTAGAATAACTAATTTCTACATTAAACACAACAATACGCCATCGCATTTGCGACTCTCCTATGATTAAAGGCGACACTTCCGGTTTTCTTCCCACCGGAGCCTCGCTTTCGATTTCAAAATGGCGGCTGCGTGAAATCTGCGTATTCTGAGCTGGTGTGAGTGAGTGGAGGCGGAGACTGATTTGCATATTCATGGGCATAATGAATAAAGCAAGGGTGTAGAGTTGCATTCAAGCTATTTTAAAGCATGAAAAAAAATTCACAGGAAAAAAAGTTTAAATATGTCATTTTGGTGATCAAAGATGAATTTTAAGGGATAAGATTATTGACTACAGGGGGACTTTAAATTATATAAAGCTGAAATAAAATTAAATATAAATATTAAATGGAAACCGTAAAACTAAACAAAAATGAGAAATGTTGCCATGGCAAATGAAATACATTTAAGTTGAAGTACTACAATTACTAACTGAAATAAGAATACATTTAATTATAGAATTTTTTTTTTTAAACTAAAAATAATAATAATGACAAAACAACATAACAAAATTACTACTAAAAACTAAATGAAAATTAGAAATGTTGCCTTGGGGAATAGAAATATTTTTATATTAATAGAAATATATAGAAATATTTTTAAAAAACAAAAAATAATAATAATGACAAAACAACATAAAAAATTTACTACTAAAAACTAAATGAAAATTAGAAATGTTGCCTTGGCATCTAACTGAAATAAGTTTAACTTGAAGTGCTAAAACAAACAAAATTCTCAGATTTTTTTTTTTTAGTATTTAGTATTAATATTTAACTATAATGAATAATTCTAACACGTATAATATCAGTGGTAGGAAACAGAAGATCGCTCATTTATACTGTGTTGCCCTGGACAAAGGTAATTATTCAGGAATATTTAACCACTGAATACCACGACTGACCCATCAGAATCAAGTATCAAGAGATCTGCATAATAAGTGAATTGAATGTCCTCAGGACTTGTAAAGAGTGCCATCATGACATTATAAAATTCCCCCTGTCTTTTAAAGGAAGTTGAACTAAGGGACTTTCAGCCCTGAATGCAAATCTCACTTCATGAATGTGAAAGTATTGCTTCCAGCGTCTCAACAGCTGGCTGTGTAATAGAAATCATCATGTATATTGTGCATCTTAAAGCTATTAGTTACATGATAGAACATGAACACACATCTAACTTACCCCAGCAAACACCCCAGCGGGCCTGAGAGAGTTTACACACCGACGCGGGAGGGATCACATACGACACGGGATAATCTGTGCAGCTGTTGTTGGTCTGGCACCACAAACACTGTTGGCAAAAACATTTATTATAATAAGTATTATTATTATTAAAGGCCTCATTCTGCAGAGGAGACACTATTTTAGTGGAAACACAGCAGCTAAAACATTTTCATCAATGCATTTGATGCTGTTTTGTTCTCTAAAACATTCATTCTGTTCGATCAAATGACACGAATCAGTCTGATATCAACATTTCAAAAGATAAAACGAAAGTATAATCATCATATAATTATTATATAAGTACAGACACCAAACTGACACAAATTGTAACTGTTTTGATGATAATTTTTATGACCATGGTTCTATACAAACGTAAGGTTAAAGCATGGATGCATCAATAAATCAGCACAAACACAAGCACATATCAATGCATTTGATGAATTGTATGTTTAGTAGTGTTAGTTGGTTTGTGTCTCTTTAAAATACTCATGACAAGTCAGTCTTTGTGTAAATAATAGAGTTATAATTAATAAAACTGGAGTGTCTGAGCAGATTAGTCTGATATACCCTTTTATATAAATACTTCCCTGAATTACAATATACATTTTTGAAACGTTCAGATGGCAGTGCAAAAAAGGAATGATCAAGCTAATAAAAAGTAAATGAGCAGTATATGGTCTTACCGAAACATTGGCGAGGCAGGTATCACAGGAAGTCAGAGTATTGCATGCTGGGGTGAGAATAAAAGCATATCAGAACAAAACACTGACATAAAAAGACTTTCACTCTGAGATTAAAGAGCTGAATTTAGCCAAATAATTACCCAGATGATCTGGAAACTCACAGGCAGAGATCATTAAGCATAACTAACTTATGCTTTACTTTGTTAAAGGGATAGTTCATTCTTCTGCTGAACACAAAAGAAGATATTTTAAAGAATGTTGGTTGTTCCAGAGTCCAGACAATTGACAGCAGCCATTGACTTCCATAGTATTTTTTTCTTACTATGGAAGTCAACTGTTTGGTTGAATGGTTCCCAACATTATTCAAAATATCTTATTTTGTGTTCAACAGAAGAAAGAAACTAATACAGGTTTGGGGAAATTGAGGGTGAGTACATAATGACAGAGTTTTCATTTTTGGGTGAACTATCCCTTTAAAGCTACCATCCATATGGAGGCCCATTTCCTCCAGATGAGAAAAAAAAATCATGCTTTGGTAAACCCTAATTATTGACTATATGACTTTTTATATCACAATTTTGACTTTTTATGTCATATTTATGACTATTTATGTCATAACTATGATCTACCAAAGCATGATATGATGTATTATGTGGCAGAAATGGGCTTCCTTAAAAATCACATACTGGATTACCAATCATAAATGGCATAAAATATACTATATAATAACACAACTTACAAATAAAAAACAAGTCCTTCAAAAATATTTATTTTTCCATTGACATTCACAAAATATGTAACTTACTTCAACTTAGTTATTCATAAAAGTCCTTTTAGTGTTTTTTTTTATATATTGATGACTAACACCACGGACGTTAAAAATAGTAACAGTTTTATATTAAATATATCATATAAATTATAAAAAATATTGTAATATGTATATATTAATTATAGACATACTATAATAATAATAAATATTTGTATATATATTAATATATTTACAAGACTTTATATTACAAGCATTTTCAGACTGACTATTTCAGACTATAGAGATATAGACTAAGAAGTAAGACACAGGCAAGTAAAAACATACGTTTGTGAACAGGTGGAGGAGTTGTAGGTTTAGCTGTAGTTGTTGCTGTCACAGTAGCGCTGAATGCGACACACAACAGCAGGAAGACCGACATCGACCCAAAGACTCGGGATTCATCCATACTGTGGATGATTTAAAGGTTTGTACAGCAGAAGAGTGTTGAATTGTATTTGAGCTCTGAAATCTTCCGTTCGACGAAGTGGAAATCTCAAAAACTCTCCTCAAAACGCAAATGAAACAATTCATCAAATGACAAAACACGGAAGCACAACAACCCAGCTGACGCATTTGTATTTTCAAAATAAAAGTCCTTTAAAAACTCCATAAATGGAAGTATAATCATCATATAATTATCATAAACGTACAGACACCAAACAAACCCAAATTTATTTTAAAAAACAATCATGGTGTATGTTATTATAACTTTATACCTTTAACCATATTCTTCGGCAGATTGATTTTTATTACCATGGTTTTGCTGCAAATAGCATGGTTAAAAAACAGTAGTTGCAACAACAGTACATTTGTGGTTACTGTGGGTTTACTACAAATACCATAGGTTACTGTACTATTGTTGGTATAGTACAACTATGATTATTCTCATTTATTGCAGGAACCAATTACTCATTAGAATTAGAAATTGAGGCATTGGTGTATTGATTCAGTCCTAGCCAGAATCTAAACATTGAATGTTCGCAACAAAAGAAAACATGTATGAGGAGGAAGCGTTAAGAGAGGAAATGGGTTAAAATGTGAGAGTGAGTCACTGCTGAGCATATGGTGAAATTAACTTTGCATAATAGTACTAATAAAAATGCTAAGAATAACACAATTAGTTTTTGAGGAATGTGACATCATTCCGGCAAAGTAAAAAAAATTAAAGCAATTGTAACTGTAAAAAAAAACTGTAATAGCCTTACATTTAATGTAATTATACAGTAAAATGCTGTTAATTATAAATACCTTCTTAGAATTTCAGTAGGCTACATTAGGGTTTTATGTTAGGCTGCATCTTATGTTGTTAAATTAATGTTCATTGAATTATTTTAGTGTCATGTTTCCAACCACTATGGTGTTTTGTATTTGTGTGTATGACACTGTGTGCATTTTCTATCTAGTATTAACCTGAGCTTGTGGAAAAGCTAATGACTTTAAATCATCACATGTTTTTTCTCTATACCACCAGTGTTATTATGGTGGATGGATTTAAGTCAAGTCACATTCATTTATATAGCGCTTTTTACAATACATATTGTTTCAAAGCAGCTTTACAGAGATAACAGGAAAATAATGCAAAAAAGTTTGTTTCCAGAAGAAAATAGCGATGTTTGATTTTTGTTTTAAAAAAAAAGGTATCAATTTAGTTAATTTATATACACTCACCTAAAGGATTATTAGGAACACCTGTTCAAATTCTCATTAATGCAATTATCTAATCAACCAATCACATGGCAGTTGCTTCAATGCATTTAGGGGTGTGTTCCTGGTCAAGACAATCTCCTGAACTCCAAACTGAATGTCAGAATGGGAAAGAAAGGTGATTTAAGCAATTTTGAGCATGGCATGGTTGTTGGTGCCAGACGGGCCGGTCTGAGTATTTCACAATCTGCTCAGTTACTGGGATTTTCACGCACAACCATTTCTAGGGTTTACAAAGCATGGTGTGAAAAGGGAAAAACATCCAGTATGCGGCAGTCCTGTGGGCGAAAATGCCTTGTTGATGCTAGAGGTCAGAGGAGAATGGGCCGACTGATTCAAGCTGATAGAAGAGCAACTTAAAATAACTTGAAATAACCACTCGTTACAACCGAGGTATGCAGCAAAGCATTTGTGAAGCCACAACACACACAACCTTGAGGCGGATGGGCTACAACAGCAGAAGACCCCACCGGGTACCACTCATCTCCACTACAAATAGGAAAAAGAGGCTACAATTTGCAAGAGCTCACCAAAATTGGACAGTTGAAGACTGGAAAAATGTTGCCTGGTCTGATGAGTCTCGATTTCTGTTGAGACATTCAGATGGTAGAGTCAGTTTTTGGCGTAAACAGAATGAGAACATGGATCCATCATGCCTTGTTACCACTGTGCAGGCTGGTGGTGGTGGTGTAATGGTGTGGGGGATGTTTTCTTGGCACACTTTAGGCCCCTTAGTGCCAATTGGGCATTGTTTAAATGCCACGGCCTACCTGAGCATTGTTTCTGACCATGTCCATCCCTTTATGGCCACCATGTACCCATCCTCTGATGGCTACTTCCAGCAGGATAATGCACCATGTCACAAAGCTCGAATCATTTCAAATTGGTTTCTTGAACATCACAATGAGTTCACTGTACTAAAATGGTACAGTGAATAGTACAGTTCACTGTACTAAAAATCACCAGATCTCAACCCAATAGAGCATCTTTGGGATGTGGTGGAACGGGAGCTTCGTGCCCTGGATGTGCATCCCACAAATCTCCATCAACTGCAAGATGCTATCCTAATATGGGTCAACATTTCTAAAGAATGCTTTCAGCACCTTGTTGAATCAATGCCACGTAGAATTAAGGCAGTTCTGAAGGCGAAAGGGAGTCAAACACAGTATTAGTATGGTGTTCCTAATAATCCTTTAGGTGAGTGTATATATAGCCGCTCTGGAGTAGGCCTAAACCATGATGTCATCGTCCAGCTCAGTTCAGTTCTTGTATAATAGTGTCAATGCAGGCAGATCAATATTATTGTTGAATATTAAATTAAATGTAAATGTTAAATATATAGATGTCAGTATATTAAAAGTACAAACAGATTTTAGTAGCAACATGGCCTTGCTAATTCAGCAGAAAAGGGCTGTCGGAATTACCTATTTTAACTACAGTTAGGCCTACACGTTGTTCTGTAAATATGTTTACATTTTTACTGTATTTTTACTGAATTATTATTTATATAGCAAGACCTGATAACAACCTTGTGTTCCTTGAATGCAATAGTCAAGATGTTGGAGCAAGAACGTCATGGAACAGCATTACGAAACATGCCAGACCTCCAGTTTTGACTTCCCTTTCAAACAGAAAAAGACCAAAAAATCCCCAGCAGGCAGCATCTGTCCACTGTGCAGTGTCGTCCCTCCGGCTGGCGTGTCTCATGGCTCTGGACGCAGCGATTGGGCTCTTTACTGTGATGACTGGTGAGTGAGATTTTAGTATATCTGCCCTGATCTGTATCTGTCAAAATCAAATCAAAATCCGATTATGATGCAAAGATCATTTTCTCTGAACATCATCTCAATTCTAACCATGAATTTCATTCTTACATGCTCTCTTTCCACACATCATTAAATAAAATTTAACACATAAATAATACAGTATATGTTAATGTTCATTAAATGCATGTGACTGTATTTGAGCATGTGCTCTATGAATGCAGACTCAGACACTTAATAACTTCCCTTTTCTATATTTGACTGTGTTGTGAAATGCTCTTGTCACAATGCAAGACTGATCAGAAGTGTTTTTTTTTAGATACACGTGAAGACCATAAAAGTAGTGTGTTTAATATTCTCATTAGGACAATCACTCTGACAGAAGTCATAATTTAGTATAATGCAGTTTCAATGAGCAAATTTTGGCAATGAGATGTGAAATATTATCAGACTTCATTTGCATCTGTTAAGTCATGCATATCTCTAGAATTACTGTAACACTTTACAATAAGGTTAGTTAATGCATCAGCAATACACGTTTGTGTTTATTAATATTTGTTAATAAAAAATAGTTCATCGTTCATGTTAAGATCCATGAAAAAATAATAATAACAGATACAACTTTGACACTTTATGATTAACATTAGTTAACTAACATGACAATGAAAAATACTTCTAAAGCATATATTAATCTTAGTTAATGTTAATTTAAACATTTACTAATACATGATTAAAATCAAAAGATGTGTCTTTTGGACCTGGGCTGACATGAACTAACAATGAACAATTGTATTTTTATTAATCAAAGCTAACAAAGATTAAAAAACACTGTAGCAAATATATTACTCATAGTTAATATTAGTGAATGCGTTAAATAATGTTAACTAAGTGGACCTTATAAGTGTTTCCAATTTTGGTATTAATCAGTAAATGTTGAAATTTAAAGTTAGCATTTTAGTTTAGGGTCTCATTCTCACTATGCTTATGAGCATGCATATTACTATATTGGCTGTTTATTAATACTTATAATGCACATTATAAGTATCAATAAACACTTATAAAACATATAAAACACTTATAAAACACTTATAAAACACATTATAAGTATATATTGTGTTTATAAGTGTTATTAATAAACACTTATAAACACATTATATACTTATAATGCACATTATATACTTATTCTGCATGACCATACATTCTTAATCCTACCCAATTTTTACCCAAAACCTAAACTCAACAACTACCTTACTAAATATTAATAAGCAGTAATTAGGAGTTTATTGAGGCAAAAGTTGTAATTGATAGTTAAATGTGAGAACTGGACCCTAATCTAAAGGTTGACCATTAAAATGAACTAAGATAACTAAATGCTGCAGAAGTATCCTTTTTGTTAGTTTCATGTTAACTGTCTGATGTATAGTATACTAATGTTAACAAATGGAAGCTTGTTGTAAAGTGTTACTGAATTATTTTACAGAAATATATATAGCCTTCTTTTTTTATGGTTGTGTAAACCGTTTCTTCTCTGTTTCAGCATGCCTGTGGAGGGCGACACCTGCTGTCTCCCTTTCTGCCCCGGGGAGAGTGTTTGTCCTGAAGGGATCGTGCCTCGTGCTGCCCTGCTCCTTCAGCCCGGTTCCCAGCGCAACGCGGATGGAGGTTCGGCTCACGAGAACCCCGACTTCCTACTTCATGAAGCTGCGACCGACGGTGTTCAGCACTCACCGCGGGGACGCGATTCATTCAGACTTCAGAGAGCGCACGTCCCTCGCGGGGAACCTCAGCTCCGGGGACTGCTCCATCAACATCCACAGAATTAGGACAGAAGACCAGAACACATATGAACTGCAGATGAGGGAGCTGGGTCAAAGGTCATGGGCTGTGGGCACCAAAATCAACGTCAGCGTCACTGGTATGCTAATGTTGTAACTTGTAGGCTACTAACCTGATGCAAATACAACTAAACCCGTTTTTAAAAGGGTTTAAAAATGTTGTTTAGGAAATAAATGTTAGTTAACTGAAATTAAAAACTTTTTTTTTACAAAACCTACAGCAAATAACAAATTATTTGAGTACGTTGCTAAGCAACATTTTTACATGTTCGTATAGTGTCGGTTGAAGTTTAAAGGGATAGTTCACTTTGAAATATTTTTTTTATATGTTTTAGCTTACCTCAAGGGCATCCAAGATGTAGGTGTCTTTGTTTCCGCAGTAGTTTCAATTTTGATATTTTTAGGTCAAACCGTTCTTGTCTGTCAGTCATATAATGCAGGTCTATGGTCAGTCACCCCCTCAAAGAGCATGCACAGAGAAGTCCAAATTAAACATGATTTCATGACTCGTAAATGTAAGTACACATTGATGGCCTAAGACACGAAACGAGCGGTTTGTGTGAGAAACCGAACAGTATTTATATAGTTTTTACCTCTTGTAACGCACAGACCGAAGCGCCCGCGCCCTCAGATCACTTGGACGTGGCTGTGGTTACAAGAGGTAAAAACGATATAAATACTGTTCATTTTCTCACACAAACCGCTCGTTTTGTGTCTTAGGCCATCAATGTGTACTTACATTTACGAGTCATTAAATCATGTTTAATTTGGACTTCTCTGTGCATGCTCTTTGAGGTGGTGACCATAGACCTGCATTATATGACTGAAAGACAAGAACGGTTTGACCTAAAAATATCAAAATGGAAACTTCTGCGGAAACAAAGACACCTACATCTTGGATGCCCTTCAGGTAAGCTAAAACATATCAAAAAAAAAATTCAAAGTGAACTATCCCTTTAAGTAGCCTAACTAAAACTGAAATATAAATATAGGCTATAAAAAAATCACAAAAAACACACAACAAATTACTTAAATTCAAAATATTATTAAACACTATATAGATAGCCTATATTTTAATAATAATAGTGACAAACAAACAACAAAATTTCTACAACTTTAACTAAAATGAAAGCAAAAAATATTTGAATAAATTCAAAATATTAATAAAAAACTATATAGACATGTTTAAAAGTAAGTAATAAAAATGACAAAAACACAAAAAAATCCAAAACTAACTAAAAATTTAAATGAAACATATTTATAGTTTTTTTTTTAAATGACAAAAACACACAACAAAAAATATTATAACTTTATCTAACAATAAAATGGAAATTATAAGAATAAAAACTAATTCAAAGTAACAATATAACTAAATAGAATTTAAAAAACTAGAGAGAGAAAAACAAAGACAGAGAAAACATTTTTAAATGACAATGGAAAACATAAAAATAAAACAATGAATTAAACTCATTCAAAATATAAATAAAAACTATAAAAGTATATTAAAGGTGCAGTACGCGATTTCTGAGAAATGCTGTCGAAAGTGAATCGGAACCAGCACCAAAACACAAAACACACTTGTAGCCAATCAGCAGTGAGGGGCGTGTCCACTCATGAGGGGGAGGTGCTGTGCTACACAGCTTTTTGGGGCGGAGCTATCAAGATAGGGGTGTGATCCTTTTGGGTAGGGGCGTATTTGTTTTGGTGATTTCAAATATCAACAGCGTTTCTCAGAAATCGCTTACTGCACATTTAATGATGTTCATGTGATTTTACATCTAATAACACAGAATAATGTGTGAATCATGTGTCTCATCATCAGATACGCCAGAGCCGCCTGAGGTCACTGACCCGGGGCCCGTGAAGCAGGGTCAGTGGGTCATGTTGAACTGTTCAGTGAGGCTCAGCTGCCCGTCCGAACACCCCCATCTGCTGTGGAAGTGGGAGCGAGGCGATCAGGGCGGGAGCAGCGTTCATGGAGACACGGAGCTGCAGCGTGACCCGGGTCACTTACCGGTCATGTGGACCTCACTGTCCTTTACTGTCCCGCAACACACAAACCCCAGAGTGCGATGTGAGGTGGACTATCTGAAGAACAGGAGATCTTCAGCCACCCGAGAGATCCTCGTTCACTGTAAGATGTCAAAGATCATTATTCACTAATCACAAACAAGCAGAAAAGCCATGGAAATTCAGTGGTTATGTACAACTTAAATTCAAACCAATGCTGCATATTTGAAAAAGTTGAGTTTTAGTTGCAAAAAAGTCCATTTTAAATGGTATAACAACATCCAAAGTGCCAAACCTTTTTTACTTCAAGACCCATCATTGTCAGAGACTTCTGCTAATTCTGTTGTAATTACAAAGCTGCTCAATTTCAAACATTTTATTTGTAAAAACTAGGGGTGGCCATTTAGTTTAATTAAATATTAGCCTATATATTAAATTTATAATAATAATATTTAATTAAAAAATTCCAGAATATTAAAGTTTATAATAAAGTTTACACGTTTTATTATCAACAGATTTTCTAGTCATTTTGTTACTTTTTTATTATTTCAATGTTTTTTTTTTATATATATATAGTTATTTATTTGGCTACACATATCAATTTCTAAGCACTGATAAAATATTTTAGAACTTGACATATGAATTAGAAAATTTCACATTCATTATAAAAAACTCTATGTCTTAAAATTTCACTAATTTCCATGACTTTTCCTGGTCTATAAATCACACTTTTAGAAATTCCCTCATATATCTAGATTTTCTGTGAGAATTGTGTTTCTGAGCTATAATTAAAATAAGAAATATGATACTGTAAAGTTGAGTCCGAGGATGAAGAAGATTGACAAAGTAATTCAAATATATACATTGTTTATCAATCAAATAGACTCGGGTAATCCAATAGTGGTGAAACACAACAATTGGATTCAATATACAAGATGACAAACTGAATGCTAACAGGTGGGATCTAATTAATGAGTAACCAAGGAGACTGATTGGCGGGAACAAAGGAAAACAGGAAACGGCTAACAAAAGATGAGCAAATTAAAAGTCCTTGATAATGAAACTAAGACAGACTTAACTGAAAGTAATTGTGACAGATCCCAGCTTACATCTTGATTTTCAGTAGTTTTCACTTATTTCAAAGTTTGTTTTGTTTTATTTTAAATCATCTTGAGGCCCCCTGGTTGAGAACCCCTGATCTAACGCAGTTCTAAACGTTTCTGGTCTCCTCACAGTTCCTCCCAAAGACGTCTCCATTCAGGTCCTCACGACGTCTGTCCGGGTCGGAGGAACTGCTCTGCTGAGTTGTTCCTGTAAGGCCGACCCGCCGGCATTTGAATTCCAGTGGTCAACCGTTCAGTCGGGAAACACGGTGATCCTCCCCAAACGCACTTCCACCGTCCGCATCTACAACGTGACCCGAGACACACGCGCTCAGTGCACCGTTGCCAACAGACTGGGACGGGCGGCGTCTCGCCTCACGGGCCTCAATGTGCAATGTGAGTCAACAGCCTCCTGCCTCCTGCTTTAGTAGTTTACACACTTATTTCATTCGTTCTGTCATTATTTGTTCTTTATTTGCTGGTTCCAATCCAGCATCTGTGGAATACAAAAGGAAACTTTTTTTTTTTGAGAATTTGAAGAAAAAAATAAAGAATTTGAAACAAATACAATAAGAATTTAAAAACATTTTTAAGAATTTGGAAAAATGTTGAATTTTTTTTTTTTTTTTTTTTTTTTGAAAATGTTTTGGTGGAATGCGAATGTTTTTTTTGAGCGAACAAAAAGTTTCAAGGGGGAACATTGAATAAGCATTGAAATGTATTTTTTCTCATATTTTTCCCATCATCATTGACTCTTAGGTGCTCTCTAGACCAGTATCATTGTGAAACTAGTATATTTTTTATTAATATTTGGAAGGTGTTTTTTTATTATTTTAATTTAAATTTTAATTAAAGTTTAAGTATGGTTTTTTTTGTCATTTTAGTAGGTTTTTTATTTTTTTTAAATATGTCTATATAGTATTTTTTTAGTTTTATTTTTATTTTAGTACATACATTTAAACTAAATTAAAATGAGAAATGTTGGCAACTAAAAAAAATTAAGTTGTTTATATTTTATTTGATTCCAGTTAATGTTTATTTTATTTCAAGTTAAGATTTTTTTTTAATGGTTCTAGTTTTTTGTTTGTTTTGTTAGCTATAATAATAACCCTGCCATAGAAACCTGTAAAACATGATACAAAATGACACTGCATTCTTCTGCTTCTGTATTCTGTCCTTTATAGTGCTGTTTTGTTTGTCTCATGTTGTACATGTCCACCATTCTCGTCCCTGCAGACGCTCCTGTGATTCTGTCCAACTCGTCCTGTGATTGGGACGGGACGCTGCTGTCCTGCTTCTGTGCCGTGGACTCTAACCCTCGTCCCGCTGTCACCTGGAGCGTGAACGGGACTCACCTGCCGGACACATATAATGCTTCTTTTTCTTATTTCAACCATATACTGACGGCGACTCTCAGTGGATTCGCAGACGCTCCTCTGCCGGTGGAATGTTACGCAATCAACTCACTGGGAAACGACTCTCACGTACTGTGTGAGGCTCATGATGGTACGCTACAGCTGAACAATGACATTTAGAGGATTATAGTTCAGACAAATATGAAGATTTCAAACCCCTATTATATTATTTTTCTGTGGAATCTTTGTTTGCAATGATTCTGTAACTGATCCATTAATCCTGAAGATTCGAAATGAGAACACTTCCTTCTGCACATCCTTCTGTTTTAAACTATTAAATATAATACTTGGTAATAAAATTATGCTTTTATCTGCCAATAATAGTTTTTATACTATTAAATATAATAATTGATAATATAATGATGCTTCTAGAGTGTAGTAAAAACAGCTCTGTTTAACACAAATTTACTGTTTAAATCCATTCTACAGATTTTTCCAAAAATCACAGTAGCACCTCATTGCAGTACACGAGATCCAGGGGGCGGAGTTGGATCCAGATCTAAGGGGTGGAGATGGGTAGGATTAGGGGTGGGGTTAGGGATCAGGGGGTGGAGATGGGTAGGATTAGGGGTGGGGTTAGGGATCAGGGGGTGGAGATGGGTAGGAATTAGGGGTGGAGTTAGGGATCAGGGGGTGGAGATGGGTAGGAATTAGGGGTGGAGTTAGGGATCAGGGGGCGGAGATGGGTAGGATTAGGGGTGGGGTTAGGGATCAGGGGGTGGAGATGGGTGGGAATTAGGGGTGGAGTTAGGGATCAGGGGGCGGAGATGGGTAGGATTAGGGGTGGGGTTAGGGATCAGGGGGTGGAGATGGGTAGGAATTAGGGGTGGAGTTAGGGATCAGGGGGTGGAGATGGGTAGGATTAGGGGTGGAGTTAAGGATCAGGGGGTGGAGATGGGTAGGATTAGGGGTGGAGTTAAGGATCAGGGGGTGGAGATGGGTAGGATTAGGGGTGGAGTTAAGGATCAGGGGGTGGAGATGGGTAGGATTAGGGGTGGGGTTAGGGATCAGGGGGCGGAGATGGGTAGGATTAGGGGTGGGGTTAGGGATCAGGGGGTAGAGATGGGTAGGATTAGGGGTGGGGTTAGGGATCAGGGGTGGAGATGGTTAGGATTAGGGGTGGAGTTAGGGATCAGGGGGTGGAGATGGAGATGGGTAGGTTTAGGCATATGTAAGGTGGGAGGAGTTGGATCTGGATCCAACTACTCCCCCTGGATTTCGTGTTCTGCAGTGAGGACCATCTCAAAAATCAGGACAGGAAATGAAACAAAAAAGAGTAGAAAAGTCATGAAAGTATTTGTGGTAATGGTGTAAAACCTGAAGAACATTCAGTAATGGAAACTTCTGGAATTTCATTATTTTACTTATTTATAATTATTTTATTTTATTATACTTTTAATTAAATATTAATTTATATCAGTGCTGTCAAATCGATTTATCGCATCTAACATCAAAGTTTTTGTTAAAATAATATATGTGTATATATACTCTATATGTGTGTGTGTGTGTGTGCGTGTTTGTGTATATAAACATATACACGCATACATATATATCAAGCGTTGCGTCAGTTCTGGCAGGTCACGTTAGTCAAGACTCTCAGCTGATCTACGTCTACCTATAGGAATAGGACGCCTATCGCTGTATACATATATAAGCTCTTCAGTGTTATCAGTAGCTGTCGCGTTTCTCAGGAGCCGAATACCCTCCTCCCTCCCTAGCTCCTCCTCTCGTCAGTCAGGATTTGGCATTCTGATTCCCCTTGAATCAGAATAAATTCTCGAATTATGTTGTACTTTAAAATCTTGAATTAAATATATTTGCATGCATTCATGTTGGTTCTGTTCTGTTTACCTTAAGGGGGGTTATTGCTGCTCTTATCCATGCTAGGCTTCATGAAGCGCAGGGAGTTCTCGCCCAGAACAAAACCACACCGCCAATCCAAACTGTATGCTAGTTGTCAATCGTATTTGACGATAGTGGTCCTGACAGAAATATGTGTATATGTGTGTGTATATACAGTATACACACACACACACAAATATAATATAATAATATATACACACACATACAGTTTATGTTAAAAAAAAATTACAGCACTATAATTTATAATATTTACATAAATGTTTAAATATTTAATTTCTAATTTAAAAAACAAAGTTTGCATATTCATTACATGTGCATTATAATGAGGAAGTTTTTTTTTTCCACAGGTCATCTGAAATGGATTCTTATACCAGCAGCATGTGCTGTGTTTTTCCTTCTGCTGCTGAGTCTTCTGATATTTTACTGCTGTTGCTGCACAAACAGACAGTAAGATCCTTCTCACTAATGTTTTATCATGTGCTTATGTCATTAACAATTCAGTTTCAGGTTTGACAAATCTCATCTGACTACATTCAGTGTAAATAACATCTGAGCTCTTTTCTTGTTGAAAAGGAGACGTGTCATGGCCTACAGACCTCCTGCAATACATCCAGAGAGTCTCGGCATCTATCAGGAGCGCATGCCGCTCTACATTAACTGCAGTGAGGTCACACACATCTACACCAACGGCAGTTACCAGCTCATCTATCAGAACAGCACTCCACTTTTCGTACGAAGCAAACAGGTAAAAAGCGATGATGAAGATTGGTATGTTTTGAGTCAAGACAATTGTTAGGGACAGGGCCTAAGTGAAGCGACGCATAAATTCTGTATTTGATTTTTATTATTATTATTATTTAAAAATGTATTCCTACAAGTCCAAAAGCGCATTTATTGAGTTTTTTTATTAACATTATAAGTGAAAGTCATATGGGGGGAAAATATGTCACCAATCTGAGAGGTATCACAACATCAAAATGCCATCTGTATTTATAAAAGGCATGTGTATTAATGATGAATTTGATTTTGAGATGCAGCCGTCTCTGTGTTGCAGATGCATAAGAGACAAAGACGAGCAGCCAGGCGACAGCGAGAGCCGCGGGAGAGACCAACCGCCGTCACAATAGACTCTGACACGGCCATCTATGTGGAGGTCATATGATCACAACCTCGTCAATGAATCCTCAAATAACAGAAGAAATCTTCCCTGTCTGTGTTTATATAACCATACCTCTGCGTTTTCACTGAGAACTGAGCCGGTGCTGGTGCTGTTGTTTCTGTATCACCAGCCTCCAGAAATAAAGAAATTAAAAACAATGTCTTTGGCATCTCAAGCTACAGTTTGAAGAATATGAAGAAATGCATGTGTGTGAATATTGTTTGTTAGGCTGTTTGCAAAATCATTGAACAGACAAAATGTGGCTTTACTATGTGTGTTTTAATCGCCATTCAATTGAACAGCCAATCAGTGATTTGCAATTCAGTCTAAAGTCATTTCATGTTATTTTCATGAACACTGACTGAGCTATGGAAAGTCACATTCGAGAGTGTCTAAAGATTTTCCTTTGACATGCGCTTTAAAATTAAGTCATTAGTGAAAATTCTTTGCATCATTGAAAAGTCAGTATATTTCAAAGGTGGTATTTGTACATTCCAAGGACAATATATTCATAAAATGATACAAGACAAATGAGTCATGAACTGAAAGTATTTTAGGTCATTCCTGAGGACAATAGAAAAATCAAAGTATAGAGTTTATTGAAAACACAAACATGCAGGCTGAGATTGGAACAGGGAAATGGGCAAAAGGTTAAATAGTTTGAACACTAAGATTGATCTTGTCATGCAACCGAGAAAAAGGGGAACATTGTTTGCCTGGTAAGTGCTAGACTTGTCAGATGGCATTTCAAAGAAAACCTTAAAGCTGTGCAGGTGGAAAATTACAACATCCAGGCCTATTAAAAACAAGCACCAAAGAAAGGGTATTGATCAACATTTCAGTTTCTCATTTTGTGCTCATAGCAGTGAGAAAGGGAAAAGACTGATTGACATAGAGACTTTATGCATGACAGCTCTCACTTTGTAAATTAAAGCATTTTGTTTTAGATTTTGTTTTTGTTTAGATTTTTTATAACCTCCATATATTTTTTTTCCTAATGTTTTGCAATTAAAACGGACCTTTTTATAGAACAAATAACCAACATAGCATACAACATTACAAAACAAGGAAAAACATTAATTGCAGCAGGGGATTCAAAAATAATATCAAAATATTTTAAACATGTTAATGACTTTTTGTTCTTTAACAATTTCAGAGAAGATATGAAGCAATCAAATTATAATTTAAACAACTTAAATATCAGGGATGAGTTATAAATATAAATATTTTTGCTTATGGATATACAATTTTGCCAACAGTACAAATAAATTAACAATGTATTCAAGACCTTTGTTAACATTGTTTTCATAATACACAATAATACATTAAAGAAAAATAGTATTTAATTTTTACTAAATTAAAGGTAAATTCTGCCAATTCCTTCCAGAAATTTTGGATAATCTTGCATTCAAAAAAGCAAATGCGTCAACACCTCTTTCCCACTTTTACAAAAAGAACATAAATCGTCAATATCAGAGAATCTTGCAATTAATGATTTAACAGGGTAAATAGTATGCAAAATTTTAAAATGTATTTATTTGGTTTTATTATTAACGCAATATTTAAAGGGGATTAACCAAGCAGTCTTCCAATTAATATTATCAATAATAGAGTTCCAAAAAAATCCTCTATAGGTAGGCTACTATTTTATTTTGTATGTGGAATATTGTACAAATATGTTTATTATAGCATTTTTATCAATCAATTCAATGCCGTTTAATATTAATTTAGGATTTATTTTTAATGTGGGGTTAAATTAAAACGGACCTTTATTTTACCATCTTTCCCACTGATGAAGCGTCGCTCTGCCTGTGATACGGTGATACGACGGTCGGCGGAAGTGATGTCACGTGTTGTGAATTGAGAGGGAGTTTGTATGCGTGAGTGGTCGTGAAACAGTCTCCACACAAGCTACAATAAGCCACATAACTGAGGTCTGCAGACTTTGGACTTCGGTACAGTGTTCTTGATTTAATTCAATTGAGTGTCTGAATGTTTTCAGCCCTGTTTCTATCGCTTTAATGACCGCTGTAATGCAGCTCCATTGTTCGCTAACAGGGCGCTGTGAAATTATGAAGCATGCTAGTTAACTTAACTAACGTTAGTCGCTTTAATGGTCGAATACTAGCTAAACCACACCGAGACACTGTTGACAATCATTTGGTCCAGATGCGAGCTGATGACGCACTCAGTCTCGTATTTATGAATGACAGCTAGTCTAACAGATATTCAGTGTAAACAAAATATATGAATGTGTTGCTAAATGTTTTCAAGTCTGTCTCGTTTAGATAATTATTGAGTTGATCTCTTAAATAAATTTGTATTTTTATGAGGCCAAAACACTCAAATATTTGAGTAGACTATAATGAAATAAATCGTAGCTTAGATTACAGCCAATTGTGAACAGAAATGCTCATATTTTAAATATTAATGCTGTTATTGTCACTTTTGTATGTATCTGACCATAGTTACCACAATATTTATAAATCTTTTGTAGATTAAAAACTGCTTGCTAGAAATGATTTGATTTGTGATCAAATCCTTCTTTTGAGTCGATTCACAGATCGAGTGCTATAATGTTCACTATTAATGAAATACTTCTTTTGTTGTACAGTGTTTTCAGATTTTATGAGACCAGAGACCAGTGTTTAATTTGACGAACATGCCTGAAATCAAACTTAAGCATATCGTGTCTTGCAGCAGTGAGGACAATGTAAGTATACATTTTCTATATAACTTTTTTTAAATACATTTTTAATTAATACCTTTTATATTTAATCACAATAATCTACTAACAAGAGAAGACTCTGTATATGAGGACAGAGAGAAGTCTATTGAAACAGATCATTTGAAATGATTCACAGAAATGAATGAGAAACTAACTCTCATTAATACTGAAGTTTAAATGCGAGACTATTAAACACACTCACAAGATGAGGAAGAATGAAGCTAGTCTAATAACATGATGTTAATGACCAAATAAAAGTGTTGTTTGTTCATGAGACTTGTTCAATCCTTCTGTGCAGACTCACAAGGCAGACAACCTCTTGAGCTCTGACACGTACAGAAAATGGAAAGCTGCAAGACCTGGAGAGAAGCAAGTTTCAGTCATTCTTCAAGTATGGCTTTTCTGTTATATTAATTTATTAATATTCTGTTTATTAATATTTTTAATGATTTATTATTTAAAATAAACATATAAAAATATTTATTTTTAAGATAAGAACTGAACATCACTTGCACTTATTTTAATATTTTTTATTATTAAATAAATTTTTGTCTCTGTTGTTTCTCCAGTTGGAAAAGGAAGAGCAAATTCACAGCATAGACATTGGAAATGAAGGCTCTGCTTTCATTGAGGTCCTTGTTGGACACTCCACGTCAGTCAAAGATCAAGACTTTGAGGTGCGTCTTAAAGGGATACTCATCCGTTTTTTCATACTAAACTATGTTATTCTCTTATCTAAGACGAGTTGATACATACCTCTCTCGTCTCAGTGCGTGCACTGAATCGCTCTGTCGGGCGGAGAACTTTGAGAGCAGTTAGCTTAGCCCCATTCATTGTATATGGGCCAAACAGAGATGAAGTTAGAAGCGACCAAACACATCCACGTTTTCTCTATTTAAATATAGTTACACGAGTAGTTACACGACCAAGTATGGTGACACTAAATAAAATGTGGCGCTTTTTATAAGCGGGTAAAATGGATAACTATAATGTATGGCGGAATAGCACTTATTGGGAGCACTTCGACTCGGCGCTGTAATATCTTCACTTGTGAAAAGTCCTCTCCCTCTCCCTCTCCCTGATACTTCGTCAACTCTGCACAAAAAACTACTACTACTGCAGGCGTGCAGGTCACGTTGGTTCTATTGACGGAAATGACAGGGAGAGGGAGAGGGAGAGGACTTTTCACGAGTGAAGATATTACAGCGCCGAGTCAAAGTGCTCCCAATAAGTGCTATTCCGCCATACATTATAGTTATCCATTTTACCCGCTTATAAAAAGCGCCACATTTTATTTAGTGTCACCATACTTGGTCGTGTAACTACTCGTGTAACTATATTTAAATAGAGAAAACGTGGATGTGTTTGGTCGCTTCTAACTTCATCTCTGTTTGGCCCATATACAATGAATGGGGCTAAGCTAACTGCTCTCAAAGTTCTCCGCCCGACAGAGCGATTCAGTGCACGCACTGAGACGAGAGAGGTATGTATCAACTCGTCTTAGATAAGAGAATAACATAGTTTAGTATGAAAAAACGGTGGAGTATCCCTTTAAAGTTACAAGCTTTAAAAGCATCAAACAGTTTAAATGGCATTATCTTAGAATACATTCATTTATTTATTATCCAGTTAAGTTCAGATAATACACATAACTTCAAAGCACCTTTACAGGAAATTGTTAATGTTTATAATATCTTAATATCGTCATGCCTAATAGTTGCATTTAGCAGATTAGAGCTGGACGATAATATAGTTTATATTTTGAGACATTATAAACAATCAAGCAGTTGAGATCTGCTGTATATGATATATTGCTTGACATGAGTATACTGTATGTAATGCGGATAAAGATGGTATAGGTGATAATATAGTTACATTCTGTGAAGAAAAAAAATATCTTTCAATAAAAAACTTTTCCATCTCAATTATGAACACCTAATGCTCTCCCATAGTAGATCAACTAGTGAGTACAATATGTATAATTCATATTTATTTGTGACACCCATTATTTTTTGCTCTTATAATTACCAACACATTCAACATAATAGCTGCATAGACAATACATCTCCTATACAAACATGTAAATAGCATATTTTAGTTGTCAGTGTTATTTTTGTATTATTGACTAGTATAGATTTTATTATTAATAATTTTTGGTTTTACTTTTTGTTTTTTTTAGGCTGTGTTAAAAAAACAGAGGGTGCATATGCTTGGACTCTGTCCTTGACTATGTACATTTAAAACGTTTTTAATATTGTATTTTTTTTTTTTTTTTTTTTTTTTGCATGGAACCTCAAATTTGTTACCTTCTGGGTTTGTCCTATTTGATGCACCATTACAATATTTAAATGCTAAATCAAATCTGACTAAACCTACATTTTGGGTGAAATATACTCAAATATACTTGCATTTTTGTTTTGCAATATAACGTGACAATATATTTTTACACCCCTAAAATATAGCAGCAAAGGCATTTGTAATTTACATTTACATTACATGTATTGAGAATGAGGAGGTGACGTCACGCGTATCACTCCGCGTTGCATTGTGGGAAGGATTCGCCATCTTGGTAGGATACGCTATCCGTTGTCATGGTTACTTCGACCGTGAGACCGAGAGAAATAGCGACAGAGAGAGAGAGAGCAGCTTGATATTTGTTTGCATTTTTGCGATAAGGCACAGTTTCTTGGGAATAAATGAAGAAGGGGGAAGCAAAAGGAAAGGGGCTCTATCGGGAGAGACTAAATAACAACACCAAGCAGCGTTTTTTAGAGAAACTAAGTTACTTGACATCAACATGGACCCGTACGGTATGACCTGCTACAGAATGGACGAAAGACCCAAAGCACTACCACCTTTCACATACCCTGACATAGTTAATTACCTGGTTTGTTTATGGTATCAGTGACTAACGTTACTGCCTACACAATGCAAGAGTTCAGAAGCTTTAAGTCATTAGAAGCTGAACAAGTCTGCTGCGGCTGGGTGCAAGACTTAGAAACCCCCAAACCTGTAACGTTAAACTGCGAGAGTTCAGTCATACTTGATGTTTCAGGCCTCATTCATATGTGGAAATAAATCTGATATGAATTAGATACGTGCATTGGCACCTGTCGTGCAACGTTAAGCGAACAGATCAGAGATTCCCCTGTCAATGCGAATCGTACGTCATTAAAAAAATGTCTTTTTAAAACATTTCGCGGTACAGATATATCTATAACAAATGAAACAACTCTAGATGAATAACAGAGTATTAATTTCGTTCGTTTCTATTAAATAAAAGGCGAACTGTGCTGAAATGTGTTGCTTTTGAAAGCAGGCTTTGCTCGCTGTTGCTGCTGTCAGTTTATTGACAAGCAGTTTCTCTGAGCTGGCTAGCATTGTTATTTAGTCTCTCCCGATAGAACCCCTTTCATTTTTCTTCCTTCTCCATATCTTCCAAAGAAACTGCGGCGTATCGGTAAAATGTAAACTGTAAACAAACACTAAGCTGCGCTGTCTCTCTTTCGCTATTTCTGGAATGTTTTAGTCGCGCCTCTGTGAAGTTCTGAAGGCGTTGCCCCTGGCAACCGATAGCGTCTCCTACCATCATGGCCGACCGGCTCAGACCCCGCCCAAATCGGCACGTGACTCCTCACTCTCAATTCATATAGCAGATGCTTTTATCCTAATTTTAATTTAAATTTTAAATCAGTTAACGTTTATTTTAGATTAAGTAACATTTTATTGGTTTTAGTTAACTATAATAGTAAACTATTTTTGTATATCTACTTATTTTTTTAACATTCCATATCTTCTATCCATATTAAGTTATGTTTCTTACTTCCTTAAAGGATTAGTTCACTTCAGAATGAAAATCTCCTGATAATTTACTCACCCCCACGTCATTCAGTCGAGAAAAAATTAAGGTTTTTGAGGAAAACATTCCAGGATTTTTCTCCATATAGTGAACTTCAATGGGGTACAACAGTTTCAATGCAGCTTCAAAGTGCTCTACTGGATCCCAGCCGAGGAATAAGGGTCTTATCTAGCCAAACGATCTAGCGGGAAAAAAACAAACGTTTATGTACTTTTTGACCACAATGCTCATCTTACACTAGCCCTGCAATGCGCCAAGCATTACGCAATCCCGTTGAAGGGTCACGGTGTACCCTATTGAAGTCCACTATATGGAGAAAAATTCTGGAATATTTTCCTCAAAAACCTTAATTTCTTTTCGACTGAAGAAAGAAAGACATGAACATCTTGGATGACGTAAATTATCAGGACATTTTAATTCTGAAGTGAACTAATCCTTTAAGCACACACCTGAGGTATAAAACCTGAGGTATAATTTTCAAGGCTGTTGAAGTTAATATGTCTTTCTTGCGATCTGTTGTAGGTTCTGTTGGTCACGTCATCCTTCATGTCACCCACAGAGAGCCGTAACGGCTCAAACACGAACCGAGTGCGCTTCTTCGGACCCAACCAGCTGGTGAAGGCCACGGCGCAGGAGAAGTGGGACTGCGTGAAGGTTGTGTGCAGTCAGCCTTACAGCAAGGTGAGCACTGTCATTGTTTTCTCCCATGTCAAATCAAACATATGCACCTGACACGACAGTAAGAGTGTGAATCGTGAGCCTTTTTTCTCTGTTCGTGTGTAGTCGATAGCATATGGAATCACCTTTATAAAGCTGCATTCTCCTCCAGACGGTAATGATGTTCCCATCACGACTCCACCGGTGAGTGCTGTTCCTCCACAGCTCGTGTTCAGTGTCCTGCTGTTTGACGGCTCTTGAGATCTGTTGTCTCTCTTCCTGACAGAAACTAACTAAACTGGGTCAGTTCCGTGTTAAAGACGAATCCCCTTCTTCTGGTTCAAATATCCAGCCGGGAAGTCTGTTCTTTAGCAGAGAGAGCACTGGTAAATCCAGCACAGGACTGAAAGGTAATGCATATTACAGTATTAATGTAAACCGTTTGATGAATCCCATAGGCTACATAAATGGTCGGACCTTTATCAATACCTTTGCTGGTATTAGGCCTGTCACGACTCCCGATCATGAATTGTGCTGAATACAGATAATTGCGATTAACAATTTAATTCTATTTGGTTCTTGACCGTGCAAGGCTAAAGCTATTTTGTTATGTTTTACTTTCAATCACATGAAATATAATAATAAAAGTTATTAAAAGTAGTCCCATATGATTTACTTCAATGCTGAAAACAAAATAATAATTCTGAGACATGATGCATAGAGGTTAGGAGGTTTCTTTAAGGCGAGACACGGTAGGCAAAAAAAAAAATTTTTCACTGGTCAATTTTGAGATTTCGGGATATTTGTCTTCAAAAACATGTCTTCTTTCAGACTTGTGGTGAAAAAAAGTCCGAAATACACATTTAGGTCTTTATTTTACTGCACTTTGTCTGTTTGCGTCTGTAGATTTCTCATAAATTCATCAAAAGTTGCCGATCTAAAATAAATCATCCGTTGATCGCGATCTGCACCCTGTCATCACACACACCGTTAGAAAGCTCTCTCTCTCTCCTGTACAATGCTGTCGCATCCAAATATGGTCATTTCCTTTTTATCAGCAACCAATCTTGAAAGTAAAAGGGCGCAAATGCGCAATCTCATTGGCTGATGCTAAATCTTTAAAGCCCGTTTTCTCAAAATGACTTTTCTCTCATACTCAAAGTCCGAAATCTCCACTTCGGTAGCACCTATACACACCAAACTTTACAGTCTTGTACCTAGTTATATTATGAAGACATTTACCGAGGGATTTGTAAATATATTATTCCTAGCCCGATTTATATAACATTTTATTCCAAAAAACATGGCAAAAATATATATTTTTTTAAGGCTATTGACAGTATATTCTGATTTATAGGATAACAAAAGTAGATATCCATAAATCCCTCTGTAATTTTTTCCCATCTAATATGTGAACACAATGAAAAAAGAATTTTGAACCTGGCTTTATCAATACTCAGATTTCATTTTTTTAAATATATGCAAATTAGCGGATATTTAATTAGATAATGCCTAATTTGCATATTTAAACATTAAATTACAGAAAACTTGTAATAAATTTTTTTCTCATCTTAAAGGAACACTCCGACTTTTTGGGACTTTAGCCTATTCACCTTATCCCCCAGAGTTAGATAAGTCCATACATACCTTTTTCATCTCCGTGCGTGCTATAAGTCTGTTTGACGCACCCACCGCTAGCCTAGCTTAGCACAAAGACTGGATGTAAATGGTTGCAGCTAGCATACTAATCCAAATAAGTGACAAAATAGCGCAAACATTTTCCTATTTACATGTTGGGATTTGTATAGTCACAGAGTGTACAAAAAACTACGTCACATGAGACACAGACATATTTTAACAGTATAAATACTGGGAACTATATTCTCTGAAGGCGAAGCACTGCTACTTGGGCGGAGTAATAACCGCAGCACCTGAGATATGTTACATTTTTTTTATTATATTGAATGTTACTGTTCATAATAAAATAATTTTTGATTTCCTTCCAAGATAGATTTTATCCATGCTTGGTGAATGTTCATTTTGGGTCCTGTGTGCGCAGAATTGCACAGAAGTAAATGTAATAACCGACACAGAATCATTATTACCTGTTTGTCTCGATCAGTGTCTCCTCAGAATGACAGGTTGAGTTACGCCACTGCTGCTCTGAAATCCGACGGTTCGTCCACACAGTCGTCTTCCAGCACACAACAGGTACTGACCCGTATGTTCAGATCAGAACTAGGGATGGAGCGAGTTATCAGGTATTTTTTGTTGTTGTTCTATTTAGTTGTGCGACTACTCTTTGGGGGCAGTAAGATTTTTCTTTTGAAAAGAATTATTTTATTCAGCAAAGAATCCTGAAAAAAATGGATCACGGTTTCCACAAAAATATGAAGCAGCACAACTGTTTTCAACAATGATAATAAGAAATTTTTCTATTCAGCATAATAGCAAATCACCATATTAGAATGAATTCTGAAGGATCATGTGACACTGAAGACTGGAGTAATGATGCTGAAAATTCAGCTTTGATCACAGGAATAAATTACATTTTAAAATATATTTTTACATAGAAAGTAGCAATTTTAACTTGTATTTATATTTCACTCTATTTTTGATCAAGTAAAAACATTTGACTTTTTTACTTTTTTGAACTTCTCTCAAAAACATTAACATATCTCCACCAACCATAAACACCACAGTGTTTCTCTCTTCAGGTGTGGAGCCCTATATAACAAGCCCTATATAACTGTATTCCTGTCCTCTAACTAACGAGGAGCCCATTTTACTTCCTTATTAAATTAGCCGCTCCACATATGGTCCCCATAAATCATCTCTCCGATGCGAACACAGTTCCGGATGCTATTGTCTTTGTGCTGAAGTGGCAGATATTTTGTAGTCGCCTGCAATGGATTATTGACCTTTTATAGCGTTCCAGAATTATATCCTTATAATAACTGGATCTGGAGAAACTGAATCTTAGCAGGATCTGAGATGAAGATGCTCCACCTGCTGTAGGACATCAGCGCTTATCAAACGCTCCCCTTTGAAAATATTAAAGTCACCATGAAATCGAAATTGACTTTTCTTATTTTTTATGGAATATCGCAGTATTTATTAAAAATAATTGATCCATGCACATCATTATTTATTTAAATTCATGTACATCATAATCTTTAATCAAAATAACTTCCCCGCCCACTTGCAAGGTCTTCTCTTCTCTGATGACCTGTTTATTGGCATGAGGGCGGGGAAAGCTGTCACTCACAAGATCCACCAATAGCAAACCACAACCATCCAATCAATTCCCCAAGGACAAAATCAAGCCCCGCCCTACATTTTTTCTGATCCGAGAAGCTGTTTCACTGCGATATACGTCACAATAGGGAAGAAAAGACTATCGCAACTTCCATTTCATGCTGACTTTAAAAACTCTGAACATTAAAAGAAACAGTTCTCTCAAAAATAAAACATTTATTTTCTGCCGTCATGTTTCAATCCTGTATGAATGATGGTTGAGAGGATGGTGATTGTACTTGTCAAGCTCCAAAGAGCACGTCAGAGTAAAAGAAAGTCTGTTCTTAGAGAACCACTGTTTGATGTGTTTCCTGTTGTGTTTTTTAAAGACTCCTGTGAAGAGGAAGTTCGAGTTCAGTAAAGAGCGTCTGGAAGCCACCGGTCCACCGCCCAAAAAGCCCAGTTCATCTGCCTCTTCTGAACCAAACTCTACCACTCCAAAATCTAAAGCAAGAACTAGTGCAACTGCAAGTCCCATCACCACCGGTAAATAACAAGATTATGTCATATTCATTGAACACATGAAGTCAGTGGTTCTCAGAAACTAGGAGTGTCCAGGGATTAAAATAATAATAATTCAAACAAATTTTTGGATTGAAGAAGTTTTAAAAAGCTGAATGTTCTTCAGGGATTTTGCTCTTTTAAACCAATGATTCGCCATGACTTTTCCAGTCATTTCTGCTTTTACTGTATCAGGATTATTATTTTTTTGGTTTATTGTATATAAAATAAAAAATGCTATAAGATTTGATTAATTTCCATGACTTTTCCAAGACTAAAAATCATACTTTTAAAATGAGTCTTCCTCATATATCCAGGTTTTTCAACACTGAGAGAATCCTGTTTATTCAAAGACAAAAAAATCTATTTACAGGAGGTGAATTAAAATAAGAAATATATATTACACCAGCGTGCATCATATTTGCTGAATGAATCTAATCCAATACTTGTTTCCTACTAATTTTGGGATGCTGATTCCAAAAATAGAATATCATACTTTCTCACAAAACATGATGTGCATTTTTGCTTTCTACAACCATTTGTGAGGTGAATAAGCCTTGTATTATCCCTTAATCACCAGAAATGCCACAGACATGATTCCTCTGAGCCAGGCTACAACTATTCAATCAGTTTTCAGCTGATTTTGTTACATTCATGACATTTTTCTATTTTAAGGTTCAGCCTTTTGCAAATCATCTGAATTTTTTTCACGATGCAGGGCTGTGCTATATTATATAATATATAAATATATGGGTAATGCTAACAGTAAGCCATACATTTGGTAGTATTAATTAATCATCTTTATTAATGTAAACATTAGTTAAACAAATACTACTGTTCATTGTTAGTTCATGTCAAGTCCATTAAATAATATGAACAGAAATCTTTTGATTTTAATAATCTATTAATAAATGTTGAAATTATCAGTTAATGCATGCTTTAGAAGTATTTTTCATTGTGTTTACTAATGAAGTTAACTAACAAATAGAACCTTATTGTGTTAACAATGTATGAAATAGATATTTTTTGTTGTTTTAGTAGTTTATTTAAATGTTTGTTTTATCTACTTTTCAACCATCATCTCGAGGCTTCCTTTTTAAAGCAACACTAAGTAAGATTTTTTACCTTAAAATAATGTTTCCAAAATCATTTCAGTGGTTCATTAAGTCGTAACAGGGTGAAAGGCACTTCTGGATTCGCTGTGCGGTCCTGTATCTGCTATAACCACGCTATGTAAGATTGCCAGATCGGGTCGCGTTTCTGTAGTTCTAATGAGACATAAGAAAACTACAATTTGACTTGCTTTACGTCAAGCGTTACAATAGTCATTATTTTGTTTTTCTCCGTTTCTGATGTCGCAATACATCATACTTTCATGAAATCATGCAACATACTCTACCTTGTCTGTGGACATCGTTCATTCCAAAGCCGGCGCTGGATAAACAGCGAGCGTGCGTGCGACAGTCGGCTGCGCTAGGCTAAATTATTTACGACAGCGGTAATGGACAATTCCGCTCCCAACCTGTAGGGCGACCGCAGAGGAAAAGTTACTTGGTGTTGCTTTAAGAGCCACTGCACAAACTAAGTTTCTCGATGGTGTCAAATCTTGAATTCTTCTCCAGGCCAAAAGACACCAGACAAGAGGGAGAGTCCTAAATCCAAGCCAGAGCCCAAGCCAAAACCCAAACCTAAGCCCAAGTCAGCAGAACCGGTTGCTTTCAACCGCATCATGGAGGGAGTCGTCTTTGTCCTGAGTGGCTTCCAGAACCCCTTCCGCGGAGAGCTGCGGGACAAAGCCCTGGCTATGGGAGGCCGATACAAACCCGACTGGACTTCAGACTCCACACACCTCATGTAAGGAGCCCATCCATTAGTGTCATGAAGCGTTCAGAGCCTCATGATATGTGTCAGCATTCAGAGACGCCTCGTGCTTGTTGTTCAGAGCTTTTTGTCTCTCTCCTGCAGCTGTGCGTTTGCCAACACACCCAAGTACAGTCAGGTGAAAGCAGCTGGAGGCATTATCATCAGGAAAGAGTGGGTGATGGACTGTCACAAAACAAAGCAGAAGCTTTCCTTCAAACGGTGAGACGAACTGCAGCATAGAGTCAGAGAGCTTTCGTTTTTGTTTGTCATTTATTAGTAGCAGTCAACAGACGTGAGGTCAGATTATGGAACATTTGCTATAGCAAATATTAATTTTGCACTGCATGTTTAAAGGTGCAGTCTGTAAGAATGACAACTAGTGGTCGAAATGGGTACTGCAGTCCAATTAAAAATATCAGAGGTCGTCGTTTCTCCCGCCGCCTGCTCCTCAGACTCGACGGCGCTCGCTCGGGTTGCCAGTTTGAGCACACGCAACAGGAACGATGGCAAATTGGCAACGTGCAGTATCACAGACCATAACAAAAACAAACATTCCAGCCTGGAAACGCACATTTCAAAGTAAAATAACTGGCTGTAGAAGTGTTTTTCAGAGAAATGTGTATGTGAACTTAGCATGTTTCCTCAATATATGCAAACATATTATGGTATTTTATGCTTTAGTAGAGTGAAAAAGTTACATACAGCACCTTTAAATGGCTCCATCATTCGGACCAGTGTTGTTGTAGTTTTAAACTAAAACTAGTAAAATTAAGGTTTTTTGTTTATTTCAAATAAGCTGAGATAAAATATTAATATTAAATTAAAATCTTAGACTAAAACTAGAAATGTTGTCTTGACAACTAACTGAATAACTAAAGTTAAAGTACTGAAATCGCTCAAACAAAACTTGAAATAAAAATAAATGAAAGGTAAAAATAAATATTTAAAACAAAGTAACATGCACAATACAGTAGCAAAATTACTAAAACTTGAAGTATGAAAATATGAATTAAAAGCTAATTCAAAACTAAAGTATTAAAAAAGTTAAATGATTCATTATTAATAAATACTACTATACTAGTATATAAATAATATTAAAATGACAGATTCTGACTTTAATGAGGTGGACTGAATGTTCAGTGTTTTTCTGACAGCGAGTGTAGAAAACTAAATTATGACTATATTGTGCAAGAACCTCCTAAATTACCTATAGGGAACTAGACTATAGTACTACACCGATCGATCTGGCCCTATTATCGGATTTATATTGAGTTTGTGAGATTTGCCAGTCGAGGCACCCAGATGACTCAAGCGAGATGGAGATGCACGAGCTCTGATGATGTGCTGCTCATTACTTTACAGACGGTGATGGTCTCTTTAATGACCCTTCTGATTGTGCAGCCCGTTCAAAGCGTGCAGCGATGTGAAGCAAAAAGTGTTCTGAATAATGAATGACTTGGTTACTAAAGTTACTCTCATAGAAAAGGGCAAACAAGGTCCAATGTCTTTGAAACGCTGCTGCTGAAGATTTGATCTCTGCAGATTGGTGATTATTTGTGGATAATCATACAAATCATGTTTATTTCAGATTTGACATTCCTTCTGTTGTGTGACATTTGTGCTCCGGTGTTTCTGCAGGCGGGCTTGTGTTGAAAAAGCTAAAGATGACAAACTAAACAGCCATGGCTGTGTTCAGGCAATTAAATAAATGAACCGCTGCATTTGTTGGCTAGTCTGTGTAATATTGTACTGGTCCCTCACCCTATCAAATATTCACAATTATTTTGAATATAAATTATGCAACATTATCAATATTGCAATAATTTATGTGATGTAGTTTTCATTTTTCATTATAGATGAAAAATAAGTTGTAATAATTGATTTACTTGCAAACTATTTACTGCTGTCAAATCGATTAATCGTGATTAAGCGCCTCTAACAATATATATATATATATATATATATATATATATATATATACATATACACGTGTGTTTGTGTATCTGTGTGTGTATATATTATGTATATGTATGTATGTGTGTGTATATATATATATATATATATATATATATATATATATATATATATATATATATATAAATAAATAAATATATATATACATATACATATACACACACACACACATACATATACTGTATTTGTGTGTGTGTGTGTGGAATTTTTAGATTAATGCGATTAATCAATTTGACAGCCCTATGTATATTTGACACGTATGTGTATAAGATTGTCAAAACGGCTGTATTATATAATTATATTGATGGTTTTTTTTAACCATGTTGCATATTGTCCAGTCCTAGAGATTATCATAAATGCTGCTTGATAAAAGGCTAGTGTTAAGTCCAGCGCAGAGTGTGCTTTGTGTGTTTATTCGTTTAGCAGTCGTCTCGTCTGTTATCGTCGATTGGTTTAGTGGGAGGCAGCTGTGTTGTTCTGTGCCTGGCTCTCCATTGTGTCTGCTTTGAGTGCCCACCTCAGATTATGTATTCTGTATTTAAAAGCTGCATCTGCCATGGGTAATTAAAGCAGCCACTTCCTTTGAAGATGAGGAGGGTTATCTGTCCATGTACGTCTCTCACCCTATCGAACACAGATCAGCTCGGTTGTGTGTCCTTGCACAAACCCGTTTTTTTTCTTTCCCCGGCAGTGATACAGGTGGAATGGGAAGTGCAGGAAGAAGCGTGTTTCTATCCTGCTCACAGAAGCTTAATCTGTAGACGACCATTGTTTATCTCCGTTTTTACTCAAGTGGATGTATTTTTATGTTCTTCATGTACAGTTTAAAGGAATATTTCACCTAAAACTTTAAAATTTTTACAATTGATCAAATTATTGTATCCTTTTCCATGAACCAAGATGAGATGTTGGGCAGAATACCCAAGCTGCTCTTATCAACAATGAAAGTGGATGGTGATTTTCTGTTTTATACTGCAATGGACTGTAAAATAAATGATGTAACTTATAACAATAGTCCATATGACTCATAAGCTATAATAATATAATGACACTTTTTTTCCATTTTGATTGGAAAAGAGCGCTCTGGACATTCTGCTAAACATCTCCTTTTGTGTTTCACAATAGAAAGTCATGCACATTTGAAACAATGTGAAGAAGAAAAAAATTATGACATTTCTTTTTTGGATGGATTATTCCTTTAATGGAGCAAATGTGCAAAATGTAAAAGTACAAAATGAATAAATAAAATAAATACCAGGTCTGATTTGCTTGTGTATCTCTTGGTAGTGATGTGATTAAGGATTTTTTTTCCAATCACAGTCCTGTTTACTTTCCCTAGTAAAGTATTCAAACTTATTTCAGCTTCTGTACTTGATGTTTGGACAGCACACATTCCCATTCAGTTCCAGTAATACTTAGTCTGCTGTTTCTCATTGTGTTTTTCAGGTATCTCATGGATGGAGCCGAGTCCAGTTCAGAGAGTGAAGCAGAACAGGATGAGAGTGAGGAGGAAACGCAGAAAACGGTAATTGCTTTTATGTTTTATGAAACATGTCTTAAGAAACATGAAAACCCGTCTTAATGCAGTCCTCCCATTATGGTCTTTATGTGTGAATAAAAAGAGCAACATAACCTTGGTGCTGCGTGCTGTTGCCATAGAGACATCCTCCTCAGATTTGTTGACTTTGTGACATGCATTGACTCGAAAGCAGGAAACACATCAGTGATATTAATCCGAAACCAATTGCATAAGCATCGTTTTTCTCATGCCTCCCTAGAAAACACCAGAAAAGAGGCATGTGACCCCCAAAAAGCAGCCGATTAAGGAAGAAGAAGACTATGGTGGCTCAACGGATGCGGAAGGCCCAGGTAAAGACAGAATAAAATTGAGTAAAATAGAAAGTCAACATGAAATCAAAAATGACAAATGCAGGGTCTTTTTTTGTTTCTTTTTTTATTGTGCTTATTTCACATTGATAACAAAAGGCTACTGCATTCTTGTCTGATGCAAGGGGAGGGACATTCTTATAATAGAGAGCTTTTGATTGGACAAAAATATGTGTAGTGCAACAAGTCACAACACACTGAATATCCTGTTACACTTGAAAACGCTGAAAAGTAAAATGGGTTGTGAAAAGCATATCCTGTTGGCTTTAATGCTACAGTATTATGGGTTTTGGAATTGGTTTCCGCAACTGGTTTTACAGGATCAGTTAGATTAGATGTGCTGTAGTGTGTGTGTGTGTGTGTGTCTGCTTTGATGGATGTCCATGCCTTTCTTGCAGCTCGAGAGATTTCATACAAATCTGTAGAACTCCACTAAATTGGTAGTTGAAGGGTGACTGGTTCGTGTATGGGTAGTCAAAGAATAATGTTAAAATGTACTTTTCTCATTTTAACTCAATGGACATTTGTTAGTATATCATTTTTCACATTAGTTACATATCATTTCGAGGCAGCTTTATAGAAAATGGATGTCTACATTACAATTTAGAGTGATCAGTTATCAGAGGTGACTGTCCAAGTTGATGAACAGATTGAATTGAGGCTTTTATTCACATAAATAATCAGCAAGCATAAACAGAAGCTCAGCCGTACTTGCTTAACGCATGAGAACAAACCTCATTGGTTCTTGTAGAAGCTCAAACGTGCTGCGTAACACGAGAATGAACCTCATTGGTTCTTAGTCTAAAAGCCTAAATTCAACCCTTTTCAAATAAAGCAATCGATTCTCTTCAACAAATGTGGACTAAACCGATCAATTCATATGGGTTAGTTTTATGATCTCTTCATTAACTTTTTGAAGTGTAGTTGCGTAGCTGTCAATGGAGGGACAGAAAGCTCTCAGATTTCATTCAAATATACCTTAATTTGTGTTCTAAAGATGAATGAAAGTCTTGCGTGTTTGGAACGACACGAGGGTGAGTAAATAATAACTGAATAACTTTTCATTTTCGGATGAACTAACCCTTTAACAACAACAGCACTGGTTTACACACAAGTCAATAAAGCGGCACTGTAGAAAAGCTGTTCTCCACTTTTGACATAAAAACCTAAACGGGTGTGCACAATCCATTGAAAAAACAGACATGATGTCAATAAAGGCATTTACATACAAGTCAGGGTAATGGGTGATAATGTAGTTTCTTCAATTTCCCTTTGCTTAAACCTCTAATGACCTTTCACCCTAATAAACGAGGGGCATTTGAACGCCTACATGAACTTACACGTTCTCGCCTTTTTAAGCAGAATCAGTGTAAGATGCTGCAGGTAAACCGAGACAGTCATGTACGTACAAGAGAAGGCGTTTCATTGTTCGTTCACAGCAATGATGCGTCAACCGTGCTCTTCTTCGTCATTTTCAGAAGCTCAGCTGCCCGAACACGGCAGAACAGGCGTGTCAACTACATGCATGCCTGAGGCTCATGCCCTCATCGAAAATCGTTAATATGTCAACCTGGCCCGTCACTCAGGGAGGGGGAGAGGCCGGGTTAATGAAGTGCGTGTAAAGCAGCACTCCAATCAATCAGGAAAAATAAAAAAATGAAGAGAGCAGTAGGATTGGAGAGGCTGGAAGTGCGTTACAGACAATTGCCCGGAGCATTCGCAGAGAGGAGACTTGGGCATGTTTCTCATTTCTATGTAAATCGAGGGGCCACATGAGCTGGCGTGAGCAAACCTCGCTCTTCATCTTCATGCAACTTAAAACCTATGAGAGAAGAAAATGGTGAATCATTGTCCATTTTCATGAACATCATTAGGGCTGAGTGGTTGGACGGCATACTGTGCAAATGGTGCAGATGTTTCAGCAGGTAGAGATTTTGATCTCGCATTTCTACCACAGCTGGGTATACTAGCACAGTTGTATTGAGAAAATGCAGAGCGGCGCAAACAAGGCAATGCGAGGAGATGCTTTTAGCCACAATAATGTGCTTTATTATTGGACCTTTGTGAGGGTTTTCTTTTAGTCTCAAAGGTTTTATAATGTGAATCTGTTTTTACACTGATATTCATTTGTTTTGCTTTGTCTATCACGTTCCAAAAAAATAGAGTAACTCTTTAAAACAAGGTCCCATTAGTTAACGTTAGTTAATGCGCTAACAATGAGCGATACATTTGTTAGTGTGTAATCTTTGTTCATTTTAGTTAATGAAAACACAACTCTTCATTGTTAGCTCATGTCTGCTCAGGTCCATTAAATAATACCGTATTAACAGATACAGCTTTTGATTTTAGTAATGTATTCATAAATGTTGAAATTAACTGAGATTAATAAATGCTTTTAAAGTATTTTTCATTGTTAGTTCATGGTAACTATTGTAGTTAACAAATTGAACCTTATTGTAAAGTCTTACTTAGAAAATTATCTTTTACTTGTAAAGCATTTAATTTTCTGGACTATCAAAATTAATACAAATAATACTGTGAATTTGTGAAAATTTTAGACTTAACGTCTACTCCTACTGATTCATGTTTTTTGATGCTCATTCACAGAGGATGACGTGTCTGGCATGGACACTGAAGATGAGCTGAACAGGTAAGATATTTATTGCGTTACAAATATTGCCCAAATGTAGTCTTAAGGTTTTTTTTGAAAAGATGAATCTTAAACATTTTAGTTTTATTTTCGAGTAGCTAAACTTGGCTTTCGCCGTGAATATAGCCATAGATGCTGACATGGCGTGCTAACAAATAAAAAATAAACGAATACATTGCCATCATGTGTTAATAAAGGATCATAATTGTCTTTGGATGTTCTCATTATCCAGGCTTTTAAATAATGTTGTCTTAATTCATCTGTGGTCCAAAGATTTGTGCAAAGTTTTACATACACTACATGTCAAAAGTTTGGGTCAGTAGGATTTAAAAAAAAAAAATGTTTTGACAGAAGACTCTTTTGCTCACCATGTCTGTATTTTATTAAAAATACAGTAAAAACTGTGATTTTTGTCAAATGTATTTATTAATATTAGTTTGCTGATTTCAATCGGAATATTTTTTTAAATATAATTTTTTTCCTGTGATGCAAAGCTGAATTTTCAGCATCTTTACTCCAGTCTTCAGTGTCACATGATCCTTCAGAAATCATTCCAATATGATGATTTGCTGCTCAAGAAACATTTCTTATTATCAATGTTGAAAACAGTTTTGCAGCTTTACATTTTAATGGAAACAGTGATACAACAAAGGTGTTTTCTGTCACTTTTGATCAATTTAATGCATCATTGCAAAAAGTATTTCTTTCCAAAAAAAAGACCATGCTAAAAATGACCTAATTATTTAATAAACACAAATACATGGGCCAGCCCTGTACATGCTTATTTATTAAATATTTTGACTAATTTGATGATGCAGAATCTCCACTGGTTAAAACATTTCTACTGTTGTGCCGTATCATATTTGCCACCTATCAGACATTTATGTTGGACTGTCATAAAGTTCATTATCGTCAGATGTATGATGCTCCTGTGTTCGGCTGTTTTAGGGTGGAGATGGAGAGCAGGAAGAAAAAAGCAGCAAAGGAGAGCCCAGGAAAGGTGAAGGATGAAGATCCGTACGGCGGCTCTACAGATGAGAACACGGATGCGGAGGAAGAGGAGGATAAACCCATCCCTGAGCTGCCAGGTTTGACGCCTCCCGGTTCACCCTGACGTAGAAGTCTTGAGCATCAACAACAGCATCTCTTTATTGAATCCTCTTTATTTTTGCTCCTTCAGACTTCCTAAAAGGGAAGCGCTTCTATCTCTACGGCAAGTTCCCTGACAACCAGAAAAGGCAACTTCAGCGCTACATCATCGCCTTTAACGGGTATGAGACAGACGTGCACTCAGATTAGTGCACGAGCGTAAAGCGTCTGTAATCTATTTAAAGTGCTTTTGAGCGTCAGCAGCGCTTCTGAGAGGCTGTAGGTGGAGCGTGACTGATGATATGATCTGATCTGTTTGATTCCTCAGAGCTGTTGAAGACTATATGAGCGAGAAGGTCCAGTTTGTCATCACCAGCGAGGGATGGGACGAATCTTTTGAGGATGTGAGTCTTCCTTATTTCTTTTTGAAGCAGAACAAGTCACCTGGTGGTGTCAAGTCACCTTTATTTCTATAGTGCTTTATACAATACAGATTGTTTCAAAGCAGCTTCACGGTAATAAACAGGACAATAACAGAACCAATGATGCAAACTTCATTAAATATGAGACAAATTTAAATTCTACTGTAAAGCAGCCTTAAAAAGACAATAGTGTCATTTTGCAGTTCAATGTTGATTCAGTTCAGTTCAATAACTGTGTAAAGTTGATTAATTGTGGAAAAAAGCTAAGAAGACAATAGTGTCGATTCAATTCAGTTCAATAGCATAATGCTGTCTTTGCTAGATATTTGAAAGTATTACATACACAAAGTTGTCAAGAAAGTGGTCATTTTCTATGCTGTGTGTACATTTTTCTACTGCAAATTGCCCTTTGTGACTGTAAAATTATTTAAAGAACCAGTATTAAAAAAATCAATGGACGTTTCCAGTCATTTATAATTGAAAAAATAGAAAAGAACCACCGCTCATCCGTCAAAAAAGTCTTGTAGAGAGGTGCTGCTACATTAAATCATCATGGAAAATTGTATAAATACAGCAGCCGCACACTCAAACACTGTGCAAGATCAATTTATTAGCAAGCTTTCGGTCTTGCGACAATCTTCAGGCCTGAGTGTGCGGTTGCTGTATTTTTACAATTTTCAGTCATTTATAATTCAATTCATTGCTCTCTGGGGTTTACTTGGCAACCACCAGTAACAAGTGGCTTCATAGGCTAGTCAGGCTTTGCAAGAGATTGTCACTCCACCCAGGCTTTTTCATATGGTCATGCTTTAATAGACTGCATTTGAAAGGCTTTGAGAAAGTCTTGACCCACAGCACATTCACGTGATATTCTCATAGTAATGAAAACCCTCTGCTCTCGCAACTCTTAAAATGTCACGAGTCAAGGTCCTTTCTTCCTTTTCATCCTCTTTTACTCTCTGTTCTGTTCTGTCTTTTTATAGGCCTTGATGGAAAATGGAAGTCTGAGCTTTGTGAAGCCGTCCTGGATTTTCGCCATCAATGACAGGCAGAAGATGTTACCGTACCAGCCCTACACTGTAGTCCCTTAAGAGATTTTTAATCGGTGTCCTGCTCTTTGAGAGCATGTCCATCAATCCCAGGCTTGACCTGAGTAGACCTTGGTTGTCTTGGGGAAATAAATGAAAAGTTTGTCATCGTTTACTCACCCTCATGTCGTTCCAAACCTATATGACTTTCTCTCGATCACTGTTCATCTTTTTTGTTTCGCAAAGAGACATTCTTTTAAACATCTTTTCTGTTCCATGCAAGAAAGTCATACAGGTTTGGAAGGACCTATGAATGAGTAAATTATGTATCATTTTTGGGGATGAACTTTAATGGGCTCTATCTGTCACAGGTCTTTGTTTTGATGTTGAAAAAGCGGACTAATGGCAGATACCAACCCGCCAACCCGGAGATGAAAGACTCTGATCCATATTCATGATCCGTTTTACCAGCCATCCGAAAGCTGTTTATTAGGTGTTAAATTTTAATTACTAAAGACTGAACCTGAAGTCCCTTTTGAATCTGACTTATGCAGATTTATACTCATTTAATATGAATGTTCACATTTATGGTCAATTATTGATTATCTGATCCATATTCATATTTGTTGCCCTCATTACTTTGCAAGGAACTTTTTAACATCTGTAGGTGTGGTCTTCAGAACTATTATTACAATAATATTGCTTATGTTTAGAGCCCTTTGATGAATATTCAAACAACCATATTTAAGGAAAAAAAGCACATGAAATAAATATTGCTGTAAAAACACTGTTTTGTTACATTTATTGCATTGTGAACTCTCATAGTTTTAATGTTTGTTTTTGTTTTTTAAATGCATTTTATTTTCGATTCCCTTAAATGTGCGTCTCAATTTGTATGTATTTTGTTTATTAATGTAATTAATATTTTGAAGTTCCAGTTTGAAGCAGTTGCAGAATAAAAATAGAAAACTTTTGCTGTTTGGAAGATTTTTATAGTGAGTGATTTCATGTTTTTCTAGGTTGGTTCTGCTCTAAAATATTTTACTAGTTAGATATTTGTCTTTGTAAAGTACAATATGCACATAAGCCACTGTACAAATCAGTTGAGGGTCTTATAAGAAACCTTTGTGCACTAATGACTGTAAATATTTATGTCTAATGATTTAGATATAAATAATAAGCTTGATACAATCCGTATAATAAAGGTTCTTTATTGGCATTGATCGTTCCATGAAGATCCTTAAACATTCACAGAACGTTTCCATTCTACAAAAGTTTCTTTAGTGGAAACGTGTTAGATTTTTCAACATTCTTCACACTAAGGGAAAAAATGTTCTCTTGCTGCTGATCTTAGCTGGTTTAAAGTAATTAAAAAATTTAAAAACATCCTTACTAGTTTGGTGTCTGTCCCAGAAAACCTCATATTAGGCTGTCTTGTGTCAGCTGGGATTCATCAAACAGAAATCTGAATTGTACAGACGGTCTTGTCACTGTCCTTGAGGCGTTTGAGTATTTTCTTCTTTTAACTGGATGTGTCTCATTTCTGTCCCTCACTAAAGAAAGCCTGTCTCCATCTTTCACTTGTGTCCTTGTGTCTTGACTAAATGGCAGAATTGCACTCAGCAGAAAAACCATGGATTGACACTATCTTTTTTGGCCTATTTTTTGTTGAATTTCTTTTTTTCCCTTCACTCAAGTCTTTGTCTTTCGAACACACACAAACACACACTTCACTCATTTGTTCTCTTATTCCTGGAAACATGAAAACATTAGCGCTTCTGTATGCATCATGTCTGCCACTGCCAGTCTCATATCTGTCCGTCAGTCTTTCATTCTCTACTCTTCTCTTTTCCCGCCTTAATTTAAAATGTGGTCACCTGTGCGTTTTTCAACGGCTCTGACCTCGAGCTGATCAGCTGAGCTAATCCAATCAAACATTTTAAACAAATTAAATTATCACAGTTTATTTTGATTTAAACGGACAATCGATGAAAATAAATAAATGCTATTAGTTTTTTTTATTTTGTTTTTTGGCCGGCACCGCTGGTCCAGGCTGTCATGAGGAGAACTAACCGCTTGAGTTATTGGCTCTTAAGCGCTTTATGGCTCGTTAGCTTAAAATGTGTTGTCACCATCAACGGCTCATATACAATCAAAAAATTTAAACAAAGTTTAAACAGTTTATTTAGATTTGAACTTACAATCAATGCAAATTAATAAACGTTATTAGTTTATCGCCCCTTCTGTTCCCGTCATGAGGAGAATTAAGCTGCTTGAGTTATTATGGATCTTTATTTAGATACGTCTTAGCACTATTTCTTTTAGTATAACTGTTAATGTAAATGGAAATAAATCGGATGAATAACAGCAGGAGCGGTTGGCTGGGCGGGAGGAGGCGCGCGCCTGAGGAACAGAAGATCAGGTGCATCTGCTGCAATGTGCAGGATTACTTCATCTGCTGCTTCTCAATCATATCTTTATTCTGATTCTCCCTCCACTATTATGAAAGTAATATCTTCTGTTTCATTGTAGGACTGTTGAGATGCGTGTGAAGCTCCTGCTGAATGACAGTAAGTCACTTTACCTTATTAGGCTATTCTTCATGTTTTTCTCGTTCTGCGCGTTTTGAGTACGGGGCATGTTGTCACAAGATGTGTAACTCAACTTCGGATTTTGTATGTTGGATTTAAACTCTTAAATTAGAGTGATTTGACTGATTTCTGTCCTAAAAACAAATTTCTGTCCTTTTGTAATAGTATCAGTTGAGTATCAAGTGAGCAATAAAATACAAGACAAAAAGAAAGTCAGGACAGTGGGTTTTATGTTTAAAAGATCGGGGCGAGTTGTCACGTGTCATATGTTAGGCTATTTTCAGTCAATAGATTTATTACAATGCAATAGCGAAAAAAATAGTTTGATACGTGTTACATCATGATGTGTCATGAATTTTGTCTTTCGTAGTCGCTTTACTCGTTAAATTTAGCTGAAAAGTCTATAATAAGCAGGTTGGCATTGTAACAACATGCCCCACTATTGGGGTCAGTGTACAGCAAACTGTATTTAAGAATAAACACCCTAAGAAATATTCACTGGAGTAAAATAAAAAGTGTCACTTTGCCCTGCATGGTCTCCTCTATCTCCAATTATTGCATAGATGTTGGCACCTTTTTTTTTAATGTTTCAATTTCACTGAGAAAAATCGTCAAACCTCATAATTAATATTGTCACTTATGAAGTTAATCATTTCTACACTTTCTTTGTGTCTGTGATTCAAAATTCTATGGGTTTTTTTATTATTTCTTGTTCATAAACAAAATGTAGGCTATGTTCTACAGAAAAGTAGCCTACGGTTGGGTCTAAAGTCTGAGACCCTGCTTTAAATGTTTTTAATTTAATCCAAAGGTTTTCATTACTAACAAACAACACATTTGAGTAGAAGGTTTAAATGAAAACCGAAATGAATGCGAGAATCTCTCCAAAGGGGATCTTAAGGGTCCTTCAATGGAGAAAGAAAATCTGTACGAAGAGCCATCTGATCAATGAGACTCAATTTTACATTTGATTAGTCACATAAAAAATAGTCCAAAATCCAAAATATTGTGAGCTGTGACCACCCTTTCAGTTTTAAATATTTTATTATTTTACCTTCTTTTCTCCTTTTGCCGTTTGTCTTGGAATGATGCAAATTTCAATAGCTTTCCTAAGCAAAAAGAAAACCCTTCCCTCACTTGGCTCTTGATCACTTGTCTGGTGCTCTACATTTGTAGAGGTTTGTGCGCATCCCTGTGGCCCTGATCAGAGGAGATGTCACATAATAAAACAAAAACATGGCGCATTAAATGCAAACAGAGCCTAAAGCTTAAAAAAGCTCAAAAAGCTGCTAATTTTCGATGCAACAATGGCGCATCTGGACAATCACTGACTCTCTAATGCTGCAGGATTTCAGTTCTGTAGTTCATCTGCCACTCGCATATACGTGTACAGATGCAATAATCAGTTGTCTATATATATTTTTATTTGTGGTTCTATAGGAACTATTTCATGCACATTATGTGTCAAAGTTTATAGTTACAACTACACACTATTCATATTTTCATTCATCTATTAAACTTTATGAAAGATCTTTGTTGTTCAATAACTAGTGCTAAAATATGTATCTGAAGTTGAGCTCTTAAGCGGTTGAGCGGTTAATGAAGCCGTCAAGGCATTGGGAATGAGTGACACATTCCCCTGCGGCAGATGAGAAACCTTATTACTGGCTATCTCTGACCCGTTAAAGATTCATCTGAGCTCCCCATGGGCCTTGAGCAACGGCACGCTCAAACACTCCTCATCTCATGAAACCTGCCAAGATCCTCTTCATATTGCAGCCTGTTTTTAGGGTCATTACGTTAAACATGAAATCACTCTGTTTGAGTTCTGCACATTCCTGGTCTTAAAGGGATAGTTCACCCAAAAATGTAAATTCTGTCATTAATTACTCACCCTCACGTCGTTCCAAACCTGAAGACTTTCGTTCTTCTTGGGAACACAAATGAAGATCTTTTTGATGAAATTGAGAGCTTTCTGTCCCTCCATTGACAGCTACGCAACTACCACTTTGATGCTTCAAAAAGTTCATAAAATTAATCCGAATTGAGTGGTTTAATCCACATTTTCTGAAGAGACTCGACCGTTTATGAAGAACAAATTGAATTTAGGCTTTTATATTCACATGTAAACATTCATCAACTCACACATCAGGGGCACGTTCAAGTTCCAAACGGTGCGCAACGTTTTACTGCGGTTTCCGGGTTGAACGTCATGTTTCCTGGAAACGGCGTGCACCGGTGTGCAACGGGGTTTGAGATGCGTTTTCTCTTGTTTGGTGGGTGTGTCAGAACTGCAGTCCAATCAGCAGCAACATGTATATAAAGCACGCGGTATTAAAGTGAACTCGCACAATGGGTTCAAGGTATAGTAATTTACAAATGTTTTCGATGCAGCTCGGTATACGCAACAACTGAGGATATTAGAAGAAGTTTGTCTTAAGTTTTATTGTAAAAATATAGGATATCAACATAATAATGATGTACGGTAGTTGTTTATATTTTTAGCTTCAATGCAAATGTATGACATTTGGTATAGAAATAAACATGGTAATTAAGTGCTTTTCCTAAAAATGAGAAAGAAAATACAGGGTATTAAAACAGTATGAACTACAAATAAAGTCAGTATGTGAGGCTGAATAGATGTGTTTTAGTCTGAATTAGGTAAGATGTGTGCTACCATTTCAGTTTCAGCAATCCCTTCACTCGATTGGGATGTTCTCTTGTGTTCTGGGCGGTAAGTGCAGTAACTGTAACATCGGCCATATTTTGTAGTATTAAACACATATTTATACCGACTTCATCAGGCTCTGAAAATTCTTCACAAAGAACACAAAGAATGGCCTTCTCAGCTGCCATAGTTGCAACTCTTGCGTCATCAGAACAGTGTGTTCAACGCATCACCGTTTCTGTTTAAAAAACGTTGTGCAACGTTTTGTCGGGGCTGAACGCAGCCCAGTTGTGATAAACGGAAGCTCAAGCATGTTCGCATGGCGTGCGAGAACCAATGAGGTTCATTCTCGTGTTACGCAGCACGTTTGAACTTCTCAAGAACCAATGATGTTCATTCTTGTTACATATTTGAGCTTCAGCGAGAACCAATGAGGTTCATTCTTATTAGGCTTGCTATGATAGTCAGTGTTACCCATAGACAGTATAAGAAGTGGACAGAGCCATCTCATTGGAACTCAGTTGAGACAGTTGAAGCCCATTTTTAGCGATTTTTGAGCACTTCCGTTCCTGACGCACAGACTCAAACCGACTCAAACTAAGCTTGATGACGTGAGCAACCTGTCTGACAGACGTAAATCTTCTAGTAGCTGTGCGTGAAAATTGCCAGCGTTAATCTTGCAGAGACGGGGAACTTGAGCAAAGAGTTCTTTGGCGTGAGTGAGCAGGAGTAAGTATTCCGTTGCTTTTATGGACTCATTATATGGGCTTCTCCCTTGACGGGACGTCCCCCCGATCGCCTGCGAGCTTCTCCTCCTGTCTGTACGGTAATTTCTGTACAGCGCGACAGAGAGTCGAGTGGTTATGACGCAATCGTTAGCCTATTTTTAGTAAATCTGTTTCTACGGGGCCATAATGTAACATAGAAGGTAATGGAGCCCTTTATACATTGTCGTGTTTCTTTAGAAATAAATAATGGACAAATGGAGTCTTTAAACGCCTCAGATGTAAAGTTATTCGCTGTCAAAGTGACGCCAAAATGAAAGGGAGTCAATGGAAATGCTAACGCAAGTGAAGTTCTGCTACAAGATGGCGGCACCCGGCCGGCTTCAACTTCCGGTCGATGGATTACCCCCTTGGTGTTACCGGTGTTCAGAAGCAACACTGGTTACATCACTTGCCCACCGCGGCACCGCCCCCCCCCCCCCCCCCTCCCCTCCCCCCACCATCAATTCGATTTTTTTTTTATATATATAAAATCATTTAGTACAGTTAGAGAACAGACACTATTAAACTGTATGTGTCTGCTTAATAAATCGTAAGCCGAACGAGAGTCGCAGCACAGATCAGCAACAGGAGTCAGGTTTCATTCATCACGAGAGTGAGGAGCCGGCTGACAAGGTGACTGCGGAATATTTGGTGTCAAAGCGAAATGTAAAAGCGCCTATTTAAGCGAATTTGTTTTGTTGTGTTTTTCATTAAGAATAATAGGCTAATGAACTCACCATTCAAGTAATAAACAATAAATATTTGAAAACGAAACTAAAATGTGCACAGCCGCACGTGTCAACGGGGCGCGGAGTGAGCAGAACAGCTAAACTAAAATGTGCACATTTTAGTTTGGTTTTCCAATTAGCGCCAATTGCCCCGTGCAAACGCGCGCATTTTACATTTGCCTTTAAATTAGCGATTTAAAAGCCCCCGCCGGTGATACCGGTATTACCAGTGTTGTCACACGTCGATTAACCAGTGGGAAAATATCCTCACCGTCACATCCCTAATTCTCATGTTTCCCAGCACGTTTGAGCTTCTGCAAGAATCAATGAAGTTGTTTTCCCGCGTCATGTTCGGTTGAGCTTCTGTTTAAGTTCACTGATCAATGTTTAAATGTGAATAAAAGCCTTAATTCAATTTGTTCATCATAAAGCTCAATTCATATGACCTCATTCATTTACGATATCTTTATGATCTTTTGAAGCATCAAAGTGGTAGTTGCGTAGCTGTCAATGGAGGGACAGAAAGCTCTCAGATTTCATCAAAAAAGATCTTCATTTGGGTTCTGAATATGAACTAAAGTCTTACGGGTTTGGAACAACATGAGGGTGAGTAATTAATGACAGAATTTTCATTTTTGGGTGAACTATCCCTTTAATGTGAAGGATTGTCTTCACAATGTTTCATGCAAATTCTCTATCTCTGAAACGACTTCAGCTGACGCCTGTCATACAGAGACAAGTTTCAACATCCAATCAATTAGTTCAAATCAAGTCGTGACCTACACAATTTCTTTCTCATTGAATATCCCGTTTCATTGTAAGATGATTTCTATGACAATTATGCACATCATTTTCCTCCTAATTGTCATTTTCTAATTACCTACTCATTACCATTTTTGGTCATGTGAACTGCATCAGGCATGCAGGATTTTGGTTCGTTTTTCGTAATATTGCAGATGTGTGATGGGGTGTTTGTTTTTTATCAGTATCAGTAATGTATTGCAAAAGCTTTCTCATTACTGTAATATTGGAAAAATTATATCATTAATAATTTTATGTAAATTGTAAAGTATGCATTATGCTAGTGATTTCTATACAGTAAAACATATTTTATGAATATTAAATGAATTTGGGGTGACCTACTGTAGGAGAAAGTGTGCACTGTGCTTGATTGTCATTAAAATAATATCACAATGCAAAAAAAAAATATAAATATTTTTTCCAACTCAGTTTTCTTTTTATTTGAAGTGCAACATGGTATGTTTTCATGAGGATTGAGACGTAGCGATTAAAACTGATCATCAGCTGCATACATTTTTAGGAGATAGAGGTGATTATTAGATTAGGAAGCAATTATTCCACTGCAGAATCAAACTGCACGCAGAGCTATTAATTTTTGAGTGCATACATTCATTAGCTAATACTTAATTATCACACATGCATCATTTTCTCATCAGTGATCAGTGTTTGTGTCTCTGTAATGACAGATTCATCAACGCTCAAATGAAATACAGATACGAGAGCTCTCATTAGTGTGTATTGTCCTGAGTGATTCCTAATTAACAGGCGTGAGGATGAGAACAGAAGCTAAGATAGATTCCCTTTTGTGGGAATGTGTCGAGTGCCGCTTTCTCTTTAATCAGGGTCGACCGGCCGCACAGCTGCAGCCTCGTTTGCATAATTCGTTTAAACGAACTGCTGCCCTAAGAAACATCTTAATGTTGGGATGATGGTCTCAGTGAACCTGAAAAGATTTGTTGTGCTATTTGAAGCTGCATAAATTGCTTTGTACAGTTGTTTGCCCGTGGTGTCGTTGTGACTGATTTTAGAGCATTGTTACTGTCTGTTGTGCACTAAAGTGTTTAATATGTTTCTTTGAATCTTTTTTACACTGAAGTTTGTGAGAGCCGTCTAATTCGATCCAATGCCGGTATTCGATTAGAGGTAAAGGTTTACCCATCCACCCTCCTTTGTGTGTATGTTATCTAAAAACCGTATTACCTTTTGTTTTACTTATTTGGAAATAGGACACTTGTACCAGTTGCACTTGTAGACATTTCAAATAATACTAAACACATGTATAAAACTGTATGATAGTTGTTCAAATTAAACACTGTAAAAAAAATATGTAGAAATTACAGTATTACTGGCAGCTGCTTGCCAGTAACTTACTGTAGTTTTAAATTGATGTTATTTACTGGCAACAGTTTGTTCAAAGTTAAATGAACATTAAACATTAACAAGTCTTTATCTTTACAGAATAAAACTAAATAACAGCCTCATGCAAAGCATTCTGGGAACCAAAATCTGAAGGAAAAAAAAACAGAAAAAGGTTGATGAAGATTTCTGGTTCCCAGAATGCTTTGCATTAGATTGTTATTTTATAATTTTATTCTGTAAAGACAAAGACTTGTTAATGTTTAATGTTCATTTAACTTTGAACAAACTGTTGCCAGTAAATATACATCAATTTAAATCTACAGTAAGTTACTGGCAAACAGCTGCATAATTACAGCAATTTTTTTACAGTGAACCCATAGATTCTTATGTGAGTTTGGGTGATCTCTGCAAGAGTGGGGGATGCAGGGAAGAAGTGTGTATGTGAGAGTTCAAATGTTAATTTGCCAAGGTCCTTCGTCTCATAGACCAGTGGTCAGGTCTATCTCTTCAACCAGTTTTTCCAGTCTTACAAGTTTTTACTGTGAGCTGAACGGTGAATGAACAACCATGAAATGCCTCAAATGCGATCAAGTGCTTTCAAGGCAACGGTGTTTTTGGTTCAATAGTTTCAATAGACTATTAGATTAAAATCCTGCTGTTACATGACTCATGCGTGACTGTTCTGTATGAAACTGCAGTCGTGCTGGCTTTACCTCACTGTGGCTTTACATTTGTTTCCTTGAGAAAAGCTCTTGATGCCACAGAGCAGACTGCCAATGCAATTAGACCCCACGTTGGGCGCCACTTTCACTGAAGTGCTTGGAAAATGGCAAGTAATGAGAAGTTACGTTGCAATGCACCGAAGGCCTGATCGTGCATGTGTGTGCGTGCTGGGAAAAGAATTTAAAGGGATAGTTCACCCAAAAATGAAAATTATGTCATTATTTACTCACCCTCATGTCGTTCCAAACCCGTAAGACCATTCATCTTCAGAACACAAATGAAGATTTTTTTGTGATGAAATCTGAGAGCTTTTTGTCCCTCCATTGACAGCTACGCAACTACCACTTTGACGCTTCAAAAAGTTCATAAAGAGATCGTAAAACTAATCCTTATGAATTAAGCGGTTTTGTTGTAAACATTGATAAGCGAACATAAACAGAAGCTCAACCAAACTTGCTTAACGCGTGAGAACAAACTTTACTTAACGTAACTTTACTTTTCATTTATTACTTAAAGCTCACTTGAAGTTCTTTGATACTACATCAAAAACTACTAGCCTAACTGATAAAGTTCAAACATTATTAAAAACAAGTGAACAGTCATAAAATAAGAACAAATATACAAATTACAAGCAGAGATGAATACTAAATAACAAAGTTACAAAGTCTAACAGTAGTATTCAGGGACAAAAATCAATAATTAAGCCTAAATGTAAAATAACACTTTTTGTTCACTGTAGAAATTAATAGTTACATCTTTGTTACATCAACTAGTTACAATCAGCTGTATTTTGTTGTTTTATTAACATTAATGATACAGACAACAGGTATATTAGGTTTGTGCTTTGAAACTGACTGCACGGACCGAAAAAACTGACAAACAAACATCCAGTTTCTTTCTCAACTGTTCACTCATGACATAACCGAGAGAATACTTACCGAGACGGGTATTTAGAGATGATTTTGTGTTTATGTGTCCGTTCGAGGTCAAGGAAACGCGAAAGATGAATCAATTCGGTGTTCGAGCTCTATCTGAAATGCCTCTTCTTCTGCGTTTAAAGTAGTTTGAATGTGTAAATTGGCAAGACAAAACACATCCAAATTATAAACTTTCACTCTATGATGGTTAGATTTAGCAGTTAATCCGCGAATCACATGCGAGCCGTGGGGCAGCTGGTCCATACGGATCACGGATCAACTGCGATCCCTTGCACCCCTAGTAATTAATGACAGAATTTTCATTTTTGGGTGAGCTAACCCAGAAATTGCATTCAAGTTTTCATGCTTTAAAGTCCCCATGAATTCAAAATTGACCATACTTACTTTGTTTGCCTAAATTGATCGTTTTGTGGTGAACAGTTCATCCATGCAAGTCAATCCACACAAAAAAATGTTTTGGCTTCGTAATCTTTAATCAAAATCTGAAATTTCCTGATGACGTAGGTTTGACCGTTTGGGTGTCTGCTTAACATCCGTAACCTCGCCCCTCCAACTGACAGTAGACAGGCTGAATGACAACACCTACTTTTCTAGATCCAATCAGGTGCTAGTTGGCAAAAAAGCCACGCCCACTATTTTGCCTCATTTAGTATTCCGTTTCTCTCGGAAATACGTCACAACACTGGAGAAAAGTCGTTTGCAACTTCCGGTTCACGGGGACTTTAAATAAACAGTTGCAGTTTAAAAGAATGTTTGTTTGCCAGTGATTCAATAACATAATATTCAATAGGCGGTGAATGACCGGTAATGGTAAGCAGAAAACACAATATTTTTTATGCAGTTGATTACAATTAACCAGTTCCTTAATATAAAAGAAATGAGTAATATTGTTCAGTCTTAGAAAAGTAAAAAATAGAGCACAATGTACTGTGTTGATATAAAGGAATTTTCCATATCGAATTTTCACAGGTATTTTAGGTAGCCTATTTTTAATCGTGCATTGGATTGTGTAAAAGTAAATGTCCATAAACATTTTGGCAGGACATTACCAGTACCTCTTAGGTTTCTTTCTTTTCTTACACTGTATATTGTTAATTTAGTGGATCAAGTGGATGTTTGTGTTTCTCTAACAGCTTATTGATGAGGTGTTGATGTATTAAACCAGTTACACATGTGCCCATGGGAAATATCCGGTTAAGGGCTTTGCAAAATGGTTAATGAATAAATAATGACACAATTGTAATTTTTGGCTGAACTATTCCTTGAATAGTTTTAACGTCATTCATGTCTTCCCAGGTGCCCAGAGGAGCTGCATAATGCCTCTTCTCGACGTAACTGAAGACAACTTCTCCATCGCTTCCCCAACCCAGAATTCATCTCCAGCTTTTTCCTCCATGGCGTTTTCCTCCGTCAGTCCATCCCTGTCCTCGTTTCTCCCACATTCAAACTGCTCCGTGGCTCCATCTCCCTCCTCACCTCCGTATAACTTCTACGCTGTGTTGTTGGTGTTGCTGATTTTTTGCGTGGTGTTCGGTAACGTGCTGGTGTGTGTGGCCGTGTCCCGTGAGAAAGCGCTCCAGACCACCACCAATTACCTCATTGTGTCACTGGCCGTGTCAGACATGCTCTTGGCCACACTGGTGATGCCCTGGGGCGTCTATCTGGAGGTCAGTAGACGTACTAATTGGTCAATTTAATTGGTAATTACATGTAGTTGCAACCCTGATGTGCACATAAGTAGTGCCCAATGGAATCTGTTTATATGTTTCCAAAATTCAAATTTTTTCCCCTTTTTTTCATTTTTCTGGATTCCATTTTAGTTATCGAAAAGCATGTCTAAAATTGAATTATACAATTTAATAACAATTTATTAAAAGTTTAATAAAAACTAGGCTATATTTTCAGGGCCCTATGAAATCAGTTCTAAGAAATCAAAAATAAGTTCTGTGTTTTCCATTTAAAATGTTCTTTATAAAACATTTTCATGGCTTAATTAGAGTGAAATAATCAAAAATCATGTATAATCAATTGAATTCCTAAAACTATTTATAATTAAACTTTAGAAAAACTAAACAATTTAACTTTTTTTAAATAGTAGAGTCCTATAAAAAACTTCAACTTTTCTGAATTTATGATTTAATTTATTATCAAAAATGGTGGTATTAGCAAATGAAGGCATGAAACATGAACCATTTAATTAAACTTTTAAAATGTCACAAAATGAAAATACATTTTATTTGGGGGGTTTTTTGGCAAACAAAGTGCTGCACAACTGTTACTGTTAAAATTAAAACATGGGGGGAAGAACTTGATATTACTTGAAAAAAGTTTTCATATTTTAACTATCATTACATTGAGAAGGTAATATATGGTAATATGTTTATTTATTTTATTTATATATATCAAGTTGTAGTGAAGAATTTTTATGACAATCACATTTTTTATTTCGCTGATATCATTGCGCCCTGTATAAGAACAAAACAAACCGTGATTGGTCACTGTACACGTCAGTCAGACGGTCTCCAGCTTTCTAAGTGGCATAAGCTGATTTTATGCTGATATATCAAAAAGCACTGATGTTTGATGTCTAACGAGAACATATGTGTTTGTACAGGTTGTGGGTGAATGGAGGTTCAGTCGGATCCACTGTGACATTCTGCTCACCCTGGACGTCATGATGTGCACTGCCAGCATCCTCAACTTATGTGCCATCAGCATCGATAGGTGACCCATTCATTCACTGTCGCATTTACTCAATAAACAGCCAAAGCGATGCATGAATGAAATCCTTTTTTAGAATAAAAATAAGAATGATTCTGATTAACATTTACCAATTTCCTAATCTGTTTTGCCTCAGCGTTTGTTTGTAGCTATGCTTGACCTGAATTTATCTTTGGTTTAAACGCACTCCAGGCAATTACATGCCAGCAAGGCAGAGGAGATTATAAATTATAAATCCTGCAGTGTGTTAGAGGCACTTTTTTCCCTTGCGGAGAATTTTAGTGAATGCTGCTCCTCATTAAACCGGCTCTGGAAATGTGCTGGAAAATTGGAAGTACATTAAAGTCGATGTGCATGAATAACTTATAGGCCTATAGAAACGAGCTGCAGGTAATGTGGTTCACTGCTCAGCATTGTGGATTATGCTTGGCCATTATATAAGCGTAAAAAAGCATCATTACTGTACCTGAGAATGTGGAAAAAAGAAAACTGCCCCTCTTATTCAAATTCACATTTTCAATTTCAACCATTACATACAGTATATTCAGAAGCGGTTTAAGTTTTGACTAATCACGGTATTTCTACATACATAATCACGGTATTTCTACAAGGCTTAAACGAGAGGACAGTGGTGCTATTCTTACACAAAACACAAAAAAGGGCTTTAAATTAGTTTCTGAAAGACTGTCTTTCATTTGATGCACAACCTTTAGAACAGACACCTCAAACTTTTCAATAAATGAATCTGCTCGTGTTGTAGTTAAAAGACATTTCTATAAAGTGTTCGGCAGACTTTTAAAGATATGCTCTGGTCGTTATTGTGTCTTGGGTTTTATTCTCTCAAATAAGGCGACTTAAAATGAAATGCACTCCACTCCTCTGTTTGTTTCCTTTATTCTGATCGATGTTATTGATGTGTACAGATTGACAAATGTAATAGAGGGTTCATCATATTGATTGAACCGCTGTGGCTGTATTGAGAATAACATACTGCCTTACTACTCTTACTCCTCCTTCAATATATAGCACGTGTATCATGCATATACGTACATTTTCATTATAATTTGAAAACCTGAGTGACCTGCTTCATTAAAATATGCAGCAGACAACAGTATACAGAAAACTGTATCCCATAATGCAATGCATTTGACCTGACCTTACATTTTCTGGGTAATGAACAGAAGTAACGTCAACTGCTATGCTGTGTTAATTGCGTAAAATATTTTTAATGTGTTAAACTGAAAAAAATGTATTGACAGCCCTCATGTATTATTAAAGGAATTAACGTAAAGGATTATTAGGAACACATACTAATACTAATACTGTGTTTGACCCCCTTTCGCCTTCAGAACTGCCTTGATTCTACGTGGCATTGATTAAACAAGGTGCTGAAAGCATTCTTTAGAAATGTTGCCCCATATTGATAGGATAGCATCTTGCAGTTGATGGAGATTTGTGGGATGCACATCCAGGGCATGAAGCTCCCGTTCCACCACATCCCAAAGATGCTCTATTGGGTTGAGATCTGGTGATTATGGGGGCCATTTTAGTACAGTGAACTCATTGTCATGTTCAAGAAACCAATTTGAAATGATTCGAGCTTTGTGACATGGTGCATTATCCTGCTGGAAGTAGCCATCAGAGGATGGGTACATGGTGGCCATAAAGGGATGGACATGGTCAGAAACAATGCTCAGGTAGGCCGTGGCATTTAAACGATGCCCAATTGGCACTAAGGGGCCTAAAGTGTGCCAAGAAAACATCCCACACACCATTACACCACCACCACCAGCCTGCACAGTGGTAACAAGGCATGATGGATCCATGTTCTCATTCTGTTTACGCCAAAATCTGACTCTACCATTTGAATATCTCAACAGAAATCGAGACTCATCAGACCAGGCAACATTTTTCCAGTCTTCAACCGTCCAATTTTGGTGAGCTCTTGCAAATTGTAGCCTCTTTTTCCTATTTGTAGTGGAGATGAGTGGTACCCGGTGGGGTCTTCTGCTGTTGTAGCCCATCCGCCTCAAGGTTGTGCGTGTTGTGGCTTCACAAATGCTTTGCTGCATACCTCGGTTGTAACGAGTGGTTATTTCAGTCAAAGTTGCTCTTCTATCAGCTTGAATCAGTCGGCCCATTCTCCTCTGACCTCTAGCATCAACAAGGCATTTTGGCCCACAGGACTGCCGCATACTGGATGTTTTTCCCTTTTCACACCATTCTTTGTAAACCCTAGAAATGGTTGTGCGTGAAAATCCCAGTAACTGAGCAGATTGTGAAATACTCAGACCGGCCTGTCTGGCACCAACAACCATGCCACGCTCAAAATTGCTTAAATCACCTTTCTTTCCCATTCTGACATTCAGTTTGGAGTTCAGGAGATTGTCTTGACAAGATTGTCTCCACACCCCTAAATGCATTGAAGCAACTGTCATGTGATTGGTTGATAGATAATTGCATTAATGAGAAATTGAACAGGTGTTCCTAATAATCCTTTAGATGAGTGTATAATATAAAAATGCTAAATTACTGTCTTTGTTGATAATTGGACGACTCTCAATGTAGAGTGCAACTGCTTGCAATGTTGCATAATAGAAACAGTTTTAGTATTCAGTAGTATTCCCGTCTGAACATAGCCTGACTGTCTGTCTTGTATGTCATCAATGTGACGTAATATTTTATTTGGTACACCTCTAATTTGAAAACACGTCTGCATTTCACTTCAACAGCAAAATGTTGCACATTCATCTAAACGTGTCGTGTGTCGATGTGCAGGTACACAGCCGTGGCCATGCCGCTACTCTACAACACGCGCTACAGCTCCAGAAGACGGGTCGCTCTGATGATCGCTATCGTCTGGTTCCTGTCATTTGCCATTTCCTGCCCGCTGCTGTTTGGTCTCAATAACACAGGTACAAAACACTTACATGGACATTGTAACTAGTTTATGAGGAAACTGTATTGATAGAATCGTAGGGCCTTGTTTTTTTTTATATGTACACTCAACATCAAAAGAATGTTCTTAAAGTCACTCAAAACTCATATGATCTTCTGTGAGTCTCAAAAGGAGAATCTTCATGCAATTCTTTGACATATGGCAACAGTTCACTGTAAAAAAGATGGCTTAAAAACAACCCAATTTTTTCTGTTTTGTCATTTTAGCAGTTTTAAATGCTCATCTAGTGTTATTATAGGTATAGCTATTACTATATTGCTGGGTTAAAATTTTAAATCATTTGCAGAATGACTACTGTAACAACACAGGCAACAGTAATAATCAAAAGGAAAAAATTTATTAACAAGCAAGAAAACCCCCAAATTGACAAAAATATTGGCAAAATTTTAAATGGACGTATGAGTGAGGAAAAGGTGCAGAAAAGACAGTTAAATACAGCTTATTCCGTTAAACAAATTGTCTTTGAAAAGTTTAATATTGAATAACTTACATTTAAAGGGTCACTTCACCCATTTCAACATTAATCTTTATTGAAAGTGGGTCATATATGTAGTCGAAATGTAAAAGAAATTTTGAATTTGATGCCCTCTTGACCGAGAAAAGACAGAAAATAACTTTAGTGCGCATTTGTATGCAAGACAACAACTCCCACAATGCACCACATTGCACAGCTCCGCAAGCCACTCCCACTAATCCAGAACAGCGCAAACATCAGAGAAATCACTTTTCCGTCTACAAGGCTAACGTTAGCTGCCACCAGAGTTAGAAATTCATTTCACACAAAATTTCTAGTTAGTTGGCTGTGGCGAGCAGGACGAGGGCGAGGGATGTGATAGGACAGCGCGAGGCCGGTGGCGCGAGTGATAATGAACGACACCTGTGAGACGCACCGGACCGGTGTCTCTCGCGTCTCTCACCGAGGAGCGGACGCATAAAACGAGGAGCGACGACAGGGCAGATCGAGAGAGGAACAGGCCTGATTTTATGTTGTGTTTTGTTTCTGTTGTGTGTGGCCAGCAGTGAGGGGCTGCTCGCTTATATTTTTGTTTTGTATTTGTTTATTTTACTATTAAAATGTTTAAATGTTTGCCGGTTCCCGCCTCATTCTTCCCACAACAACGAACCCCGTTACATTGGCAAACTCATTAGTGAATTACTCCTCGTTTGTATTTCTTTCTATATGGTGAATTATTGCATGATGATGATAAAGTTACCTGGATGTTCAGTCAGAACATATGCGGTGCGAAACTTGGATGGATCACAACACAAACGTCCGTGTGCTCGTCTGATTCAGAGGTTTCGTCCAGGTGATATTGCGATCGTTGAAATTCTCTGCAGCAGACGGACTCTATCTGTGTCCGTAGCGCACAGCGAGAGCCGAGAGCACGACATGTAGGCACCAGCAGTCCGCCCAGCTCGAGCCAGTCCGGGCTTCTCGTCTGCGCCGGGCTGGTCTCCTGCGGCGGCCGCTGCCGCAGCCGACGCCGCCGCCTCTTGTTCCTCCATCAGCCTCAGCTGCTCTTCGCTATATTGTGGCTCGTATAAATAGCCACGAACATCAGTTTCGAGCAAAAGATTTTCAAAATCCTCGTCTTCCATATCGTGTGTCGTAAATTCAGGCATTATGGTAAATCTAACTCCTTGAGCGCTTGTTAGCTTAGCTTGCTGTCTTCCAAGCAAGATGGCGGATTAATAGTTTAGTTTCTTCAGGTTTAGTCCCACCCACTGATCTGTAATAGGCCGGTGGGGTGAGTGGGTCCCACGCCCTTGAATAATAATGAGCTAAAGGCTGTAGTTTTCTTAATATGCAATGAAATTTATCTTCCGTCCTATTGTGACGCAAAATGACGATATTTACGTCACGATAGGACGGAAGTAAAACACTTAAATCCTTTTTTCTCCCATCTCAGAAAAAAAACAAGCAAAATTCCACCATCATTATAATATATGACTGGGTTTCTAACAATACAAACCTTAATGCAAATGGGTGAAGTGACCCTTTAACTCTTTCCCCGCCAGCGTTTTTGAAAAGTTGCCAGCCACCGCTTGCATTTTTGATAATTTTCACAAAAGTTTCATGGCCCCCAAAATATTTTGTTGTATAAATATCTGAATATCTGCAATATGTAAAAGGATAAATAAAGCATCTGCTTTTAAAAGAAAAGAAGCTCATTTTATTCTAGCTTCATGCATTATTTTTTTATCAACACTTGAATGTGGGTAAGTTTAATTAAAAAAGCAACATTTTGAGCAAAAAGCTGGGGAAATCACGTTTTTGTCAAAGACTACGTCTGGATCGGATTCAGAAAGATGATCAAAACATCAAAAGTCCATCAACATTCTCAACCAAGCATTTGTGTTGAAAAAATGTACCTGGGTGTTTTAGTGCTCAATGTCACCATGTCAGTCGTGCTGAATTGATGTAATGCGCCCTGAATGAAGAGCTGAAATTCTTTTAAAACAGTGAAACCGTCATCACTGCACAACCTGTCGAGTTTAATGTAAAATTTCTCTTCCTCCGGCTCTCTAGTTCCATCCTATGAGCCTGACCTCTGTCTGAGTTTTCATGAACTTCATTGGTTGAAACAGCAGAGTGAACTTTTGTGCTGATTTCCATCCAAAGGGACGTGGCTGGATTCATGCACTTGTAATGAGGTTTCCCTCCGTGCATAATTATCATTTCTGCACTCCAGGCAATATGTGTGTTTTCCTTTGTGTTAAAGCTCATGTGACTGTGTTTGATGTGATAAGGATTTGGGAAAAAAAAGCAAATCCCAATATCCCTCCAAAGAACACAGCCTCCGGGGCAATCCCTAAAAAATTCATTTTTAGCTTGGTGGGAATCATTACGGATGGGTCGCAGGAGCTGTAAATTATTATGCATTTATTGTTAGTCATTTTTTCAGATTGTGTGCCCATGCAAAAGTCTCCATTTGCTCTAAATTCTGTTTCATTGGTAAAATACATTGCACATCACCTCTTTTCTCACAGTGTCTGAAATGGTACGAAAAAGGATCCGGTCTCTCGAAACCCCTCCTTTCCAAGAGCCTACTCTGCTCTGATTGGTCAGATGGCTCAGCCTGTTGTGATTGGTTAACCTTTTACAGCTCGTGTCAGAAATAAAACGCCCATTACCATGTATGGATTTCAATTCCGGAGGCTTCCTCTGCTTTTGACACACCGTTATACGAACGTTAACGATAGCGTCAGTTTTACCGAAAATTTCTCATTTTTGTTTAGTTTAAAGGTGCAGTGTGTGATTTTTAGCGACATCTAGCGGTTCGGTTGCGAGTTGCACTAAGGGCTCAGCCCACTGCTCACCCCTCCCCCTCCCTTTCGAAGAAGCTACGGTGGCTAAAACGGGACAAACATATCGTCGTCTGAGACAGCAGAGAATAGCCAGAGTAAGCCAAGAGTGTGTAACATTGTCACTGTTTCTGTACCACAGTCCATTATAAACCACATCATGGATAAAGTTTACAAAGCCATAGTCAGGTGAGGATCATGGGTCTTAATATATAATATAATAATAGTAATCAGCTGATTGTCTCACAAACGTAACCAGCACATTTCTCCCCACATAGCAAACCCATAATACAGCGAGGGAGAAGAACCACATGAAACTATGCAACTATATATTTTTTCTAACAGGGTAGTAAAAGTTTAGCTGGCTAAATATGAGCTGTTACTGTGGCTGAGCTGGTTAAAGCATAAAGCCTTGTTTAAACTCGACACGTCCCCATGATATGAGCCCAAAGGTGCGCGCGGCAAAAGTGACATGATTGTAACAGCGCGCGCCTCCGCATCCCCTAGACACCATTTACTACACACAATAGGCTTTTTTTCTCTGATTTTGAAAACTCTTCGCGATCGACATAAAATGCTTCCAAGATCGACTTGTCGACCGCGATCGACGGGTTGGTGATTCCTGTAACATACTGTTTTACGGCCAATGGCAAGAGTACTAATCAGCTGTCTCACGAACGTAACCAGCACATTTATCCCCACATAGCAAAGCCATAACACAGCGAGGGAGAAGAACTAAGTTACATGAAACAGTCCAACTACATATTGTACACCACTGACAAGGGAAAAGTCACTACTCACGGTGTTTATGGCTAGCTTCTAGCTTTCTGCGGCTTCTCTTTCAAGGTTGTGACGAAGCGCGCTCTGTAGCGCTGTTTGTTCGTGTTCGGCTACGGTAGAAACATGACGTCACAATATGTCGACCTTCATAGAAGGGTGTGCCCGCGGTTATGTAGATATAAATGTCTCATTCTAATGTAATAAAAACATTACGGTTTATTAAGGAAGTTCTTTATACACCACTGAAAACATGGATGTCATATTGCATTTTTGTTATTAGATACTCAACATTTTTACACATTGCACCTTTAAGTTGAAGTACTAAAATAACTAAAACCAAAATAAACTAAAACGTAATAAAACCAATATAGATTACTTTTTTTTTTTTTTTACTAATAATGACAAGCACAACCAAAATGGAGAATATAAAAATAAAATGTAGTTCAAAAACTATTATCAAAAACTATAATACTAAATCAGTGATATTAAAATAACAGCTGTTCAAGGAAATAAAGCAGAACGTTTAGTTGAACTCCATTAGTTCAGCTTAGTTATGCTTAAAGTCTCCTCTTTTGGGGCTTTAAGTGTGTGAATGTGTTAGACTTACTGTTATTTATAAGCTAGTGTGCTCCTAATCAATGACAAAATTTGCATTTAGAAGATAAAACTTTCAGTCTCTCACTTCCGCCAATATACACTCACCGGCCACTTTATTAGGTACCCCATGCTAGTAACGGGTTGGACCCCCTTTTGCCTTCAGAACTGCCTCAATTCTTCGTGGCATAGATTCAACAAGGTGCTGGAAGCATTCCTCAGGGAGTTTGGTCCATATTGACATGATGGCATCACACAGTTGCCGCAGATTTGTCGGCTGCACATCCATGATGCGAATCTCCCGTTCCACCACATCCCAAAGATGCTCTATTGGGTTGAGATCTGGTGACTGTGGAGGCCATTTTAGTACAGTGAACTCATTGTCATGTTCAAGAAACCAATTTGAAATGATTAGAGCTTTGTGACATGGTGGAAGTAGCCATCAGAGGATGGGTACATGGTGGCCATAAAGGGATGGACATGGTCAGAAACAATGCTCAGGTAGGCCGTGGCATTTAAACGATGCCGAATTGGCACTAAGGGGCCTAAAGTGTGCCAGGAAAACATCCCCCACACCATTACACCACCACCACCAGCCTGCACAGTGGTAACAAGGCATGATGGTTCCATGTTCTCATTCTGTTTACGCCAAATTCTGACTCTAACATCTGAATGTCTCAACAGAAATCGAGACTCATCAGACCAGGCAACATTTTTCCAGTCTTCAACTGTTCAATTTTGGTGAGCTCTTGCAAATTGTAGCCTCTTTTTCCTATTTGTAGTGGAGATGAGTGGTACCCGGTGGAGTCTTCTGCTGTTGTAGCCCATCCACCTCAAGGTTGTGCGTGTTGTGGCTTCACAAATGCTTTGCTGCATACCTCGGTTGTAACGAGTGGTTATTTCAGTCACTGTTGCCCTTCTATCAGCTCGAACCAGTCTGGCCATTCTCCTCTGACCTCTGGCATCAACAAGGCATTTCCGCCCACAGAACTGCCGCTCACTGGATGTTTATTCTTTTTCGGACCATTCTCTGTAAACCCTAGAGATGGTTGTGCGTGAAAATCCCAGTAGATTAGCAGTTTCTGAAATACTCAGACCAGCCCTTCTGGCACCAACAATCATGCCACGTTCAAAGTCACTCAAATCACCTTTCTTCCCCATACTGATGCTCGGTTTGAACTGCAGGAGATTGTCTTGAGCATGTCTACATGCCTAAATGCACTGAGTTGCCGCCATGTGATTGGCTGCTTAGAAATTAAGTGTTAACGAGCAGTTGGACAGGTGTACCTAATAAAGTGGCCGGTGAGTGTAGATCAATGATTTTGATGACATCAATCTGCACTTCAGCTTCTCAATAGATTTTCTGTCCAATCAAATGCTCTCTAGAATCTACATTTACTATTTTCTACATGGTGAATTGCACATAGTGAACTATTCAGAGAGTGTAAATATGCTTTCCATTGGGGTGAATGAAGTCTGGTTTCACGTTAGTGTCACGTAAACCCCCGCAGCTCGGGTCCAGAGACACGATAGCACAGAACAGATCATAAGCGCGAGTCAGCGCAGACCAGAAAACGTATCGGACCTATTTGAATTCTGCACAGAATGTTATATTTTAAAGCGATATGGAGGAGATTACAAGAAGTAACGGTTAGAGATTAGGAGAAAACTGCGGCTTTACCGAGCTCAGACAGCTCTGGCTAAGCTGTGATATAAACTAAACACATATTGGCTATTTTATAAAATGGGAGGAGCTGCTCGATGTGTCCCGCCATGTCTTCCTGTTTCAGTGTAAATTACTTAAACACATTGAATAATGCTGCACGTTTCAAGGCACTTCAGTGGGCCTTTAATGTAATATGTAGCGATTGCAGCTCCTCAGTATTGAGAAGCCTCCACTTATCCACTGTTTGTGTCATTATTTAAAGTTAGTGCTTGTGTACATATATACGTATATATGCTCCTGAATTTCAATAAGCGCGCTCCTCTTCCGCTCAAGTGGCATCTGCGGAAAAACAGAAAAAAATATGCAGCGTTCATCAAACATGACATGTTTGAGCGCTGTGAAATTATGTTAGCAAGAACCATTGAGTCAAGGTCTAAAAGTTTCTTTAAAAAGAACCTATAATGCTTTTTTTGTGTGTGTACATTTCAGTTTTTCTTTTAGTGTGTAACGTTGCTGTTGAAGCATGAAAAATGTCTGCAAAGTTACAAAGCGCAAGGCCACTCAAAAGGGAGTTATTCTCTGTATCAGTGCGCACTGTTTCTGAACTCCAGGAACGAACACGTCACAATAATCCTCATTTATAATAATAATAATAATTATAATAATTCGTTACATTTATATAGCGCTTTTTCTGGGACCTCAAAGCGCTTCACATATAGAAGGGGGGAATCTCCTCAACCACCACCAATGTGCAGCATCCACCTGGATGATGCGACGGCAGCCATAGTGCGCCAGAACGCCCACCACACACCAGCTTACTGGTGAAGAGGAGACAGAGTGATGAAGCCAATTAGTATATAGGGATGATTAGGAGGCCATGATGGACAGAGGCCAAGGGGCAAATTTGGCCAGGATGCCGGGGTTACACCCCTACTCTTTTTCGAAGGATTTTTAATGATCACAGAGAGTCAGGACAGGACCTCGGTTTAACGTCTCATCCGAAGGACGGTACTCTTTGACAGTATAGTGTCCCCGTCACTATACTGGGGCGTTAGGACCCACACAGACCACAGGGTACCGCCCCCTGCTGGCCTCACTAACACCTCTTCCAGCAGCAACCTGGTTTTCTCAGAAGGTCTCCCATCCAGGTACTAACCAGGCTTATATAATTCCCACACAAGGCATATGCAGAATAACGGGGCGGGGCCTGGTTGAGTTAGTCAGTAGTGTGTTGAAACTCGCTTATGGTAAGAGGTGTGACGTTTGAAGTGTTTGATGAGATGGGAAGAAGGCCTATCAAGAATAAAGAGCTGTTCTGTAAATTCGAGATACAAATTAATCCAGTTTAAAGTTATACACCGAATTCACTACTCCAAAACTAGAATAAGCAAAATATTTCCCTCCATATCTTCTCAATGTGATAGGTGCGGGATGGCGGAGGGGACATTGGCACATTTATTTTGGTTCTGCCCTAATTTATATGATTTCTGGTCTAAGATTTTTTAATTGTTTTCAAGCGCATACAGAATTAACATTCAACCTGACCACAATCTGGCTATTTTTGGCTATTCTGATGTAATGGATACTATTCCCCATACTTTTCAGCATGCTCTAACGGTAGGCTTGATTGCGGCCAAGAAAGTAATACTCCTCAATTGGAAAAGTTCACAAGCGCCTTGTTTCCGAAGATGGTTAAATGAGATGCTTTTTAATATCCAAATGGAACAGTTACATTTTGGAGAGTTCTACTCACAAAAAAGATTTGAAGCCACATGGCGACCTCTCTTGGGACTTTTGGTAGTTTAACACTTATTTCCCTCTCCTGTGGGGAATTTGCTGTATTATAAAACAATTGCGAATATTGTAATTTATGTGTATCTATTTATTTTTATTTTCAATAATTATTTTGTATATATTTGTGGACTGAGGCAATCTTAGATGGTTTTTTTTGTTTGTTTTTTGTGTCTTTGTTGTCCTGACTGTTTTATGTTTTTTGTGTTTGTTCATATAACTTCAAAACTGTTAATAAAAATAATTTGAAAAAAAAAGAGGTGTGACGTTTCCCAAAGACACTCGAAGCGGTTGACCAATCACAACACACTGGTCCAGCCGACCAATCAGAGCATTAGTTACGCTTTTCTGAAGGAGGGCCTTCATAGAGACAGAAACTAAACAGAGTGATACTGACATTTAACATTCCTTAAGAAGTTCGATTTTGATGTAAACTGCATGTTTGCATGAGATTCACTCTTGTCCTTTCTGTCTTTCATATCAGCCAGTCAAGAAGGGAGAGACTGCAGCTTTGCCGACCCTGCTTTCGTGGTCTACTCTTCTGTTGCTTCCTTTTACGTGCCCTTCATTGTGACCGTGATGGTGTATGTGCAGATCTGCGTGGTCCTGCGCAGACGCGGCAGACGCACCGCACCTTCACGCAGACACGGCCTCCATCCAGAACCCAGAGATGGACAGAGATCTCGCAAGGTGTGCTGGGAATATCCTTTCACTAGAATTTTACTAAGCCCTAACCTTAGCAGTCCTTCAATATTTGCTTACATCCTTTGGTCTAGCAAACAAAATTTGGCTGAAATTTCAGCAATTTTTATCACATTGCACAGAGAATGCCATGTCAATAGGTGCCATCAAAAGTTTTGAAATTGTAAATAATGGTACACTACCGAGACTTCCTTTCAAAATAGTAGTCCACAAAACAATTCACTCATGAACACAACAAAATGAATACATTTATTCTGTAAGGATTAGAGGTGTTTCAGTAAATGTATTCATAATGAAAATTTTCAGTAAGGGTCTTTCGATTCAGTATGTATAAATATTATAATAATTATAAATAAATACAGTTTTGTTTCGAACTTCTCTGTGTGCGCAACACAATTTCAAACTCTGAGTTCCCCTCCCAGGATGAGACAATATCATTTATATCAATATACTTTTGATGTTGCGAACACATCTGAAAAATAAAGAAGGACGCAGAGTGAGTTGCTGCCATATAAGTGCATGATCCAAGTGGTCTTAAACATGCGCTTCAAACTAAATCATAAATCTACTGTCAGATGCGCGTGTTTTTTAATGGCTTTGAGACGCTGTTTCCTCAGCGCACAACTTACTTCTTACGGTTGAATACTTACCTGTAAATGTTACAAATTCACACAAAGAATTACCCTGACCGCAAGCTAGTCTACGTTTAACTTCACAGATTTCAATGAACGAGTGCTGGCATGTGCATGTGAATCAAATCGAAGGAGTGTAATATTCTAACCTTATTATAAAATATTTTGCATCCAACAACACCATAAACTGCAGTGTGTGTTACTGCCGGTTGCAGCAATATTGACAGATATTTTATTTAAAGACAGACATAGTTTGTTCAGTAAACAACTGGTTTGTTTTTTTCCCTGCTGTACTAAACCATGCCTTCAAAACTGAGAAATGTACCTGATCATCATTTTTATGTGTTCAGTTACACCCCTAGCAATGCATCAAATCGATATAAAGTGCACAGTAGCATCTATATTGTAACAAAAGATTTCTATTTCAAATAAATGCTGTTCTTTTAAACTTTGTATCTCAGTTTCCATAAGAATATGTAGCTCCTGAACTGTTTTCAACATTGATAATAATAAATGTTTCATCATATTAGAATGCTTTCTGGAGGATCATGTGACACTGAAGACTGGAGTAATGATGCTGAAATTTAAGCTTTGATCACAGGAATAAATTACATTTGAAAAAATATAAAAATGTTAAAAATTAAAATAAAACAGTTATTTTAAATTTTAATAATATTCCTGTGTTTTTCATCAAATAAACGCAGTCTTGGTGAGCATAATGGTAAATTGCACACCATCGCGTTACCCAGATTACCCGTTTTTCGCGTCGATCGCGTGAATTGAACATTCGCGTCTATTCGCATCTTTGCATTGACTTTGTATGGAATCTACTTGCGCAAATAATTAAATTAGCTTTTGGTGTGCACACACACCATAAGAGACTTCTTTCAAAAACATTCAAAAGTCTTTCCAACCCAAAACCTTTGAACTAGATATAACATGCCTTTTGATTAGAATTAAAATGATTAACTAGTGACTGCAATCTGTCACATTGTTTCATTGTTTTCTCTCTCTTTTTGTTTGTCAGAATAAGTGTACTCATCCTGAAGATGTGAAATTGTGCACTTTAATATTAAAGCCTCCTCCAGCGGCTCCGCAACGCAAGAAAGTGGTAAAACACTACAGCTATTCATACTGTCCCTCTCACATTCAGTCACTTATTAAGCGTGAACATCTGTGTGAATCATGTTCTCTGTGACAGACGCTGGTGAAAGAGGCCGTGGTTCATCCTCTGGACGTGGAACCCATGTGTTTTCTGAGTCAGGACAGAGAGCCGCCTCCACAGCAATCGCAGCGGCCTGGACATGCTAAAATCTCCCTGTCGGTGTCTGTGGCGCCCAGTCCCACGCGTCCCACACGGCCCTGCTCCACGCTCTCGGTCCCCGGCCTGCGCAGGGCCGCCCTGCAGGAAAGCGTGAACGGCCCCCACGGATGGAGGGAGAGAAACGCAGACAGAGAGAAAGGAGCCGTGGCGAAGGAGAGAGTGAGAGGAAGACTGTCACAGCAGAAAGAGAGAAAGGCGACACAGATGCTCGCCATCGTTTTAGGTGAGAGGTTAAATTAAATTACTATATGATGATCCTGGTGACTGTCCTGGTAGCAGGACACTTGGCACGTTTTTTTATTGCCTTTTCCCCTATCACATATTTTAGCAATTGTCATAAATTAGATATATTTCTAGAGCTTATCTCAAAATTTAAAAAAAACTTAGACCATGGAAATTGTATACTGGGCTCAGTTTTTTTTTATTATCAGTTTCAAATTTAGTACACAACTTGGTTTGACAAGTTGATTTTCTAGTCCAAATTATTTAGTAAAATATACATTTTGTATCAAATTTAAAAGGTTTTGTTTATTACATTTGCAGCTTTTTTACACTTACATTTTTTTAAATCTGATCGGTGTCTTTAAAAAAAGAGGCCATCCTCAGGTCTGTATTCCAAAGCATTCATGAATTACAGCCATTTAAGTCCAGATCTAAGCTCAACAAGAGGGGGGTCACAGTTTAATTAAATAAAGATGTAGTCCACGTTTGCTGTGCTCTTCACTTTTGAGTAATCTCTAAGTTGAGAATCTAACCAGGGTGCAGAAATGTATTTTTTTGGGGGGGCTGAAACGATGTTGACACCAGATTAAAGAGTAAGGAGCAAGTTTAAAATCGTCAACTACACCAGAGATTCCCAGATCTTCCTGCAGTTTTCTATCAAAAAAAGAATTGAGTGAGTTTAACTTTTACGACTGAGTGAAGAAATTACTTTTGAACAATAATAAATCATTTAGGCTGATTTAAAAAAAAAAATTTTAACTATGGTCTGAAACCATATCACAGCAAAAGTTGACAAAATGAGATTTAAGTCATTGTTATTTAAGTATTATATAGTTTTAAATTAATATTTGGAATTACCTTTAATTGTTCAGTTTTGAATGTGCTTTTGTGATTTTTTTGTTTTGCTTTTTAATGTCACTATTTAGGTATCACTATCATTTATTTATTATTCTAGGTCAGTTTATATTACAGTATATATATCCAGCTTCAACTCTAAATTTCTAAATTACATTAACCTTAAGTTTTTTCATCTACTATTTATGTTATTTTATTTCAGCTTTATTTTAGTTAACTTATATGTTTTACTAGTTTTTATTTGAGTTAATGATAATAACCCTGATTTGAGTCCACTTTCATGTGTCCACATTGAAATATCTCATGTTGGCAAATAAAACTTTCTTCTTATTGTCTGATTAAAACATCTTTCTACTACGAACTCCATTTGGAGTCGAGAAGCATTTCCGGCTGGTTTGCAGTTGCTGCACATGCTGGTGAACATAAGTGCTGGTGAACTATGTGATTTTAGGTCTCTTTGTTCTTTTAGGCTTGACATTTAAGCAGCAGCACTTTTGACATAATAAATATTAATTATTCAACAGATAGTTCAAATCCTCTAATTTGATTGGACGAGAGGTATTCAAAGAGTGCTGATAGTCAGTATTTCTTCAACAGCACTTTATCACGTACAGATTTATTAGACTTCAGATGAACGGCACAATTCGGCAGTATTTTTTATACATGCCGTTTCTTTGTATTATTTGTGAAATTTACTAGCAATTTTTAAGTGAAAATTGTTTAGAAGTAAATCCAACACAAAAAAAAATCAGTTCACATAAAAAAAAAACTTAGTTTTTTGGGAGTATGTTTTAAAATAAAAATTGTATTAAATGTTTTACTTGCTGATTCTTTGTAATTACATGTGAAATGTACTACAGTCAAAGTTAAACTTTATTGTCCTTTTCCAAGGAAATGTTTCTCAACTATAAAACCGCAGTGACACCATCGTAAAAAAAACCTTTTAAAAGAAAGTTATGTTATTCCAACACTATCTCTTAGTAATTTTATACGTTTTGATGAATTGGTGGCAAATTTGTATGAATTCGTAACATCTCACTCATGCGTTTTCTGAGAGTGACGATTAGATGAATATGTAAATATGTGCTGCAATAACAAAATAAACACACTACAAAAATTGACAGTATGAGAAGCATCTGATCATAGCGATGTGAATATATTTGCAACAGCACTGCAATTCATCAGCATCATGTCGACAGAAGAGGTCATTAAAATTACACTGTTACGATAGTTTGATTATAAAGTATATTTGAGACTATATAGATCTGGCTATGTTAGACTTTAGTTTGAATTAGTCCTTTTTCTTTGCATGACACATTGACATTACAGTATAGAATAGCTCTTTCAGCATTATACTGAAATGGATATTGTATAAGCAATCATTTCATGTGTCATAGAATGGAAGAGGGGCTCTCGGGAGTGTGTGAAAACGTGTGAAATCCTTTTGATTTTCCAAGTGAAACCGGCCCGAATCTTTCACATAAAAGTCTGTCTACAGGCTTTCGGTGACGGTCTTGTCCTTTTAAGTTTCGTTGCAAGCTGTTTACACATTTCCAATACAAAAAGCGATTAATACAAGGAAATTCTTAAACGCATCCCCTTTAAAAGGAGAGGTTGAACTATAGGTGATTTTTTTTTTAGCAGATGTTTTTAACCAGGGTAGCTTACAAATGCGAAGTAGTTTTCGCTCCTTGATGTTTGTGTTTTTTGCAGGTGTCTTCATCATATGCTGGCTTCCCTTCTTCCTCACACACGTGCTGAAAGCTCACTGCGGCAGCTGCTGCATCTCTCCGTCGCTCTACAGCGCTGTCACATGGCTGGGTTACCTCAACAGCGCTGTCAACCCCGTCATCTACACCACCTTCAACATCGAGTTCCGCAAGGCCTTCATTAAAATCCTGCACTGCTGACAGACAGGGGACTTTACTGAACAAGAGAAGCTTGTGACAAACAAGGGAAACATTTGAAGCTCAGTATGTAACGATAACACAGATCAAGAAACACAGTGACAGCAAAGACGAGACATTTGAAAAGGCAAAGAGTCTTTGTTTGTGGAACTGATTCTCTGAAACGGTTGCAATCGGCAAAGGATGTGTTTTTATAGCAGTACGTCATTCAAAAGTTCATTTGCTCACTCTTGCGTCCAAACCCAAATTATTTTAGTTCTTCTGTGAAACGCAAACAAAGATGTTGTACTCAATGGGGACACGCTATGACTTGTTTAATTGAACATGATCATACATGAGGTTTCAGTGCTTCTGTGGAGACAAAATAAATTGGGGTCTGTTCCTCACGAAAAGGATTTCAGAAGACTTTGGAAGTATTGATATGAGACTATTTTATGATAAATTAAAGTACATACTTCCATTGTTTCAAAAACAGAAGCTCAAACATTCTCCTATAACCATCTCCATTTGTGTTTCACTGAAGAAAGAAAGTCATACGGGTTTGGAAGGGTGAGTACATGATGACAGAATGTTGATTTATGGATGAATTATCCCTTTAAATCATGTTTTTATCCTTGGAGTAGGTAAACGATGCTGAAAATTATCACAAACTGCACAATTTAAAGATACATTTTAGTGGATTTTAAATGATACTGAAAATGTCAGTTTGTTTTTTAATCTCTAACCAGTTCAATCATCTTTAAATATTTAAACATGTTTTGAAGTTAAATAATTCAGTGGAATCTCTAGTATATCTCATTAGCTGATGCTAATGTAAAATATGCTCATGCTCACTATCCAGAAGAAATAAACACACTTATCATTTTGTATCTATGAGAATGTGTGTTCTAACATAATATCACACAGAAGATCTGAATCTGTACTGTATGCTGTAAATAACATGAGATAAATGTTCAATATTGAGTCCACTGAGATTTTTGTCCCCTACCACATGACTTGAAAATGTGCAAATATAAAAAAAAAAAAAAAAAAAACTTCCAATTATATACACATCATCTATTAAAGGGCTCATTTCATATCGAATTAAATCTGTTTTAGTTCAATTTAATCTGATTTTGGTGTAAAAAAAAAAAAAACGTTCACAATATGTAGCAGTTTTATTTTATCATTGAGAAATTATTATAGCAATTGTAGCTTTTTTTTTGTTGTAAATTTGTTGTTTTTGTCATATTTATAAGTGTTTTTTTTTAGTTTGTCAATATAGTTCTAGTATTTTAGTACATCAAGTTAAACTAAATGAACATTCATTTTATTTCAAGTAACGGAAATGTTTAGTAGTTGTATGATATATAGACCAATTTCAAAGGAGGCTGGTGACGCTTGAAACTCCTGTTTCTTATTTGTTTGCCTTCCCTTGGCTTGTCCTTTAGTGTAATCTGACGTCGTAACTGAGTTAGTTTAATCTTGTTTTCAATCTAACTGCTCCCATTACAGATTGCACGTCTCCTGTTGACTTCCAGCACCTTACACGGTGGAATCCTGCAATGTGATCGGGCAGGTAAAAACCCTCCTGGGGTGAAACAGGATTCACAGCCTTAAACCACACGAACACATACACTCACATGCGCACATTTTCCATATCAAACGTCTCATGTTTATTATGTCTGTTTAGTATACCAATCTGCAAAGCCCTACAGGTAGATACAACCAATGCAAAGTATAGATGATTCTAACATGATTTTTTTCCTCCCCTCAGTCATCCTGATCAGTAACCTGTGGAGGTACGTGCTGAGTCACTGGCTTTGTGTTGTTTTGTGACCCATCAGTCGCAGTATAACTTACCCTCAGTCGCTCAACTCTGACCCCGTCTAACAATAATCAGCATGCATTTTTCATCAGCCTTGGCAACTGCTATCCATTACAGCCGAACCACTCTTCATAAAAATTCCTGAGCAGCGTTAGACACCAGCTGAAGGTTTAGACTGAATGCCAGCGGATGAAATGCTGTTGAAATAGAGGAAGTGAAGGACAAGAGAGCAACTCTGGGACACAATGAAACACGGCGAGCATCTCAGAGGAATGAATGGATGGTGGATGCAGCGAGCGGCACCTCTGCTGTTGTTCTTTTGACACTCATCCAAGGTTTCTGGACTTTCATTATTGCTTGCGTTTCCAAGTGTCATCTATTATTGGAGGCACTAGAAGAATGGCCTCATTTCTATGAACGCATGAGCCGACACAAACTATGGCTTTTGTTCAGGTAAGAACAATAGTCTCTTAGTATTTGTGACCATTCATCATAATGTCTTGAAGAAACTGGCGCTGAGTTTACATTAGCTGAACAGCAATGACATTTAATGTGTGGTGGCGGAGTGTGTAATTGCTAAATAGTCTTTCATATGCTGTTTAATGTACAGAGGAAACGGACACAGTCACAGTTGCTCAACCAGTGGCATGAGTTAATGTCAAATGTTAATGTGAAACAGGGTCATGATATTTTGTTGCAGTGTTATTTTAGTATAATTGACTATTAAAGTTTGTATTAATATATATATATATATATATATAGATATATATATATAGAAAATTCGGTTTTCATTTTAATTCTGTTTAACGTTTTAGTAATTCTGTTTTGTTTTTGTCATTTTTTATAAGGTCTTTATGTCTATATAGTTTTTTTTATAATTTTTTATTTTTTAATTTTAGTTATTTTAGTACATAAAGTTAAACTAGATGAAAATAACAAATACTGCCTTGGCAACTAGCTCAAATAAAAGTTTTTTTTAAATATTTTACTTTATTTCAAGCAACGGATATTGGTTCTATGTTTTTAGTTTTAGTTAACTATAATAGCTATTTTTGTAGCTTTCTGAATGATCTTAATTTAATGTTGCAGAAA